AATAAACTAAATCTTAAAAAATAACAAAATTAGGTAATATTAAGACTTTTAAATTTAATGTTCTATACATGAAAAATCAAAAAAGAAAAAATTTCATCTATCTAGGTAGATTGTTAGGAATGCGTTTTCAAAGCTCTGCATATTTTGCAATATTTTGCAGCAGAGCTCTGTTTCCAAAAACTCGAAGTTTCGAAGATTTGCATGTGTAGCGGTCGTTTGTATCACGATGACCAAACATCCTATGTATAAATGATATGTGTCGCGACACCCTTCAGAATGTGATATAAGGCGACAAGAAAACAATCAAATATAGATCTATTGACATGCTGTTTGAATTATTAGTGTAACTTAAAGCAAATCGTACAAACAAATTGATTAATATTTTTATTATTACTAAGCGTCGATGAGTTATAAAATAGCACCATTAACTGGTCAGTATGTAAACATGGAGACGATAATAGGAAAAATAGATTAATCTTAAGTTATGAGAAAAACAAAAATTTCTACGGTCATCCATTCGAAGAGTATCACTTTTACGAACCCAGGGGCCATAAAATTTAGAACATTTAATGGCCCATGAAGATAGAAATCTGTACCGGTTGAGAGTGCGAAGAAAGAGAGAATATAAATGTAGTCAGTCTAGAGCGATCCGCGCTAATAAATACAATTTTATTGTCTTTGTCATAGTTATTCATCCAGGAGGCAATTTGGCGCTTCTGTAAAAGCGGACGAAATCTTCAATCAAAAGGTTAGTCTATTTCCTTATATCGCAAGTGGAACAGATAATCAAATAGGATAACAAATTATAATATATAAAGTGCACGTGTTTTATAAGTGATATTGAAGTTGTCTTACAGTGTTGTCGAGAAACTAGAAAAACCCTAGACGACCCCGAAGACGAGCTCTACCTTCAAAATCTCGAAATTTCTAAGATAAAGATCTACAGGGAAAATTTAAAAAATTCAACTGCAGAGCTTTAAAAACTCATTCTGATATGAAATTTGCGCGTGAAAAACGTGTTTTCAAAAATATTTAAGAATGCCAGGAACAAGTCGTAGAACAATCCGTGAAAGATATCGGGGAAGAAGAGGTGGAAGAAATCGAGCGTAAGTTCCTTAAAATTATTTCATTCTTTAAAAAAAATTAAATTATCTTTCGCGTTTCATGTATTTTCAGGCGTTCATCTTTTAATTAGGTTCGAATTAGGACGAATCAGCAACCAACGCCAACGAAAACGGGAACGCCGACGAGAACGCCAACGGGAACGGGAACGCCAACGAGAACGGGAACGCCAACGAGAACGTCAACGGCAACGGGAGCAGCAGCAACAACAGCTTCATGTTCGACAGCAGCTGTTATTCCTGAACAACAGCAGCGACACGAACTGGTGTTCCTGTCCAGTCTGTAACATTGCTGTGGCAATTGGTGAAATCAATGAACATTTAGATTAATGTCTGGGACAGGGGTCGGAAGCTTAACGTTTTTTGCTAAAAGCTTCTAACTTCCGCTTCTGCTTCTTAAATTCATAAAATAGTTTCTCGCTTCCCCTTCTTGAAATTCTGATAAAAGCTTCAAGCTTCCGCTTCGTCTTCTCGAAAAGATAAGCTTCTTTGCGGTTCCGCTTCCGCTTGAAAATATTTTTCGAAAGAAAGAATAATATATTTTAGAGAAACTACCAAACATTAAAATGTTTCAATTTTCGACTGTCAAAAGCTGTGAGATAATGAAATGTAACTATCAAATATTTGATGTTCAACAATAATTTTTAAGTTTCGTCTTCAAATAGAAGCTTTCGACGCAACCGGTGCCAACATACGTGGAAAAGATATTGAAGATCCTTTTATTATTTTTTAGAAGACAACGATGAATTTAGAAATCTGAAAAAAATTCATTTGATTCCTCTTGGGACATTTTATCAACAGTAAACTTATCATTGTTTCTTGTCATGCATAGGAGCATTCGCACTCTTCATCACCATCAATATCGTCTTGTACAGTGGATCTTGATCTTTCTCCATTGGATTAAAAACCATGATTACGCAGTCGGTATGATCCTAATCACTGTAAACTTCACGCAGCAAAAATGTAGTTTGACACCCTTGTATTTTACATAAAGGCGCGAGCAAGAATAATTTCTAAAGAAGTTTTCAAGAAAAAAAGAGATGGATATTACAGATAACAATTTTAGAATCATATCAGAGTACTTGGCTAATACTTTGAACCCCGACGCTAATGTCCGACGACCTGGTAAGTAAAGAAAATATTATTTTCATATGTTTGTGAAATCTGAGGTTTTGTTTCTAAACAATTTAGCCGAACAGTTTTTGGAAAAAGTAGATCACAATCGAAACTTTCCGCAGCTTTTACTACTCTTGATCGAAAAGGATGAAGTTGATATGACCATTCGCACTGCTGGTGCTATTGCCTTTAAAAATTATATTAAACGCAATTGGGGCCGGCCAAACGATTATCCTGATGAACCTGACAGGATTCATGAAAGTGATCGTGAAGCTATCAAGAAAATGATTGTTCCAATGATGTTAAAATCATCAATTTCGATTCAAAAACAATTAAGTGATGCCATTCAGATTATTGGAAAATACGATTTCCCTAAAAAGTGGCCACAACTTATCGATGAAATGATTGAAAAGTTCCAATCTGGTGACTTTCATGTCATTAATGGTGTGCTTAAAACAGCTCATTCAATTTTTAAACGTTATCGATATGAATTCAAATCACAGGAGTTATGGGAAGAAATCAAACATGTATTGGATAAGTTTGCTAAACCACTAACAGAGTTAATGCAGGTTTGTTGATAGAAAAATCTTCAGAAAGTTTTCATTTTATTTAAATTTACTTGTTTTTTAGGCTACAATGAATCTCACTGTGACTCATGCAAATAATGAAGCAGCTTTGAAAGTTATTTACGGATCACTTGAATTAATGTGTAAAGTCTTCAATTCGCTTAATTCTCAAGATCTGCCCGAATATTTTGAAGACAATATGTCAACATGGATGACAATCTTTCATCAACTTCTTGTCACAAATGTTCCATGTTTAGTAACAAATGACGATGATGAACCAGGAGTGTTAGAAATGCTTCGTTCTCAAATTTGTGACAATATCGCATTATATGCTCAAAAATATGACGAAGAATTTGCTCCATTTATGCCTCAATTTGTCACAGCTGTTTGGGAATTGCTGGTGAATACAGGACAACAACCGAAATATGATTCACTTGTGACAAATGCACTTCAATTTTTGAGTACTGTTGCCGGACGTCAACAATATCGAAATTTGTTTGAAGATCCAAATGTCTTGGCAAGCATTTGTGAGAAAGTTATCGTTCCAAACATGGACTTTAGAAGTAAGTTTTAATTAAATTTTTCTCATGGATTTCTATAATAAATCTTTTATTTATTTAGATTCCGATGAAGAATTGTTTGAAGATAATCCAGAAGAATACATAAGGAAAGATATTGAAGGGTCGGACATTGATACAAGACGACGTGCTGTGTCTGATTTCGTTCGAACATTGTCACAATATTTTGAGAACAAAATCGTCGAACTTTTCAGTCAATATTTGAATGTTTTATTGCAAAGATACAAATCGGATCCGAAGAACAATTGGCGATCAAAAGATACTGCAATTTATTTAGTTACGACATTGGCATCGAAAGGCGCAACACAAAAACATGGAGTGACGCAAGCATCACAACTTGTGCCTTTACCTCAATTTTGTCAGACAGAAATAATTCCGGAACTTGAACGACCAGATGTAAATGAAATGCCGGTGTTGAAAGCAGATGCTCTAAAATTCTTGATGACATTCCGAACAATGCTTGGACAACAAATTATTCAAACAATTCCTCAAGTTGTTCGGCATTTACAATCAGACAGTTTCGTCGTTCACAGTTATGCTGCTTGTAATCTCGAGAAAATGCTCATCATGAAAGATTCAAGTGGAAATTCTTTAATCACTCAAGAAATCATAGCACCATTTAGTGAGAATGTTATTGGCGGACTCTTCACAGCACTCACCAAACCCAATTCAGGGGAGAATGAATACATCATGAAGGCAATTATGCGATCATTTAGTACATTAAATGAACACACAATGCCCTTCATGGCTGTGGCTTTACCGAAATTGACAGAAATTCTTACACAAGTTGCAAAAAATCCATCAAAGCCGCATTTCAATCATTATTTGTTTGAAACAATCGCTTTATCGATAAAGATTGTTTGCAAGATTGAGCCAAATGCTGTGACATCATTCGAAGAAGCTCTTTTTCCTCAATTCCAAAATATTCTTCAAGCTGACATCATGGAATTCTTGCCATACGTTTTTCAAATGTTGTCATTGTTGATGGAGATTAGACAGACAATTGGATCAGTTCCGGATCCATATTTGGCTTTGTTTCCTTGCTTGTTGAGTCCAGTGCTGTGGGAACGTCCAGGAAACATCACGCCTTTGATTCGACTTCTTTGTACGTTTGTGAAACAAGCATCACCTCAAATACAAGCGCAAGGAAAATTAATGGCTGTGCTTGGAGTTTTTCAAAAGATGATTGCATCGAAAGCAAATGATCATGAAGGATTTTATTTGTTGCAGAACTTGTTGATGTATTATCCACGTAATGATCTTCAACAGAACATGTCACAGATCTTTACGTTGTTGTTTCAACGATTAAGCTCATCAAAAACAACGAAATATGTGAAATCTCTTATTGTCTGTTTCACTTTTTATGCGGCTAAGATTGGTCCAAATGAATTGATTCAACTTATTGATGGCATTCAAAATCAACTGTTTGGAATGGTTTGTCAAAGAGTTTTCATAACTGATGTGAACAAAGTTTCTGGAGATGTAGATCGTAAAATTGTTGCTGTTGGAATGGCGAAAATTCTTTGCGAATCACAAACAATGTTGCAGCAGTATTTTGCTCACTGGACAGGAATGTTGCAAGCTTTGATCGAATTATTTGAACTTCCACCTGACGAATCAAGTATCGAAGGTGACAACTTTATTGAAATTGAAGATACTGCTGGATATCAAGTCACATACTCACAACTTAACTTTGCTACTGGTAAACGAGATGATCCTGTGTCTGAGATTTCTGATGGGAAAAGACATTTAGTTGAATTACTGAGCAAGATGCAACAACCTGAAGTGAAAAATGCATTAAGACAAATGCCGGCTCATCATCAAGCAGCGCTTCAAAAATACGCCACACCTTATGGCGTCACTTTATTCTAATTATGTTTTCATGTTTCTCGTTTATTATACATCATTTTCATTAAATAAAATAAAATTGAATTTTTTGTCATTTAATAAATTTTAACGGTTTTTGATTTTGAGCCGTGACACCACTCGAATTGAACCGATTCAATTCCAAATTGACAGTCAGAAGTAGAAAGATTTCTTGCAAGCTCTCTACGTAGAAAGCTAACTACTCTAGCTTAAACTAAAAGGAAAATAATTCTTAATTTTATCGTATCAGCAACGGTCTCGCTGTTTATATCTAGTTATTTATTCAGTTAACAGTACAGAAAATATAACTGGTAAATGATTTCGTGAATGATCAAAGCATAATGTGAAAATTTGTGTGAAAACTGAACATTTTCGTACAAAATCATGTTTTGCCAAATATCTCATTTAAAATTCGTAAAATCGTGAAAAAAGAGTGTGAACAGTGATCAGCTGGCATTGCATTATCTATATTACCATATCAGTTCTAATCCCGTGCAAGAATTTCAGAGAAAAACGATAAAATTTCTTAAAAGTGACAACCATGAAAAGGAAAGAAAAAAATCAACAAGAAGTCTTCGTCAATGGGAGCAATGGGAGCGTTTAGCAATTATGCCACAACTCATATTCATTTACGATAGAATAAAAATCAAGATCATTTCATTTCATTTTCTGTAAATATGTGTTTTGAAATTTATTTGAACAAAGTGTAACAAGAAAATCGTGTTATCATTACGGGACGTTTTTATGTGAAAAAAAATAAATTGCGATAAAATCTGAAGTTAAAAGTCTGCAAAACGAGCAAATAACTAAAAGTTTAATTATGCAGGAAACAATATACAGATGATTTCGTGGAAAATTATAGTTTAATTGATTTTCGTGTGCATTAAACATCTTCGAATAAAACGTTGATGACTTCACATCGTATTCCACTCCCTTTTAAATGCTCATAACTAATCATGTTTTCTATATAAAGAATAATTAGTCTAATTTTGTTTGTGAATCATTGCTTAAATATCTCAATGCCAGTTGCCCGTGGAGTTTACGATTTATAAGCTATCCATCTATTTCATTTATTCCCAAACCAAATTTGTTGTCATTAGAATTCAAAATTTCTTTGTTACTTTCTCATATAAAAAAGAAATTGCCATAAATTGACAAGAGAACACTCATTCAGTCATCTTTCCATTCTAGAATGAAATGAAATTAATACTTTTGATTCCAATTCCCTTCTCTAGTTAGACCAGTTGCGAGAAAGAAGTTTAAAGAAATAAATAAAAAAAATAACGCGAAAAATGTGTTTGAGAGGAAAAGAGAATTGAAACCAATGAATGCGAGACAATTAGAATGTCTTGAATCATCATGTGTGTGTTTAACGTGTGTCTCACAACTCAGCCGGTGCCGTTCGATTGAGCGGAATAACTTTTGTTTGTTTTCATTAAAAATAAGTGAGAATTTTGATCAGTTTTTGAGGGCGATAAGGAAATGCGGGGGCGAGTGGATTGATTGAATGATGCGTTGATTAGATCTCCTCGTTGTTTTGTTCTTGTTCTTATTTATTTTTTTTTATCTTTTACCTTTACGATCTTCATCGTCATTGAATTAAAAAAAACCACCACATGGTTAACGTTCTTTGTAATGATTATCATAGTTTCTTTTAATAACAATCATATCGACTTTTGTCGGATTATAAAGCTTCAGTTAAAATTTTACGACATCACAACGATGATTTTTATCAGATAATTACTCATTTATGATAACGTATGAGACTTTTTATTGCGCTATACATTTAATTCCATAAATGGATTGTTCTTCGTTTGACTTCATGTCGATCAATTTGAATTGAAAGAGTGAATCAGTGATGCAATGCCAAGCGATCATTTGACGATATTTGAGGATTTAAAAATAAAAAAAATGTTTTCTTCTCATTGCAGTGCATTTATCATTTTGTTATAGTTTGTGTTTAGCAATTTATTTTGTTATAAGTTAACTCATCAAAATAACATTCGAAAAGAACTGAAAAAAACGAGAAGACGAAAGAAATAAATAAAAATTATATTGTGAAACGCTTCAAAGCTGATAAAGTGTAACAAAGCAAGTAACAAGTGATAAATAAAATAGAAATAAAAACAAAAACAAATAAAAACATAAGTAGTCGAACGACATAAAGAGAATGAGAGACCATCATCTGATGGATCATAAATAAGTAGATGAAAAATTCGGATCGTCTTGCACCATGCATTCGCAGGATTCAAATGAATGTGCCAGATATGTTTTACAGGTGAGTTGGAATTGAAATTTCTTATCCAAGTTACCTTCTGAGAGATCAAACAACTCTACGAATGTCGATGTACTTCATACATGAACATTAAATATTTCATATTAATAGCAAATAATTTATGAACAATGACACATGACAAGCAGATGTGAATGCGAAAAAAAATTAAAAACAACACTGAAGCATGTTTGTTCTCATAAAAGCGCCTTTGTTCTGGTTAATTAATTTAAATTGGGTTCCCATTTTTTTTAAAAGTCTGGGATTGCTGGATTTACGAGTTAAAAAATGACTTTTGGTTGATGAGTCAGAAGATATTTCGGTGAACTTTAAGATGACGATGATGATCATGTTTACTCTTCTGTTGTGTTCTGTTTGTTGATAAGAGAATAGAAACATTGATAATTTGAGTAAATTTACACTCATAGATTAACATCATTCGTTTGAATTTGAAGTGAATCAAAGTCAACGATTGCATACATCAAATTAACAACAAAATCATAAACAGGAAACCGGAAATTTTCAAATGATATTTTTCATCATCAGTGCCTCACATTTATCATCAGTTTCCTCTTCATGTTGACTCTCTTTCTCTTGTGAATTATCAAGCAAGCAATTTTATAAAAAAAAGTTTTTATTTTTATTTCTTTCTTTCGTTTTGGTTTGAAAAGTGAAAACAATTTGGTTTTGCCTTCTCTCGGTCAGTGGCATGAAATGCAATTAAAACAACTGATTTCTGATTTCTTATGTCTATTTTCATTTTCATTCATTTAATTGCTGATTTTATTGTTTTGCTGCTTCGAAATATGCTCTCGACTATCTTTACTGAACTGATTAAGCGCAACCATATAAATTAATAATATTTCATCTAAAACTGCTGTTTAAACTTTGATTGATGAATGCGATGATTCATATTTATTGAGTTGTGTTAGATAATGCAAACAAAAAAACTTTCACTGCTTTATTTTTCATCCTATATGCATTAATATTTTCCAATCAGCTGATAATTTGCTGAAACAAACTTCTAAAAACGAACACTTTGATCTTTCAAATAAATCAATTATGCCTCAACTTAATCTACTTTTAGCAACATCATCATCGTCATCATTCTGCTTATATATATGATGTGATGTGATGTGTTACATATGTACTTTTAAAATGAGTCAAAGCCCATGCTTTATTTTTAGAAGGGAATACATAAGTTGATATTTATATCCTCCAGTTATAGACAAAAGCATTGAGTGGTGTTGAGGAAGAAGAAGGTGAAAAAAGAAGTTTCATTCATACTCACGTTAAAATGGGTGAAAGTGAAATGCGGCATTCGATTTTCTCGTTTCAAATTTAATTTCGTACATTAAACTTGCATAAAGTTATTAAACTAAATAAGTAAAGTTGGTTAATGTGACTTTTTTTCCTTTTTAATCAATGAATAAGGTTTACGTTGGAGCGCTATCGATACATTACGAAGCTCTGAGTGTTGAAGCCTCAAAGCAGACGACAGCCGAAGAAATAGTATCCTGCATAGTGGAACGACTTGGATTGACTGGCAATAATTATGAGTTAGCGGAAGTTATTGGACATTGTAAAGAACGAAGACTTTCATCACATGAAAAGCCGGTATCATTGAAACTTCTATGGCCAAAACATTCTGATCCACATTTTGGGCGTTTCTATTTACGTGAGAAACAACCACAAGAGCCGACATGGCTTGACAGCTATGGTTTCGATCCTCAAGTACTTAAAGAATTTCTTTCACAACCTGAGAATCGAGAATATCCTGATTTGTGCCAATTGCCCGATCTCAATGAATCAACACTTCTCGAGAACCTCCGACAACGCTTCGAAGCTGGGCATATCTACACATATGTTGGATCGATTCTAATTGCTGTGAATCCATTTCGTTTTCTGCCAATTTACAACCCAAAATATGTGAGACTGTATCAGAATCAAAGAATTGGGCCAATACTTCCGCCACACATTTTTGCCATTGCCGATAACGCTTACTATTGCATGTTAAAGGAGAAACGCAATCAAGTAAGAAGAAAATGAAATTTATTTAACTTAATTTAATTAAACTTTATCAAACTTTTAGTGTGTCGTTATAAGTGGCGAAAGTGGTTCGGGAAAAACAGAAAGTACGAACTTTTTACTTCATCATTTAACGGCATTGTCACAGAAGGGTTCACATGGTTCTGGGGTTGAGCAAACAATTCTCAGTGCTGGGCCAGTTCTTGAAGCTTTTGGTAATGCAAAAACAGCGCACAATAATAATTCGAGCCGTTTTGGAAAGTTTATTCAGGTAAGATGATAGAAAATTAATTAATGAGCGTGTTTTAAATTCATGTTTGACTTCAATCTTTAGGTAAATTATCGTGAAAATGGAATGGTTCAAGGAGCTGTTGTTCAAAAGTATCTGCTTGAAAAGAGTCGAATAGTTTCTCAGGGAACATACGAAAGGAACTATCACGTCTTTTATTATTTGCTCTCTGGTGCCACCGAACATGAACGTGATACACTTCATCTACTGCCAGCTGAAAAGTATCATTACCTCAATGCAAAGAATCTGACGTTGGAGAATTGTGATGAGAAATATGAATTCTCACGTCTTAAGCAGAGTATGGAAATGGTTGGCTTTTCACCAGAGAAACAAAGGCGACTCTTTATGGTTTTGTCTGCTGTTCTTCTACTTGGAAACATTGAATTTTATCCGAAAAAGTCGACGTATCATCATGATGAAAGTGTTCAAGTGCGAAATCTCGACGTTGTTCATCTCATATCGGAATTGTTAAAGGTCAAATATGAAACTCTTTTAGCAGCACTTACATCAAAGCGTGTCAAAGCAAGTGGCGAAACGCTTATTATGCAATACAAACTTCCAGAAGCAATAGCTGCAAGAGATGCACTCGCAAAATGTCTCTACGGTGCACTCTTTGAATGGATTGTGCTTCAAGTTAATCATGCATTGTTGAACAAAGATCAAGCCCTTCATACTGGACATTCAATTGGTGTACTTGATATATTTGGCTTTGAAGATTTCGGAATGCACAATAATTTTGAGCAGATCTGCATCAACTACGCTAATGAACATCTGCAATATTATTTTAATCTCGTGAGTTAAAATTTTTAATTTCTAATACAGTTAAGGTTCTCTATGGTAAGGAAATTGATGGCATAGCTTACGTTCCCTTATTAATTATTCCGTCTTTTCGAGAACGTTGACTGTACTTTTGTTTACAATTTTTGAAGATTTTTAATTAACACTTTTGTTTCTTCTTAATTCATTAGCACGTTTTCAAATACGAACAAAAAGAATATAAACGAGAAGGAATTAAATGGACTGACATTGAATTCCTTGACAACTCTGGTTGTCTTCATTTATTTGAATCTAAACCAACGGGTTTGTTGTGCATCTTAGATGATTCGTGCAAGTAAGTTTCATAATAATTTTTAACTTAAGAAACATTATTGATGACTTCTTCTCTTTTTTTAGCTTTCCTGGTGGTAGTAATGAAAATCTCCTTCATAAATTTAATAACATTCACAAAGACAATCCGTTTTATGAGAAGCCACAGAGAAAGGAAAATGCTTTTATAATCAAACATTATGCTGGAAAAGTGAAATATCAGGTAAGATTTCTAATCTCATTAAATTATTTAATATTACAATGCAATGAAATAAAAATTAAAGGTTGCTGAAATGCGGGAGAAGAATCTCGATCTTATGCGACAGGACATCGTTAGTGTCTTAAAAAATTCCAGCATGGCATTTGTTCGTGAACTTGTTGGAGCTGACCCTGTTGCAGTGTTTCGTTGGGCAATCTTACGAGCATTCTTTCGTGGTTATTTTGCATTCCGATCAGCTGGGATTAAGCACAGGAAAGAACGAGCTGATCAGTCATTAAGCAAAATCACAACAAAGACGAGATTCCGAACAGGAAATGATAGTCTGGTTAGGTGAGTTATCGTTAATGATTTACCGTTAATGGAGAATATTTGAGGGATCTTCGCAACCTTACATTAGTTGTTAATGGGTGGGAATAACAATGAATTAGAATCTTATTAGAGAATGTTGTGTTCTCCTAAATTTTTAATGAATTGAAATGAATATAAAAAGAAAAATATTTTCCTTTGCTTACCTTTCACGGATTACAGTCATCTTGTGACTTTATCGTCTGTAAATCTAGTCATTTATCGGATTGCGTAAGTCACTATTTCCATAAACTTTTCTCTCAATGTCCAAAAATATATTTAGAAAAGCATGTTAGAAGTTTGCATGATAAAATCCATTTAAATGTTTCATTTCAAGTGTTTTTATTTCATTTATTTTTGTTGTTTTTGTCATTATTTTTTAATATAATTTCTTTTAAATGTTTATTTATTTTTGTTGATCTGATTTGAATTAATACAAAATCAGTAAGCGAATCAATTCAACGACAACTTTTATGGCTCTTAATGCCAGTAACGAACCAACAACGAATTTTATTCACCATCGTGTTCATAACAGTCCATTACAACAAGCAACAACACCGCCACGTCGTTCGTGGTCAACATTTACATTTAACAACAAAAACTTCCCTGATGGAAAATTAACTTACGAAAGTCAACAATTGGGAAATGAAAAGATTCCTTGGAAGATCAACGATGTCACTGAAATTGTTCGATCACGCGATGGTAAAGAGCGTCAAGACGTTATGGCACGAGCGTCACAAATCGTGATGTAAGAATTTTTATTTATGATTTTTTATGTCACAAATATTTCTTCTTCTTTTTTTGCTGTCTTTGTATGTACTTTGTCCTTGTTTTCATTTCTCTCTCATCTTCTTTTCTTTTTTCGTTTGTCTTATCTCTTCTACTCTCCTTAAATTATTTAACTATTCCATTACATACCTGCATGTAGAATAATGTTTTTGTTTCAAATCTTTTCGCAAAAAAACTTCAAACTTTAGTTTTTCACACAGAATTGTCATTTCAGTTTAAAGTTGAATGTGTTGTGACAATGACAGGAAAGATATAAAACTTGAAAAATTTTCCACTTCCTGAATGTGAATTTTTAACAAGAAAAAAGATTAAAAAAGTTTCTTTGATTGTGTCATTTAGGAAAAATAAATCGTTTAGACCGCGAGAACGACCGAAGAAAGGACTTAAAAATCTGCAATCAGTTAAGACATTGACAGCTGGTCAAAACTTGATAAATAATCAAACGTCTGTTAAGACGAGAAAGCAGCCGCTGACAGTCACCGCACAATTTCAAAATTCACTTATAGCTCTAATGGAGACGTTGAATCAGGTGAGTTTGTGTAACTTGAGTAATTGATCTAGAAATAAAACTTTCGTTATCATCAACAGGCAAACCCATTCTTCATTCGATGTATTAAATCGAATCCCAACAAGATTCCAAATCAGTTCGATGATGCGACAGTAACAAGACAGGTAAGAAAATATTTTAAACCATTGCCACATGAAAACTGTAAATGCGAAACATATTTTTATGTTTTATGATTATTATCATAATCCTGGGATCGAGAAAAAAATTTCTAGAATTCTTTATGAAGGTGGGATGATCCTTTTTAAAGGATCCATTATCACTCGACAAGACGAGAGTACGAGAGTTGAGTTGGCAGAATTTATGCTAATTTATTCACTTTTTGACGTTGCCTTCGATGACCGAAAGAATTTCAAATCTTATAAGAATTTTTGTTGCTTTTTTTTTCAGCTTCGCTATACTGGAATGCTTGAAACAGTTCGAATACGTCGTGCTGGTTACAATGTTCGTCTTACTTATGAAGAGTTTATTCAGCTCTATCGGATTCTATTACCGAAAGGACTTCTTAGCTCGCAAAAAGATGTTCGAGATTTTATGAATCGTTTTATGGATCTTAACAAGCAACATTATCAACTTGGCTTGACGAAAATTTACATGCGCGAGAATCAAAAGATGCGATTAGACATTCGACTTCATACAAAAATTATCGAGTCGATTGTTTGTATTCAACGATGGTTTCGAAGTATTTTACAACGTCGAAAGTTCCTGTTACAACGGCAAGCAGTTGTGACAATTCAATCAAATTGGCGAATGTGTATGGCACAAAAGCAAGTTCATTTTCGACGTGCTTGCTATCATGGAGCTGCGATAACAATTCAAGCACAATGGCGAATGTATGTGATGAGAAGAAATTATTTGAAGCTTCGACAAACGGTGATTCTTCTTCAAGCTTACATTCGAGGAAAGTTGGCAAGAACAAAATTCCATCAAAGTCTTAAACAAAAGCATATGCGCGAACGTCAACGATTGCGATCAACTCAAAGTCTCCCAGCACACGAGCGAAGTGTTGATGTTCATTTTGAACCTGTGAAACGTATTCGAACGCCAACACCACATTACAGCTTAGATTCTGAAGTTGAACTGTGTCAGGAACCTGAAGAGTCGCCATCACATCGTTTGAGTAAACAGAAACGCGATCAAATGTTGGATCAAACGGAACAGCAGATAAGAAATTTATTAATCAACAAAGACGATCAATACTCGTCGAGAAAGTCGTCATCGTCATCGGTTTCAAATGCAGAGCCTTTTATTTCATATCAACCGCCATCGACAACCTTCAGACATGACGATGTCCTTGATCTTGGCACGAAACTTTACGATGTTGAGAAAGCGATGAAGAGAAATGAAGAAAGTGACAACACATTGAAACGCTTCGATGTCACAAAAATGCCAATAAGGCGAATTGATTCAGGTCCGGCAAGAAGAGAAATTCGATTCGATTCAAACAACGGTGTTCGTCCAACACCCGCGACAGATGTTGAAATTGTCTTCGTGAATACAGCACTTCAACAACAACAACAACAACAGCAGCAGCAACAACAGCCGATTCCATCGTCGTCATCATCTGGATCAATGACAAGCACAAGATCAAGTCCATATAATCAACAATATAGTCTCGACACACTTCCACATCGTCGCGATATTGTAAGCCGAAGTTTAAATGATGAATTCCAAAATTATCAACCGCCGATTGTTTATCATCAACCACCACAACAAATGCAGCATGAAAATCTCTCACGAAGTGCAACAACATCAGTTGGTGTCGCTCCAAAAGGTGAGTTTTTGTTCTTTCTTCTTCTCCATTTATTGGTTCATTCATTAATATAAACAAAAAAGTATTTTTTTACTCTCGCACATGTTTATTTCAATTCTTTTGTTTTTGTACGTAGTTTCTGTTTTATTCGTTGGTGATGTTTAATTATCGATGAATCATCTAGTAACAGTATCAATGAATGTTTCAGAAAATGAAATTAGAGTCGCTTAGTCAGTGTCAGATATTTGATGGAGTTAAATTTGAATTTTTATTCATTAGGAAAAGCTGCTGCGCTACTGGGAACGATAGCAGAGTCATCGTCAACAAAGCATAAGAAAGATATGGAAATTCTCAGTAAGCATAAGCGAACGAAAAATAATATGAGTGATGAAATGACGACGGGTCCTTATTACGGTGCAACAGCAAAAATTCATAAACTCGATGCGACATTAGCACGAAGAAATTCAGATCCAGCAAATAAGATTCCACTTCTTGAAGTGAATCGTGGAAATGATTTATATCAATCGAGTACAAATATCAACATTGGTGGTCATCGTTTTAGGAAAGTTACAAGAATTGGTAAAAGTGAGAAGTGTGCGAGTTGTGATGAAACGGATTCGTTTATCTCAGAAGGTCATCGTTGTCTTGATTGTAAGATTCTTGTGCATACAAAATGTATTCAGAATGGTGGAATAAAAAGCATCAAATGTACTGCGAAAAGATCAGGAAAACGAGTGAAGAAGATGACGGAGAGAGAGAAAATTGCTGCTGGTACGAGTGGAACGCCAAATTCTAAATTCAGTGGAACTAAAGAGTACACAGATTCAACTGATAAGATTATAAGTGACGCTAAGGAGCTTCAATTGATGCAAGACTTCATAACACAGAAAATATGTAAAATGGAAGGCGAAAAAGTGTCGGAAGTTGATCGTGTTTTTAAACAAGCTCTCAGAGAGTTTAAAGATAATCTCGTTGCACAATATAGCGTCGCACATAAACAAAACAGCGACATGCTTAATATCAAATATCGCGATCTTATCACAAATTTCGAGCAAGTTATTGAAACATCGTGTGGTAAAACTGATGATTTTCCCAAAACGATGGGCGTAAATGCCTTTCGTGGTTTTATGAATGAATTTATGAATTCGAGGGAAACTGAGAAGCCAAAAGCTAAACGGAAAAAGGATAAGAAGAGAAAAGCTGATGAGCAAATTCCTTTCAATGGTAAGATTTTAAACAATTTTCGATAATTATATTCAATTCTAATTATTGTTGCCTTTTTAGGTCATATTTTCCAGTCGACAATCATCAACATAGCGACGGTTTGTGAAATTTGTCAACAATTTTTACTCTGGCCGATTGAGCGTGGCTTGGTGAGAATTTTATTCTTCTTTATATGATTAAGTCTTGAGTGGTTTAGGATGAATATCATCAATTGTTTTTATTTAATAAACTTAAAGGAAGAAAATTTCCGAGAATTCCGCCGTGAAAAGTTCTCGAAGCGCCCCCTTCATGTGAAATTTCAAAATAAACTTTTAGTTCCTGCACTTGGAAATGTTTTGGCGCTATTATCATAATTAAAATGCATTAAACTAAAACGAATTTTTCTGTTTACTTCAGGTTTGTCAAAATTGTCCGCTCACCGTTCATAAAAAGTGTCATGTAAAAGCATTACCATGCAGTAAGTCAACATCATCAAGTGGACATGGCGGCATGAGTAATAACGAACCTGGAAAACTCTTCAAAATTCCACTGACACAACTGTTTGCAATGGAGGGTGGTGCAAAGATACCAACAAGAATTGATCAATTGATAACAAAGATTGAAATGCATGGACTTTATGCTGAAGGATTGTATAGAAAGAGTGGAGTCAGTTCAAAGATCAAAGAACTGCAAAGAAAGATGAACGAATTGGGTGAAATCGACTACGAGTCATATAACGTTCATGTCCTCACAAATGTTCTCAAAACTTTCCTTCGTGACCTTCCTGAGCCTCTTCTTACATTCGATCGATATGACGATTTTCTCCGTGCTGCTGAATTATCCGATGAATCCGATCGTGTTCAGACGTTGCTTTCCCTCATCAAGAAACTACCTCCGGCCCATCATGCACTGCTCGAACGCTTAGTTTTTCATTTAGCAAGAGTTGCACAACGTGAAGAATATAATCGAATGTCAGCCAGTTCGCTTGCAATTGTTTTCTCGCCTTGTGTGTTAAGAACAAATCGACCATTACCAGCACAAGATAGTCTCAATGACATCAGTCGACAGACGAAATGTATTGAGACAATAATAACACAAAAGATGTTGAACATCAAAAGCACTTTAGCAGACATTGATACGCTTGACACGGCAGCACATACCGCAACAACACGACTTAGTACATTGCGAAGTTCTAAAGTGTTCACACAAGAAGAATTCAATGCAACAGCACGAGCTGGAAGAGAATCGGCCGAAGCTGAAGAGATGTTATTGGAAGGTCATATTCAAGAGATTAAAAAAGAGAAAGCTTTGCTAACATCAACATTGCCAAGTTTGGCGCGTGCCAATTCTGATGATGATTTATTGTCAACAGATCTCGATGGTGAAGGTGGAAGTTTAGATGATTTGAGTAAAGAACGAGACGGAATGGAATGTCATAAAATTGGAAGAGAATCTCGTGATGTGAGTGTCGATTCAGCACTTAGTTCGGTTGATGGAACAGCATCTCCAGCTTCACATAATCAAAGACTTTCTAGTAGCACCACCACCAGCACTGCTGACGATGAAATGGCTGTGAAATATAATTTACGTGATCAAAACATTGATTATATTCCAACAACGCGACAACGCGTTACAACATCAATGATTCATCAACAAAAGTCGCCACTTAGAAATGTCACGACTTGTAGCATTAACAGTTCAGCGAATATCGTGAAGAATGGCGAAGGTCGTGAGAGTCGCGGTTCAGATTTACAACGTCAGAAACCGATTGTGATGAGAAGCATTAGTGGCGGTGGATATGAGACGAATGTTGGGAAGAGTCATCATCAGCCATCAACTGCTATGGGATTGCAAAGAGCTGGAACAATGGCAACAATGGAAACGTCCAACCATAATAACAACAATAACGACAGTGATGATGCGACGAGAAAGTCAAAGAATCAAAGCATTGAAGATGAGCCAATCATGGTGTAAGTAAATAAGTAAATAAATTAATAAATAAATAAGCGAATGAGTGGACTAAACAACTACACAAAACACTCGCTCATGCACACTTAAAAGAAGCTTTCATTAAAAGTATTTTGGTTTAAAATTTTCAACTCTTCCTTTTTAACGCAAATTCCTTGTCGTAAACCTAATGTGATAAGTTATCATTCGAAGAAAGAGAGAAAGAAAGAAAAAAATGGTTAAAACTATTCCAATTTCATTGTTTATGTAGAAGAAGCAAATGATAAAAATTATTCCGAAAGTATTTTTCAAGAAAACACAAAAAAAATTATGAAAAATTTTTCCAGTATTTTTAAAGACGAAAAAAAATATATAAAAATTAATTAAATTTTATTTCTTGGTATTAATCAAATGATGTTTGAATTCTCATATAATGTTTAACAGACAAAAGAAAATTTATGAAGGAAAGAAATATTATTGAGAGAGAAAAATAAATTTTATGAATTTACATTGATCGTGTTGAATGTAAAGCCTTTTGTAATGGAATTTATTGCCACATCACCGTGAAAAAAAAAGAATCAATCTACCTGAATGAAAACATTAAAAAATGAAGAAGTTTACAGAAAATTTATTAGAGAAGAAGTTTTCCCATAATTTCAACTTAACATAATGAAAAACTGTGTACAAAAATATTAAAAAAAAAACGATTTAAATTTGAAGTGAGAGAAGAAAAACATTTTTCTTTAGACTTGACGTGAGTGAATGAGACTTAAAATAGAAAGATATAATAAAAGAAAAGTGAACAATTGAATATTAATTTGTGCAATATTCTTTTTGAGAGTTTTTCAATCATCAAAATATTTTTGAATGTAGCATTCTACAAACGTTCACAATATTCCTTCTCTTTTCTGTGACAAACTCTATGCCAAAACATTTCTAAAACATTTTCATTTCTATTTATTTTTACATCTTTCTTTTTGTAACAAAAAAAGCCTGTTCTACTCAGTAGCACAGGCTTTCTTCTACCCAAAAGACTTGAAAAGCCTTTTTACAAAGTTAGGGCCACCGCGAAGTTAGAGACTTTCCTTGACGAAGAAGCCAAAACAAATTAATTAAAAAATAGTGAATCTCGATGCAGCTTCTAATTGTTATTTAAATTTCCCAGGACGTAAAAGAAAACAAAGTTTCACTTTAATTTCCTAAATATTTTCATAATAAATCGTGAGATTACTTTCTGATGATTATTCAAATCAACTTGAAAGCAAAAACATAAAAAAATAAATAAAAGAAAAAGATGAAAACAAATTTACTTAATTAATTCTATTTTCCTTAAAGTGAAGGAAATGAATTTGAATTTAACTCTAAATAATTTTCTTTAGAAAAATAAAATAATGAAATTTAACACATTTGGGAGTGAGTTAAGAATTGACAGCGACATTGACTTGTTAAGATTAAAACTAAAGAATTTTATTGTCGCTTTTCTTCTTTTAAGACTCATCTCGCCCGGGCATTTAAATAAAGAAAAACTAACAAAAGCATTATTTTTCTAACTCTAATTTTATTAAAATAAAAGAAGAAATTTCCCATAAATGTATTTTCTGATTTTGTTATTAAAATCATGTCTTTCGGCAAATGTGCCACAATCACAAAATAATCTAAATGAAGAGGATAAAATCATGCAGAAAGTGAAAAACTATTATCTAATTGTTATTCGATTCTCGTTATCACTTTTAATTTTTTTCAATCAAATGATGAAAAATTCACAAAAGTTTTTGTGAGATAAAAGAATGAAAAATCTTATTATTGATGTAACTGTTAACACAAAAAAAAAGAAAATTTCTCTGCTGATGTCATGCAGAAAAAAGAAAAACTGTAAGTTAATGAAAAGTTTTTATGATTAATAATTGTATTTTCCAATTGAATTGATTAGTCGTTAAGAATAAGGAAAAAAAGCGTTTCGTTTCCATGAAAATTTAAATAATAATTAAAGGAAAAAACAAGAAGAACAAAGGAAACTTTTCATTGTTTTTCATCTCAATTTTCATGACCCCATGCATGATACGACAGAATGAAATGAACAAAAAAAATGAATGAAAAGATAAAAAAAAATCTTAATCCACATTGATGATGATGAGTAAACTAATCCTTTAGAAGTTTAAGGACGAATTTATCGTGAGACGTTCATCCACACATATATAATGCGTGGGAGGAACTCATGATGTTCATTGAAAATATACTCTTTAATTTAATTGAATTGAAACTCTTCTTTATTGGGATGAATCATTAATTGTTAAGAGCATTGAAATGTTTATAAAAATGATGAAACTTTAAAACAAAAAAAAGAAAATTAATTTAATAAAACCATTAACAATGCAGATAATACAAGAGTTTTATTCAAAATATTTTTTATCATTTTCCCAGCATTCCAACATGATTTTATGAAGATCAGTTGCATCTGCTCCAAATCTATCACGCCATGATTCAATAAATCCATCACAACTTCCATTATAAGTCTTCAACTGAACTTTATCATCAACAATTGTTGTGTTGGCTTGAATGAGAATCAGTCTTGGTTGTTTATTAAGTAAAACAATTTCACGCCATTTAGCGAATTGTTCATCAACTGTTGAATACTTTTCATATAAATTATTGGCACCTTCATAGTCCGCAGTTGATTTAAAGACTTGAAGCTTCAATAGAAATTCGGCAATGGCTTTACGTCCAACTGTATAAATCATTTCACGTTTCAAACTTATTCTGAGCATTTTTCCTGGTTCAGTTTCTTCAATTGTAAAGACGCCAGCTTCATAAAGAACTTTCATGATTGCAAAACGTGCTTGACTATGTGCTTGTCCCCATTGCTTTGTTGTTGGATTCCACATTTCCGTAGCACGACCAGCACCTGCATAAATCATCAACAACCATCCGACATAAATCAAGTCTTCAATTTCTTTCTCATCTGTGTGTCCCAATATCTTCATGACTTCACGATTGAAACAAAGATGTAGAGCAACACTTTCAGCACGACATTCTTCATAACTTGATCCCATTGCTTTGAACTTTGAATCGAATGTCTCACCAGGTTCATACCATTTGTCAATTGGCTTTCCTGTCAAAGGATTTACGACGATTTCTTTATCAAAATTCAATTTCCCTTCTTCATCAATCCTAAAGAGTTTTCCTGAACCATGACCCAGAAGTTCATGTAAAGCGACTTGAACTTCAAATGACTTTGATTTAAATTTCTTCATCAATTCTTGGTCATCTTTACTGAGAAATGAATGATTGTCGCTTTTAAATCGAGTATTCAAGACATTTCCCAAAGTGAGATTTTTAAATCCTTCTTTATGTCGCAACTCTTCATAAGTTATGGGAATTGACAAGCCAACTGGCACTGTAGAACCAGCAAATGCCATCACATCAATAGATGTAAAATCAGGCTTTGAAAATTTATCTTTTTCAAATGTCATTGGCCATGGAAGTTCGACTAGAAACTTTTCAGCATTTTGTACCATATTTTGAAACTTTTCTGATTGCTTTCTATTCATCATCGAAGTCCAACCAAAAAATTCACCTCGTTCACCAGCTGGATCACGATAAGTAAACATCCAACCAATATAAGCTTCAACTGCTGGTTCTTTGTCTAACACCCAAAATCTTGAACCTTTTTTATGTGCATCTAAACTTCCTGTCTTGAATGACTCTATGATGTTTTCCAACATTTGCTTTTGACCATCATTAGCAACATAATCACAAGCATTCTTTAAATTTTCAATGACATAAGGAAGAAGTCTCATGTAATCACCTCGAACAACTTTAAAGTTTGATCCTTTGAATTCTTCTTCATCTATTGTTATTCCTTTAGCTTCTCCATGATCAGCTGATGCTAAACGAACCTCATAATTTGATTTACCATTTGAGTCGATGGTTTTGAATGTTCGACTTATGTAAGCTTCAAGTTTTTTTGTTTTCATCCATTCCGTGACTAAATCTGCGTCATCTTTAGAACAATTACTGGAGAAATATGTCGTGATTCCAGCACCTTTCAATCCTAGTGATTTGATATTATCACTTAATGAATATATTGACTTTTTAGCTAAATTCCATAAATGATCAATTTCAATTTTGTTCTTCTGATAAGCTTTTGAACAACTGATGATTAATTCCATATTTGCTTCATTCAATCCTGGAATGAATTTTGTATCACCAAAACCTTTGTAATTACCAGCATTAGCAAAAACACCACATGAGTAAATGATGAAAGCCTGTAATTATTATTTGAGAATTTTTTTTAGATAACATGAAAGTTCAATGACATTTCTTACCAGGAAATCATCTGATGTGACTTTACCGGCAGTTGAGTTACGAAGCGATTCAACATTTTCCTCATTGAATATTTGATGAAGCAATGGAAATATTAAAGGAGATTCAGGAGATGTTTGAATGAAGGATATCATTGATCCATACCAGCTTGCCTGTAACAAATTTTACACAAACGTAAATTTAAATGAATCAGCGAAATTTATTAAAATTACCTTTGAGTAGTAATGTAAATACTTTCGTTCCTTTTCTGTCAAACCATCAAATGCTTCACGACAATCAAGTTCTTCAAATGGTGTCTTCAACTCCAAAACAAATTCGTTTAATGGATTATTATTCATCTTTAATTTCACTGCAGATTGTGAGAACCTTTGAATGTTTACTTTCTTTGGAAATTGATTGAGAAAGAGATTTGTAAAAAAATTAAATTTTGCTTTGTTAAGAATTCTTTTAAGAATCATAGAGCGATTCTTTCTCAATACTTAAGATCTTAAGAATGCTAGTTTAGAGCAATCGTGTGCTGACATTAGCAGTAAACTTGAAGTTTTAAAATTTTGTTTTTTTGATGAATTCTATGTTTTGTGGTGAGTTATTCAAATCTTTTTTAACGGCTCCACCAAATTATTTGAAAAAACATAGAAAAAAATCCGTTATATTTCATATGGAAGAAAAACATGTTTTTCAATCGAAACATGTGATGAATTTAGAAAGCATATTTCCTGGTGAAACCTCAACATTCCATATACGTTTGCGCTTATTTTAAATTACACAAGAGTTGATTGAGCTTATTGAGTTATTGATGAACTGAAATTTTTTTATAAGCTTAATGACTTTGCAAATATGATTTCAAATATCTGGAGCATAAAAATACGAATAAATGAATTTCAATCGTTGGTTAAACTAAAAATTAAAAACATCAAAAAGCAATCATTATTTCATTATGAAAAGGAGTATTTTGTGGGCTTACCAGTGTCTGGCTTAGCTTGGTAGTGTAACGAATTTCACAAAGGATATTTTATGTAAAGATTCTTGCTGAGTCGACTTAAGGAAAAGAAAACAGAAGGATGAATGTGAAAAAATCAACAAGTCACGTGTTGGAAACGAGAAGATAAAAGAAAAACAAAAAGAAAGAAAAAAAATCAAAGAATCATTGTCAGTGAGAGAAAAGAAGCAGATAAATGAACAAAGAATGGAAAACAAACATGATAATAAAAAAAATTAAAAAACTATATCAAAACGATAGAGAATTATTAATTTCCGCGTCCACCATAGAAATATTTTGATCTTTGCCAGACAACCATACCAAAATCGTTAAAAGAAATTTTATGGCATTTGAAATTTATTAATAAATTAAAAAAAGAAACGATTCGTCTGCTTTTACTTCTTTAGAATGAAAGGTGCTCTTTTTATGCTCCAAATCATTATAACTTTTCCCTTTTTACTGTGTAGCAAGCCTTTTTTCCCTTTTTATCTTTTTTGATCTTTCAATCAAATTTTTTGTCTGTTTGGCTTAAAAGTTAGCCTTCATATTTACCTACACGTTTCCAATTTCCATCTACGATATGAAATCAAAAATTCAATTTTGATATGTGATGCTTCAGAATCTTTTTTTCATCTCACATGCAACAACATTGTTCAATAACTTGAAATTGAAATTTTAATTTGATGCATTTTTTTCACTCATAACATGAAATCATCATCCAAATTTTACGCTTAAATAAGTGAATCACATTTGAAACATGACCAAAAAGCAGAGAATGTTTCAAAGTCGTCTCTTGTCAGAATCAACAGAAACAATGGGCAGTTTCACTCAAAAAGAAATATGACAGGAAGATAAATGTTTCGTTTAAGACATAAATAAAGCGAAGTTCATTAAATACGGAGCAGACTTTAGGTAATTAAAATAGCCGAAAATGATTTTTTTTGCTTTCATATTCTCATTCCTTTCATTCTGCTGCTCAAAATTTCGCGGTATTTGAAACAATTTTCAATTAATAACCAACCTAGCAATTATACTCATGAAATATATAAATATTTAAGTGAATGTTCTTCGCCTTCCGAAGCAATCAAACTTAAAGACTCTCGTAAACGGTTTCTCTTACAATCTTTCATGATTTATAACACAATCCCTTCATCTATTTTCAAATGCGAATAGCTCTTGAAGCGTCTTTAAAACGACAAAAGGAACGAATAAAATTTAATTCAACTGGATAGAAGACACCCTGCAGCTAGAGGCGAGCGAAGAGAAAAGAATAGAAAAAATGACATTCGGATTTCATTCCAAACTTCCAAACATCACAAAGCAGAGAAATTTTTGGGAGATAAACGAGAAATATGAACAACAATGAAACAGCATCATGTGTTGCCTCCTTTTGACGACTATATTTAGTATTCGAGAATCGTAGAGACGATAGATAGGAAGACGAAAGAGAGACATAGTTATTCGGATAGTTTAAACATTTATCGATGGGTGGCAAAGTAAACAATTATCTCAAGCAATTTATGGCTCTTGTTTCTTTTAAACTTGTTTTCATAAACGAAACTGCTTTTCTCGTTGTCGGACATCTCTATGGAAGCAGCTTGCACTTCAATAGAGAAATTCTTCTCAACTTGTTGTCAAGATGACTGCTTACAAATATTGTTAAAGGTACTACGAGTGGAACAAATCAAAGAACCGAACAGCAGTTGATTGGGTCAGTAGGCACAAGTTTATGACTTCAAATCTTAGAAGGCTGCAAATGATTGCACTCTTCGTCGCCCTTTTTCTTAACAATACAACAAAAGAAACATAAAATCGTCTTCAAATAGAAACAAAAAAGAAATTTTCTAAATATTTTTACCTCGCACTGCAAAAACCTTTTTTTGAACAAAGCAAAGAAATCAATTTATGTCGAAGAGAACGAGGGAGGGATAAAACATGAATTTATGAATTTATTTTTTACGAGGAATTGTTTTCTCTTTTTCCGGGTAATGTTCGAATTGAGCATGTAATAACCTATCGTTTCCATTCAAAAAATAACTTAATTAAATATCATACTAGCATCACAACATGCGATGATTTCGGTTTGGAACATATTATTGAATATTATTCTACGCACGCTGAGCTGATGTCCGACTGGGAATTAACTTTTGTATGACTCTGAAGCAAGCAACAGCAGTATGACAACGAAGATGTTTGTTTTCATTTTACTATCGATCGATGACTACAAACGAAGTTTATACAACAAAACACAAAAATTCTATTTTCACACTCTAATAAATTCATTAAAAATCATCGATAAATTTATTCACATTCTGCGTATTATTACCTCAAGTTACTAGTCATTCGCAATGATTCCAAGAATCAGTTGAAGCCTGTTAAAGTTATTAATTTTTTACGACGCTGCCTAAACTTTTTATTGCCGCTCCGTTTATAACTTCTTTATTGCCTTAATAAAAAGGTTTTCTTCATATTAATCAATTATTCACCCCCTCGCCTGCTTATGCTTTGCATAAGTATCACCGGATGGGAGAACAAGAACGAATAAAAAAAGTGAAAAAATATAAATATAAAATTGTTGTAAGAAATTGTGACTTGATGAGATTTGCATAAAATAACAGCGAATATATTAATCGCAGTTGATTCGATCCTCTTCCTTCGTCACTGATTCAATTTAGCTCATGAATAATGGAAAATTTTTCGGACGAATCACCAACATGAAATAAATGTGATTAAGGTAGATTCGATTAAAGAATTCAACAAATCATTTACTTGGAGAAGATGATTATTCACCTGATGACACGACATACCTCCATCAATATTTGTTATGACTCCGCACTGAACTTTCTCAGTTAAATTTTTATTTTTTTCAATAAAGCGAATTTGTTGAAAAGGTTTTTTAGATATTCAATGTATTGTGAACAAAATTTTCTTCCATCACTTCATTCATTCGTTCTTTAAAATGAATTTACTTGAACCTCATCAATCATTTTCATTTCCATTTCGAAGTTAATTTGTGAAACAAAACATGTTTTTTCGTTTCGATCTTTTTATACATTTTTTTTGTTTATTTCATACTTCATTAGCTTAAAATATTTTATATTTCTTTTGTTTTGTTCATCCCGCGTGTCTCGGTGGGTTTTAAGTGAAATTTTCTTATTTCAATTTTCTCCCTTTCTCTTGTTGAGACAGTTTAATGTCAAAGTTATCTCGCTTAAGCTTATGGTAACGATGAACATCCATTAGGTTGCCGATGATAAATCAAATTTATCATAGAACTCATTATTAATGTTTCATGATACTTTTTTTTTTTAATTACAAGCTATTACGATGATAGCTTATCAGATGGAAAAGATCTGTTTTTGTGTGAAAGTTGAGACATTTCCACCCAACCAGTTGCCGTATTGTATATAAATATCTAACAAACCGTAAATATTTCTTAAATATTCTCTTGACGATGAGAACGGGAACGAGAATGAGAACAACGTGTCAATGAATTATTGCGCAATTGTGATCATTGTGGTTATATCACTCGTTAGACACTGACTGGTAATTAAGTTAATTACAGAGACAACACTAGAAAAAAATTTGTTTGAAACGTTCCAAAAAGTTTGATTGATAGCCGCATTGTATAATTGGTGAACCGCAGACTGGAATTAATGTAGTTCTTTCTTCAATCGACATTCGCTTACTTAGCTCTTTTTTTCTAATTTTATGTGCTTAGATAGTTTAGAAAAGTGCTGGCGGTGTTACACATCAATCACATAGCCTCGTGCATTCAAACACTATGATGACAAGTCGTTGGCAGCTTTTTGAAGCATGATTAGAAGTGTTTATTTTTTCATCTCTTAATTATTCTAGAAATTGTTCTTTTTTCAATGTCTGCTGATAATTAACGTCGATGTCATTTTAATGATGGAGCATGAATGACAATTTACTGAAACTTTCTTTTGAAGCTGCTTCATGTTGTTGTAAGACTCAGCTGTTTACGTTGATGTTAAGAGTTGACATTTTTGGAATTCTCATTTTTTTTTGAACGTTAAGCCACAATTTCATGTTCAGAATAAATAAATTTATGTATTTATCAGGGAGCAGAGTAAAAGTTAAAAGGGAGAAAAACAAAATTTAAGCTGCATGTTTTGTGGGGAGATATCACAAATTAAGTAGCGGTAACAATTACTTTAAATCATGTTGACCTTGTCGGTCGGTTGTTTTAATTAAAGGGCTTTGGATATTAATAGAATAAACGTTGAAAACAATGGCCATTAAATTAAGAAATTAAGGAACATGCACAAATCTTTTTCGGTGACATAATCTCTGATGTTTCCTTATCATGCAATAAAAAAGAAAACTGGAAAAATTTTCCACGTTATTATTATTATTATTTTTGTTTTTTTGAAGGTGATAAAAAATATTTTTGTTCTTTTATTTACAACATAGCGAGAAAAAAACATAAAAGTACCTTATCATGATTTCATGTGCTGGAAAGCTGACCTGGGTTCTCTCACATCTTTCATCCGTGGTGAGGCAAGCAACGCTTGTAGGTAAACTTCCTCTTTTTTTAGTCTCGTTCTCAAATTCCATTTCATGTGAATTTCGTGACGTTTTCTTTGCCTTAAAACCGAATCGCAAACATATTTCTCGCGTTCAAAACTTGGCAAGTATTTGAGAAGAGAAAAGCAAGAACAAAAGGAAAAAAATAAGTTGTGAAAAATAATAAAACATTTTGCTATCAAAAAAACTCGCGCGGCAGCACCAGATATTTTTAACGACTTGTAATTTCATTTGCATAATTATATTGTTTTTTTAGTTAAATGCTTGTTTTAAACATTGCCATTAACTTCGTTTTGTGCCTTCTTTTCATCAGTTTCATTTTTATATGCTTGTCGATGTTTGCATAATCGAGAAATGAGAGCAAAATAAAATAAAAAATAAAGAAACGATTCAGCTTCATCTATCCGCTGATACTATTGTTGATTCCCACAACAAAAGGAAACACTGAAAAGCTAAAGTTGTGACTATCGAAACTATTCTTTTCATGATAAGTCATCATGAAATTATTTATGAAATAAGCGAAAATTTTCCCTATAAACATTTAATAGATAATAATCGAAATTCTTGTTCTATAATAGAAGTATTTCGATAGCCGGCGTTGCTTTAAAAAATATAACAGAAAAGAAAGAAAAAAATCGAAACAACCAATTTGAATTAGTCATTGTGTATTCAAAAGCGTTCAAAAGCATTCCTTTAGGCACATAACAACGAAAAGGCAGCTCATAAAATGTGAACAACTTACAGCGATGTTAACAAGTTCATTAAACCAATATCTCGAATAAAAAAAATGAAATGAGAATTGACGAAGTCGATGTTATAAATGAACAGCTAGAAAGAATGAAACATGAATAAGTGAGAAGAAGAAGGAAAAGCGAAGAGAGCAAACTTAAGATTTTATTTAAATAGCCTGGTCAAGACTCAACCAGCAGAGACCAACAGCGTGTGGTTGGCGGAAAAAGTGGAATCGAATCGATGAAGAGACGACTAACTAATAAAGTAAAAGGCGAGAATAAGCGAGTATGCTAATTTCATAAATTAATAAAATTATTTTTTTTATGTCGTGTGTAACGAACTGGGGCCGAGCAAGATATCTTTAACGATTTATGACACTTTAATCATCGTTTTTTTTCTCTCACTCTTTACGTTAATTTATGCTTCGAATTCATTAGAAAACCTTTATTCAGCTTCGATTTTTGTGTGTCGACGGTCGTGTTGAAGGCGACATTGGACATCATCAACGTTACCACTTTTATAACTTTCAAAGAAACTCCAACGAAACGATATAAAAATAAAAGTGAATAAATAATAAAATTTCCTTCTCCTTTCCACACAAACAGAGCTCGATGATTGAACCAAATTACAAAAGATTTGTTTAACAAGATGTATTCAGCATTGATTCTGCCACACAACAGATCATGATTACCACAATGTACATAAATATCTACATAAATATTTTTAAGTGTAGATATCTAAGGGGAAAAAAGGCCAAACGACGTCTATATAATTGCGCATTTCTTTCTTTACTTTTATTATTTTTGTTTTCGATGATTCCATCATCATCGTTTGTTTCGATATAGGTAATTTTTTTTTTTTTCTTTTTTCTTGTTTAAATGCTCGCTTAAATTCTCCATCAGCGATTAAAACTTGTTTCAAGACATCATCGAAGAAAGAAATCCGTAAAATAACAAAAAAAAAATTTATATAGATATATTTCCAAGCTCACCGCAATGAAATCATTTATCATTGGAGTTCCCATCTTACTTAATTCTCATCCTAAGCAACATCGTGTTCCTTTCACAATATAAAAGCTAATAAAAACTCATTGTGAGTAGTTAATTTTAGTCATGTTGAAGAATGGAAAATCTCTTTGCTTTTGATTATTGATGGAGTTAAATGAAAGGTTCTTCACTTGCAAGACACAAGAGATTAGAATGATCATCAGTGAGACAGAGAGAAAGAAACTTGACTTGTGTTGATTAGTTTCATCGACGAGGAATCTCTTAAAATACTGGTCATGATGAAGCCGTTATTCTAAAAGACATCAATCATAAACGATTCTTCTTATTTTTCGTCGAAGAACCTTCTTTTTAAGGCAAGTATGTAAGCACACGAAGACGACGATTACCTCCATTCGATGAGTAATGATTTCACTTCGAAAAATCATTTTCTCTTGAATAATTCTCAGGCAATTAAAAAGGCTTTTTCATCGTGATGAGCATGTCTCGAATAAAATAAAATGAAATAATATAAAGTATCGAAGAAGAAAAGTGTTTCCCCCTTCTTTCCATCTTTTGGCTGTCACAACTTTTCAGCTCGATTTGCTATCTCATTCAATGCGATGTATCGGAGCTGTCTGTCAGAGTGTCATAAGAATTCTTATAAATATTGAAAGAAGAAATGGAGATGAATGTGAATCTTTTTTTTTCTTTCTTATTTGACGGCTCCGGTGATCATGTTTGGAATATGAACGTGAAAAGCGACAATTTATAGCATAAAATATTAATATGTTTAACAGCATGTAAAACACAAACGACGCTACTGCCCCACCCGTCAACGACGATACTGAAACAAACGAGTGCAATAAAAATTCATATTAAAATTAGGTTTCAAGTTTCTTCGACATTTTATTCATTTCTTCGTCATCTTCTTAAAAATAATTCTTCCTTCAATTTCTTTTTATTTTTCTTTACAATTATCACAGCAATAACTTTCATTCATTGAAGGTGAGACAGAAATAAAGAGACTCCTACTTACTTTTATAGATATAAAGAGAATTTAATTACAGTTATTTACAAAATGAATTTAACACGACGCGCGAAAAAATACTTTAAAGAGACAAAAACAATTTATTTATTGTTGCTTCTTGTTCAGGGAGATTTCTTAGCTTTCAAGTGAGTGAGAAATTTTTATTTTTTCAGTCTCAAGATATTTGGCTTTCATGCGAATTTGTTTGTCGCAATCAAGCTTTTCGACCTTTAAGTGCTGGCTAACAGACAGCTCGTGTAGGTAAATATTTAATATAATAAAACTTTTATTGATTCTTTTCTCGCTCACTTGTTTATCAACTTAATATTGCTTTTCTGGATCGTCACTCAATCTTTAGGATTGTCTAATCTTTCTCTAAATCGAATCGCCATCTAATGACGGATCAAACATATAAATAATCTACATGAACCTCAGATTAACAACGAGAAACGTCACGATGAAAACAACAGACAATCTAGACGATTGGGATGAGCCACTGCTTAATTCTAACGAATATGTCGGTGAATGTCGTGTCACTTTACTTCTGCTATCGTCTGAATTGTCATCTCGATCGATGTCATTAGCAGTTGTGTCAGTTAATCGATAAACTGAATTTGTGTTGATATCTTGAACGGGACACAACGAGTCTGGCGATGTGTACGGTTTGATAATATTTGCTGGCGTCCCAGAAACCTGCACAATTGAAAGAAATTTTTTCGAATTGAAATCAAATGAAGTTTTGAGCGAAACTTTTAAACTTACTCGACTAGAAACGAATGCACTGTTACAAATTCCATCAAACGATGATGCTTTGATTATTCGATCGAACGCATCATATTCGTTCTTCCAATCGTACAATTGTAAATGTCGTTCCAGTGTTCGTCCCGCATATTTTTCGGGACTTTTAATCACAGGCTGATCACCAGATTTGCTGTTGAATTCAATTGATGATTATTTATAGAAATGAAATTAAATTGAATGATTGACTTACGATAACTTTTCAATTCCAAGTGCTCTGAGAAGATTCGCAACATTTGTTTGTGAGTTGCATGAGACGAGTTGTTCTTGTCGTGGATAATACATGAGAGTCGCTTGACAAACTTCTTCATCATCGGAATCACCTCCCAATGTGAATCGTTCTCTCTCGTAAGTGTTGTAAGTGCATTCGACAGTGACGTGATCGCCGGGAAGCAACTTACTTATTCTACTTAAAATCCTATTCTCAATGTAATCGGCGTTTAGATTTGATTCCTGAGCGATGGGCGCCAATTCTTCGCCATTTCGAACGACTCCGAGTTTGATTTTTCGTCCCAGACTATGCGTTTGCATGTTGACGCCAAAAATGTTGATGCCTTCAACTGGCAACGCTGCACCCGTGCAGTTTGACGTGCAATGTCCAACCGAGACGACTCGTTTAAAGCCTGGCGCCACAATATGAAGGAAATTGGCTTCAATGCCAACTGAAAGTGTTCCAGCATCGAACTTTCTTCGTTCTTTCGTGTGGTAAATTTTGAAGCCGGAGCTGTCGACGATTTGTTTCTTCGTCACCGGCTGATAACTCACTTCCAACATGAAACTGTCAGCTAGACTTGTATCGAGAGGATATCCGACATCTTTGGGAAAAGTGAAACCTTCCGAACCTCGACTCCATGTCGCAGCAATTGTGAAACATTTTCGCGCTGCTTTCAACCCTTCACTACACTCTTCATTGTCGTCATCTTCGTGGTCATTCGCCAGAGTTTTGCACTCATAGAGACGCATATAGGAAATGTACTTTTGCGATTCAGACGATGAGAACACCGGCTCGTATCGAATCATGTGGTGTTGAGTGACATTTCTAAGTCGATACATATGGCACCACTTAAGCATCTTCGACGGCATCTGTGGAAGTTTCACATCTCGATTTCTTATCTCAATTGTTTCAACTTCTTGCTGCTGCAGATACTTCTTGTTATTCTTATTAAACTTATTTTGTGGACTTTTCTGAAGCAACAAAAGCGAACGAACTGGATGCATCGCTAACACAGGATCAGATAAGCTTCCTTTTCGGATCTGTCCTCTCTTTGGTTTCTCAGGATGGTATAAATAAATGATGTTCATTGTGTCACTCTGCGAACAACAAACAGAAATAAATTTAAGTTTTTTTGTAGTGCTTTGTTTGGAGTTAAACGATATCAAGATCTTCACTTGTTTATTTCTTCATGCGACACAAAAAGAGTTCACAAGTTGCAGTGGAAAAAAAGACGACGACATATCATTCCCATGCAAGAGCAACTTTTTCTTTTTAATTAGGAAACCTTCTAGTAATATTTCATACGTTATGACTCGTCAATTTGCCATGTCCATTCATATTACATTACAAGCAAACCAAGCCTTTTCCTTTCACGTAATTCTTCTCATGTTCAGACTTCAAACTTTGAAAGCAAAACCAAAAGAAGAAAAGTATATATTAATTTACTTTTCATGCACAAGAAAGGGAAGAAAAATAATAATAATAATAATAAAAATAATAAAAAAACAGAAAGAAATTGCTGAGTTTAAAAAACTTAAAAAGATTAATTTATTATTAAAAAATTACAAGGCGTTTCGTTTCGAAGAAGTTGAAGCAAATGGATACGAAATGAGAGAAGGAGAGAAATGAATTTCATTTCATTCCACTGCAATTGCAATGTTGGAATGGAAAAGCAATTTAGCATGACATTAAAAGACGGTAAATATTGTATGAGAAGAATTGCGAGTTAAGGAAAAAAAACTTGGAGAAAAATTACTTCTCTTGAAAATAAGAATGTTAGGGATAGAAATAAAGATTTAAAGGGGAGAAAAGAGCTTCTGGGAGCAACAGCGAGTGTTGCAAGAAATAAATTGAAAAATGCAATTCAAGTTGATTGAAAAATTAAAGCAAATTGTAGCTTTAATGTTCAGCTGAGTGAGAGAAAAATAGTTGATGTTAATAGCGATGTTATAGCATCATTATGTTCGCGGGTTTGTTCTTTAATCTTAAAGACGTCTAAGAGAAACATTGTGGCAAATTTAAAAGGATTTGTAAGCAATTTATAGACACAAATTAGATATAAAAATAGCGATGATTGATTTCCTTCTTTTATTTGCTTTGCTTTGCTTTTCAATCATTCAGCGTTAATTTAATTCGCATTAAACAATCATTTTGTGTCCTTCCATCCGTTAAATATGCTGATTAAGTATTTAATACGAAAATTAGTGGTTCTATGGGAATAAAACAAAAATCATTTAAGTCTCGGTGTATGATAATCATTAAAATATTTCTTTCGTCGGCTTTTATTAATAAATATTATACTCGATCGAATAAACGCAGGTGCTTGAATTCAAACAGCCCTCGAAGCTAATTTTAACCGAAAACTTTTTATATTTTATTATGGTTTCCAAGAGAATTCTCGCGCTAGGAGCTCTAAACTACTAAACATAAACAAGAGAATAAATAAAAAACGAAAGTTTGTAAAAGCCATTTATGTAGCTAATCATAAATTATAACTTATGACAGAATTATTAGAAAAAGAAAGGAGAAAGAGACGGTAGAAGACTTGTTTTGTGTAAACCGATATGCATGAGCTCTTCTCCATATGCATGATATGTTAATTATTATTATGAACCTTACGAGTGGTTTGAGCAACGAAATTGGAGAACGTTTTAAGTTACAAGAATGGAATGAATGGAATATAAATATATAAAAGCTGTTTGTCAGTTAAATGTTAAATTTCATACATTATTAATGGCATTTTCCTCTTTGTCTTTAAGGTGCCGCTCGAGTTAGTTGGAAAAAGGTTTTCTGTATTTAATTTTTGATAAGATTACGAGTAAGTTATGGTCTCATACCGTGATAGGAACATCGAACTTCTCGTCACAAGTGTTGAGCTTCCGTCGAAACCTCAAGATTGTGTGCGTTGAATTTTCTTGACTTGACAACAGCACATAGTCTTGGGAGGCGTCAGGCACGGGTTCACCCGATGAACTGTGTGTCTTTATATGACAATCCTGCAAATAGTTGAGAAAGAACGAAAAAAATAAATAAAGTTTTTGGAGAAAGGAAAGACAAAAATTTGCAATCAATTAAGCTTATTATACTTTTTAATACTTTTCAAACTCCCATAAAACTTTATGGATCAATAAAATTTAGTCAAGATTTCAAAAGAAAAAAAAATATGGAAAAGAAAAACAAAAGACCGAACAAACTCAAAAATAATTGGACGAAAAGACTTTGAAAAGAGAATCAACAAAAAATTATAATTTTATCATTCTTCTTCGCCAAAATAAAATAAAATATAAAATAAAAGTTTGATTTAGCATCGCGAACTTTTAAGCCAGAGCAGCAAGCGGAAGAAATTGGTAAATCGAATATTTCTTTTTTATGCGAAGAGATTCTCTCTAACTACAGAGTAGCTGCAGTAAATTATTAACGATAATGCATTATTTATGTTTGTCGGTTACTTTTCCACATTTCCTTTTGTTGCTTCTGTAAATTCCATTGTGCTTAGTATTCTTATTTTTAATAAATTTTTCTTCTTTGTTCTTCTTCCTTTTCAGTTATCAGAAATTTATGAAATAAATAACACAATGGACTGTGCGAAGAATTTTTTTTCCGACGTCGTCATCGTCGTGGTTGTCGTCGTTTTTTTGGTGCACATTTGGTGGTTGAATTGCTTCGTTTGTCGCCATATTTAATGGTAATGTGAAAGGGAAGCAAGCAGACGTTAGACAAGCAGTCAACAATCAAGTTAAAGAGACGCGTTTGCATTCGATGCAATTTTTATTTTCGTAAATTTGCTGTTAAGACATATAATTAAATTTGAAAGTTGCTTAAAGCGATTTTAAATCGTTTCTTGCATGTTCAACGTTTTCAATCAACCTTTATAATTTTCAAGAAGCAATAAGAGAGATCAACTTACGTGGAAGAATGTGTGTCCATTATCAACCCATCCAATGAAGACATCTGCCCCATAGATTGTGCCATCACGTGAGAATCCAAAGCCGATGTATCCATGCGTTCTCACTTGCACTTCGAAGACGATGTCAGGCTCTCGAACCTTCCATAATAGCTGGAAATTCTGATCTAAATCAACGATATGATCCCACGATTGTTCGCCACAAATATTTGTTATTAAACACGTTAAAATTAACACCAACACTTCAAAGAGTTTTTTGCGTGGCACGCTGTACGCTTGTCGTGCCATTTTCATGAAGATGAACAAATGAAAGTGAACATTCATAAAACAGCATAAGTTGTTCAATGACGGTGATGATGATTATGATGATGACAGATCATGCGAAACATTTACAGGTCCAAGTTTCGCTTAATTCAAACGCCAATCTTTCTCTGCTGCATACTCTGAAAGTAAAGAAGAAGAAAAACTTTTAATTAATTTTGCTTTTCACAATGTAGTGAAGCTCGATGAGATCTGAATTTAAAATTTGTGTGAATTTCAAAGAGTGTGACGATATCAAGGACTATTATCTCATTTGAATGTTGGAGAATATTCTTTGTCGCTTTCACAACGGCGACGGAAATTTTTTATGCAATTTCATTTCCAAACTTTTCTTTTCACCTTCCCACCCACACACACAACATTTATCTAACTTTATGGTCTCCGCTCTATTTCTTTTATTCAAATAATCCTTTCAGATTTTTATACCGTGGAGTTTAAGGAATAAAAAAGAAGTCGAAACATATTTCAATGACCAGATGTTTCCCACAGATTCTCACAAAAGAAATGAAGAAAATAAAGTTGGCAACACCGCATAAAATATACATTTTTTAGACATTTTTCATTCACGTAATGGATTTTTTATTCCTTTGGATCAGCTTAGATATTTAAAAGGATTCCATTGTGAAATCCTTGAGAAGTTGGTGCGAGTTAAGCTATTGAAAGGGCTTTACGAAGCATTCAAAAAGCATTAAATTTCTGAAAGACAGTCGAGAGACGCATTTTCTCACATTCTGCGTTCAATGGAGTGAACAAAAGTCCAATAGTCAACGAACGATAGGTTGTGTAAGATAAATCATTTCATTTTAAGAAATAGTTTTAAACCTTTAGCGTTTTTCTTTCTTCCTTCTCGTTATTGTTTCTATATTCTTCAGGCAAAGTAAGAGAATATTGATTTGAACCCTACAAGAAACCATTTGTTTGTATAAGAAAAGCATTCAAATAATTTTTATGAGAAGGAAACAAAACAATCCATAAACATGCCTAACGCATTTATGAAAAGGTCGTAAATAAAAAAAGCACGAGAAAATATTTTTCAATAAAAAATAGCGCAAACCATTCTGCTGCAGAGTTCTTTAGATTCTCCTGCTTCGTATTCTTACACCATGTGTGTATTTTGACACTTTACCGTGATTTCATTTTCATTCTCAAGAGTTCCTTGCCAAGGATATAAAATACTCTGAAAATATGTCGCAAGAAAGGCAAAATACAAAACAAATTTTGGCTGAACGTTGTTCAGGTAAAGATTTATGACATCACATGTCCCACAGAATAAACAGATCAAATTGCGCAATTATGGAATGAGGCGTTGAAGCAAAATTAAATCACATTTCATGCACCACGACGCTTATTAGCTTCTCATTGACCATCGCGACAAAAGTGTTTTGAAATAATATTTACGATAAACACTTCACCGCTCCTTGATTGATTAATTGAAGTCATTTCGAGACAATCGATGTCTTCTTGTTGAGTTTGTAAGACCTTCTCGTCGTTCTCTTTGTTATTAAATGCTATGTATGAACATCTTTTTTTGCATTCACAAACATCTTTTGAAGACACCATCGCATCTGTCACTTGTGACGAGAGAAATAAAACAAAATTAATTTTAAAGACGAATTTGGTTTGTCGCCTCACATTCAACGACAATTGCTACTCAGTTCGTCAAAATTTATTTCAATTTTCATTTCATGACAAATAAGCAAGAAGAAAGAACGTTAATAAATTTCAATCAAAATAATTTTATTTGCTTTTTTTCTTCTTGCTTCAAAGCGACTGTTTTTCATGTCTCGACATCAAGCAAACAAATAAAATCCCAAATAAATAATATTAGATAGTGAACTATTGATTCATTTCGTTAGCCATATGTTCCGATCACTTTCCATGTGAAAGCAAATGCAATTGAGACAACGAAGGAGAATAATAATAATAAAGCGACATTAAGCACTCATGCATGAAAATAAAATAAAAATTGAAAGACTTTGGCCACAGTCATGTCATAAAGAGATGAACCCAATTATAGTCTCTAACTGCACTTTTTTTATGTTGTCATTTTCGAACCGCGTGCAATGCAAAGTAGAGTGATTTATGCTTCACAATCCCCTGACTCTTAAAATTTACTTTTTATGAATCCATAACTTGAAAATTGTGTAATCATCGTATGTTGTTGTTATTGCTTGAAAGGTTTTGTTTCGCTTCTAATATTTTTTTCTCTTTTTCATCTTTCATCAAGGGATGTTGAGCGCCCTTGCTGTGCGTTGACTCAACACAGATGAGAATAGAAAGTGCAAAAACTTGCAACTGGTGAATGAATGGATTTCACAGTTCCATCCCTAATCTCATTCATCAATTCATGCTGCGTGTGGCAATAGTTAGGACTTCACGGTTCACGGTATAATTTCAATTTATCAAAATCAATTTCAAGGATGTGATCAGTGAATACAAAATCTTTTTTGGAACTTATTCATTTGATTCTGTTTAGATTTTCAATTAGCTTACGTTGTTATGTTTGCTAGATGTAAGTAGAAGTGAAAACGTGCTTCAACACTTCTAACCATACAATGAATAAAATCTCAATGCCTTAGTCATTCTTAAGTAGAATCAAAAAGTGTTAAAATCAACTGATAAAGTAAACAACCATCTTTCACTTCATGTCTCTAATAATCATCTCATTCCATTAATGTTAATGAATTCAGTTAACGAAAAGTATATGATACGACTCCTTATACATTAAAGCGGATATTTCGCTTAATTTAATGTCAAAATATTGTTTCAAGTTTCTATCCATCCATCCCTATGTTAATATAAATGCTCATGTTGATGCGCATCTCACAAACCCTAAATAAACACAAACTTTGCGTTAAATGCAAAATAGGAGTTTTTTCTCTCTCGTTTGCCTGTTGCAAAGGATTAAGTGAAACATTTTTCTCTTTTCTTCCTTAAACGTCAGATGTATTTATTGTTGTTATTTTTAATTAATGAGGATGGGATTTACTGACACCTATCAGTCACGCTTGGCAACTAGAATGAAACCCTTCTTGCCCTATTCTATCATCATGCAAGAGTCAGTAAGGGATTCAACACTTATTCCTTTTTAATTGAAATTCAGATTTCAGAAATGAAATGTAAGCGCTTAAGCCCCGGTGAAAATTGTCCAACAACTTCTGTTATTTAAATTAGTTTGGCTTTTTTATTTTCTTTTCCCCCTTTCCGATGTGCGATAAATGACTTTAAAAATATATTCTGCGACTGATTGATGTGGATGTGAATTATTTTAGCGGTTAAAGCTAGCAGAGAAGAGATTTGGAGAAATAAAAAAAATCCAAAACACTTTCCTAATGACTTTAACGGTTCTCGTTATTTAGTATTCTAATAATATTCGTTTTAACAAACTATACGACTAATCATGGAGAAAAATCTTCACTAATAGTTCTTCTTCTCTTCTTCAACATTTTCGCAGCAGCTAGTTTTATTTTATACATTTAAAAGAAGGAAACCACGAGTCTCAAGTCTTTAACAAATTGTTGTTGCTTTGCTTGATTTTTAAGCTGCATCACCAGCCACTTTTCTTTATCATCTTCAATATTCTTTGTGGTTTCTCTTTATTAACTTGTTTTATTATATCAAGTGATTGCGGTTGTTCAATTGGAAAATATCTTTGAATGAATCTTCTCAGTTGTTTAAGAAATAAAGAAAAGAAAAATAAAACTCTAAGCTGAGAAAGTTTCAAATAGATGTGACTTTAATGAAAGTATTTTTCTTCTCTTTTTGGTTAAAGCTGGAGAAAGGGTCAAATGAACATCTCATAAATGAGCAGAAAACTTTCTGATCACGAGTCTGATTGGCTTTTGTTAAATCAAGTTTTTTTTTGTTATTTCTTTTCACACTGAACTTTAACTTCTTGAATCAATATGGAACGAAAGAAATCTTACCTCACTGTTGTTTCGCTAATATTTGTTATTTTATCCTTGCTTGTTCTGATGCTAATTTGATAAGTAGAAGTTTATCAGAATTATGCTCTTTATCTGATATCAAAATAAATTTGATTTTCTTTAGTTTAATCAATTTAGTAACAGATATTTTGATTTTATTATAAAACTTGTTTATCGTAAATAGTAAAACGTTTCATAAATTCTTCAAGATTATTATGTTTTCTATATCGTATTTTCACAAGAATATTTTCATAAATTGTTATTTTCTCGATATTCTCAGCATAAATGTTTTTATAGAAAAAAAAGAAACTTTGTTCACGATTCCGACTCACACACTCCAATAATATGAAAAATATTTTGAGCTTGAGCTTTTGCTGCCATTCCACTTAAAGTTTCGCGGTTAACTAAAACTCGAAACTGTATTTAAAATTGAATATAAACAAGTTTTACATTGGAGAGGCTTATACAGAGAAATATTGGAAGAGAACAAAGAATCAAGCAAGAATGCTTCAAAACTGTTCAAAACCTGTTTGTGCAGTCGTTTCTCTCTTTATGTTGTGCTCTTATTCTCTCCTCTCTCGTTACGCCAAGGGTTTACGTCAAATTGTTCTACGTTGTAGCCAGACGTAAACCATTTTAAACAACTCTTACTCACTCACCACATATTCTTCTGCTAAGCATTTGTGATACTCGTGTAACATGCAATTTTGTTGAGCTTCTTTTTTTCTCTTGGAGTGTCATTAAACTAATTATTTTTTTTTTCAAGAAAGTCGTCTGGAAAACTAGCCAATGGTGAGAAAGAATGTTGCTAGTCATTCAAAAATATTGGATTTCCGTAATAAGAATTCTTTTTATATAAAGAAAAAAAGTGAAGTCAGAACGGAAATTCGTTTCTTTTTTTCCTTTGAACAAGTTTATGATAATAAATTCGTTGAGTTTTATACAGATTTAAATAATGATAAATTCGAATATGATTTAGCTATGATTCACAGCCAGAGCGAGTTTCACTCTTTATTATGCAAAGTTCCCATTGCTGCCGACTTGGCATTGTATCTTGTCTGACTTCTTCTTCAAGTTTTCTTTTTATTTTGTAAGCACTTCGTTCTGAATAGAAAAATCTGCTTCTCAAAGAAATGTTGCTGTAAAGCAAGATGATTAGTAGTTTTCTAATCATTGTATGTAAGATGGTTGTAGTAGCTCAACTCAAGTTGATGTGTTGAAGAAAACAGAAAACGATTCATTATAAATAATAGTAAAATAAGCAATCATCTTGTCATATATTTTAAGATGCTCTTGAGAATCTCAAGAGTTCTAGGAACATGTTGAGAAATATTTTGTTTCTTTTCAACCCAAAACTCAATCTATACTTTAGACAAGAAGGAAGTTGGAAACAATCAACCTCAGGTTCAATTGATTTGCATTGTTAATTCTTGCTAGTAGGTTTCAAGTTGAACTCAAAACACTTCGTACACTAAATAAGTCCATTGATTATTAGAAAAATAGAATTAAGCAATTATTGTTGGTCAATGACACGCTGTTGATTTTATGTAGTTGTTTTCCATTCAAATTAAGAACAAAACAAAAAACTCAAGTTCCTTTTTCCTGCGTTGTTTAATATTAGTTGTGATTTGATATTGTAATTTAATTGAAAATTATTCGAGCTACGTTTTCATGTTCAAAGAAAAATAATTTAAAGTTTAACATCATTTATAATAATCTCATATTTTCTGAGAAATATTATGAACAAGCAGTCTACTTAAATTCAAAAGATGGAAAAATTAATAAAAATTACTTGGTTGTTGAGTAGATATCTGACTAACTAAACAAATCTTCTTCTTCTATAATATTCCATGGCGATGAAGATTGCTAATTTTGCGCTTCTAAAAAGCGATGCTCTCATTATTGCTTTTTCGCCATTCGTTTACTTTTAATTACGAAAAAATGAATTCCAAAAATGGCTAGAAGGTCATGACTTTATAGCATAGCAAAACAAAAGCCAAAAAAATGCTTTTCAAAAATAAAAAAAAATGTAAAACAATGGGCAGTTCACTCATAATATATGACAGGAAGATAAATGTTCACTTAAAAGCGTTACGTAGTTTGCAAGCATAAACACGAACATAATAATTAAAACAAAAAGTGAATAATGAAAATAATATTTATATTCTCTGTTTGTGTAGCTAACTTTTGGTTCGGACAACAAATATGGCGAATGAAAACTCATGAATTTTAAAACGAACACTCTTTTCCAAAGCGAATACTCCAAAGAATCAAACGGATCTTTTATAATTAAAAACCAAAATGTTTCTGTTCTTATAAAAGTTAATTGTAAAGGATAATCAGTTCTCTTTTTCAGAATGAATTGATGATATTTAAACTATTTAATCATGGACGTTCAAAAAAAATAATAACAATAATAATAAATCCAAGAATAAATTGGTGAATGAGAAGATTGAAAAAAAAAATAAATTAAAAAGTTGATGAAGAAATAAAATGAGAGAGCATAAATACAAGAAGAAAAAAGTATTAAAAGAAAGTCTTTAGCATTATTCGTTGACTTCTTCTTTTCCTTTCCTTTTATCATACAATCATTCGTCATTGTTGTTGGCTGGTATTCCGAGCATGCTGCTAATTGCGGAGATTTTATTATCATTTATTTATGGATTAAAGCATGTATACAGGGAAATAAAAGAGAAAAATGTAGGAAATTAAATTCTCACATTCATTTTGTCGGAATTAAATGAAATGTAATCGATTTCCAGCAGCTAATCCAAGATAATCAGATTGCTTTGACCGACAATGTATGATAAGTATTTATTTTTGTAACTTGTCAAAGAAAACCATTGCGTAATTACAAAAAAAAAGCAATTCAGTCACGGTGCTTATAAAAAGTTGGAGCAAAGCAATATCATGACGATAAATGTTGAAAATATTCCCAACGAATAAATAACCTCGACTCGAATGAATAAAAAAAAAGATTTAATATTACTATGTAATTTAGAGTCATGCTACTGAAGTGGTTCAATTATGAAATGATGGAAAGATTAGCAATCAGTCAATATAAACTAGTGTTTAAATATTGAGAAAGAGTGAAGAGAACAAGAATAAATATAAAAGAAGACCTCGATCGACTCATGAAACACGGAATGGACGAGAAAGAAAAGAGTAACAAAGAAGATTGAAGACTAGTAGTTCTCGACTGGAACAGCAGCAGCAGCAGAAGCTATGCATAATAATAAAGAGCGACTATCATTCTTGCTGTGAACCATGACCGTGAAATTTAATAGAATTATTTATAGGGAATGAGCTGAAAAAACCCATAAAAACTAACTATTCACTTAAATTCATTAATTCTAATCATTAATTTGCATTACAAATTTTATTTGTAAAGTTTCTTTTTAATGTTTTAATGTTGGTGTGCGACAAAGAGTGAACCTATCAAGACATAATAGCAATTTGACTTAGATGGCAGTTGGAATGACTTCACAAAAGGCTTTTTATCATTCTCATTGTTTCTTCAGCTCTTGTTAGAGCGCATGCTGATTACAGTGGAAAATAATTAGTTTATTTCACACGAGCCTTCTATTTCTTTCTCGCCTCATTACCATTATTTTTCTGGCACTTAAGACAATTTAAAGATTACGAATTCAATAATTTCTAATGAGTCAGCAATTTTGTTTGATGACTAGGTTTGTTAAATTTTTTATTCCAGTTCGGTACCTGCCCCAGCGTTTATGCTTGAACGAAGTAGTTGTAATGATGATGATGATGATGACTATGAATAAGAAGAATATATTTAAGAGTAACCGTCGGATTGTTATGCGCCGCAATTTCTTACGTAATTAATATAAGAAGCATTGTAGCAAGACTTTGTGCTGCTTTGTTGTTCTCTTTACAGAATCAACTTGAGATGTTGTGAAATCAAAAAAAGATGAATAAGAAGAAGAAAGGAAAAACCAACAACTCCTCTTGAGATAGACTGAAACGTGAGGCGAAGACGAAAAAAAGGTTGACGTATGACTTCAAAGGAACACATTTCGATTATGACTCAGCAGGTTCGTTCCGGCTTCGATTCGAATATAATAAATAATTTTTAGAAAGCCAATCGCTCAAGAAGTTTGTTTTTCAAATGAACAAATGCTCGTTTGACCCTTTCTACTTCACTCAACATAACAACAAGTCAAGTTACTTTCGTTGAGTCACTTCAAAACTTTCTCAATCAGTTCGAATAAGTCGATGAACATTTCTTTCTCCTCTCTCAAACATTTTCATGCTTTTCTCACTTTTTTCCGTAAACGAAACGTTCAAATAAAAGAAACTTTCTTAAAGAGTTCAAAATCTTCAACCACAATCACTTGACGTAATAAAAATCGAGCTAATGAAGAGAAACCGCAACGATATTGAGAATAAAAGAAGAAGAAATCTTTTTTTTCGATGGGGCAAAAATTAAAGACGTTTAAAACGAAAGAAAACCGCAAAAGGAGAAGAATAAGAAGTCTTTCTAAGACGAGAAAAGAGCATATTTGTTGTTCAGATTCTTTTCAAATTAGTCTCACGCAATTAACCGAAATTCGTTTTAATTTTTCATTAAACGATCTTTGAAAACAATCTCAGAGACCATCTGTTGAAGAAACATTAGAGAACAAAAGTGTTAAGATGTTGCCAACAAATTCTTTAAAGAGTCCTAATGAGTTTTAAGGAAGAGGGAAACTTTTATTCTTTAATTAGATGTTATTAAATTTAAAGAATTTACTGATCTCATAAAATTACAGAAGTCACTTTAAAAAGGAAGAAAATAAAAAGAAAAACTAATCAAAATAAATAAGTACGCCCTAAGCATTAATTTTTGACAACTGAAACATCTTTAAATCGATAAAATTATTTAAGGGAAAATAATAAAATAAAAACTTCCTCAAACGTTAAACCACATGTGTCATGTGGAGGAGTGATGATATGAAAGGATGTTTAAATTGTTTGGGTTTTGGTTTTATATTTTTTTTATCTTCCAGCTATTACAGCGTGTCGAATATGGAAGCACAACATAGCGATTAAAATGAAAACATCCTGGATAATATTATGTAGGAATTCTTTCTTATGAAATGCACGAGAATTCAATTCATCATAAAAAAATGTTGACAGTGAAATGTTGTATGTAAACAATTTCAAAACAACACATTTCAAAGTCTTCTTAATGGTCAATTTCCTTTCTTTTCTCCCCTAAGTAAGATTTCCCATCAACAATCTTTTAAAGATAAATAAATGCAATTTCACGTTCAATGGAGCTAAGAAAAATGTTGTTGAGGCATCTAAGATTGAAAAGAGATCAAATGTTGAATTCTTCGAATGTCATTGCGGAATTTGATCTGTTTATTTGTGTTTCTGGGGCATGTTTTCGGGGTTTAGATCAAACTTTAAAAAATCTACCTGGAGAGTTAGTCGTCATTCAAGTCTTATGCATCAGATTAAATGCTTTTTTTTCAAATGTGCCGTCTCTTCAAATGAAATTGTTGTGCAATATCACAATAAGGTGTCAAAATACACACGAAAGGAAGAGAAGAAACATGAAAAATCTTTAAACAGCCTGTGGAAACAGTGAATTGTGCCAAAGGCTAAAGCTGAGACTTTCAACGACTCAATTTTCAAGAGAAAAAATCATAACAGAAGCAAACAATATAAACGACAAAAGAGATGCAATTTAGTCCAACTTAAGCAATAGCAATTGAGATGGGTTTGGAAGATTCTTTTTTCTCTTTTTGAAATTGATTTTCAATGTCTCTTTTAAGAAATGTGAAATGATAAGAGAAAATCTTTTCTGTCTCAGATTCAAGAAATGTGACACCAAACAGAAAAACATTCTTGTAATGTTATGTAAATGTTTTGCAAACAATAAAGCTTCAATTTTATCCTCTGAATGGAAATATTCAAATTAGCATGTTCAAAAGAATGAATTTACAAAAGTTGAATGGCAAAAGTATCCAAAGCGGACATTCTTTGACGCGACATGCTCGTAGAGCTTGTTGAAATAAATGTTTTCTTATTGCTCGAATCTTATAAAACAATCTTAGATTATTTGTTGATTTTCTGACCTTGATGTCAATCATTTCTAAATGTTATTTCTGTTTAAATTCAGATTAGTAATGCAAACCTACAACTTTGATATTTCATTTAAAGCTTAAGTCAACGAAACCACAGACAGTTTTGATGATTGAATTTTTCAGTTTCATATCTTAAGCTCAATGCATGTGTCTAAAAGTGAATAATGTTGTTCGATTACGTTCATCCTTGAACTCCAAATCACCACTCCATGCGCAATTCCAATGGTAAAACAAACACACAAAGATTTCCAACTTGCGACATTAAAATAAAAAACTGGATTCTCAGCACAGAGATTTATTTTTAAATGCTATCGTCTATGCTTCAACACGCTATCTCTATAAGTGTAATAAATTGGAGCCAATCAATTTTTGTGCTAAAAGTAATAGGATTTCGTTTGCAACACGCACAAATGTGATTTATAAAAGCCCCCATTTTTAAATTGATTGTATTGAAATAATAAATTATTTTAAATTGCTTTCGTAAACGGCGCAAGAATGTTATGTGTGAAATTGAAATCGCTTTTATTATGAACCGTTCGTTATTGATCTATCAATATCAAGCGATACGAAGGATGATATGAGGGTAGTCACGATTTTTGGGAGACGAAGAGAGGAAATATTGAATCTTTATGAGTGCTCATAAAATAGCTGATAAGGCAAAAGAAAAAGCGACACAAGATTTATTATGACAATTTCATGCTCGTAATCACTGTGAAATTAAATGCTCTGGTTTGTAAGTTGAGAATTTTCCACGGTCAAAAGTTCTTAGATAAATTTCTTTTTTCTGCTGTGTTGCCAAATGTTAACTAAGGACAAAATTATTCTTCTCAGACCGTCGGCTTCGCTTTGACAACTATTAAGATATATTTACGTGAAAGCCAAAGAAACTGCATAATCACTGCTGTTGGTGTTAAGAGCAATGTTCACAATTAAGTCGACGGCTCTTGTAACGACAGTTGAAAAGCTTTTCTTCTCTTTCTCATTTGCAATTCAGATTTCGTCTTGAACTTTGCAGTAAGGATAACGAAATTAATTAAGAAAACTTTTTCACTCGTTTAACCATTGCTATGCAATGACTTTTCACTATTTAAATGAGATGAGTTTTGAAGCCTTTTGAAGCAACTTAAACGATGTTAAAACTTTTCATTGAATATTTGAAGACGAGTTTTATTAATTTTCACTTCCTCGATTAATTTTCTTTTCGCTTAATTTATCAAGTCAACCCTTGAACGCAATTTAAGTTACCAAGCAGCCAACAAAAAGTATAATTTCGTTGATTACCCTTTTATGAAAGAAACGTAATGAGTCTAAGAATTATGGACTTTGTATATTCATAAAAAGAAAATAAACGAAGGAATTCCATTCTCATGACTCGAGTTGTTCCTATGAAAAGGAATTCCAAAATCCATGGAATGTTCTTCATTTGTTTTACTTGAACATAATTAATATGAATAGGAAAGTGGGAAAATGCTCATTCAATAGCTTCTTAAGTGATTTACATTCTTAAATTTTTTTTTGCTTGAACTTAAATGGTGATTTTGCTTGCTCATTACACCATCAACTTACTCATTTAGAATTCTAATTAACGAAAAAGTTTCTCTTGTTTCTGCAGTCGTATTTAAGGAGGATAAAATAAAAAGAAAAATCTATGAAAGACAAGAAGACAAAAAAAAATTAATAATAAGAAGCGTTGAACTAAAAATTATTAATTTGAAGAAGAAGGAAATGGAAAACACCTGCACATTGTTTCATAAATAAATACCTTTTTATATTTATGAGCTTAAGCATATCAACGATCTTCAATTTTGCTTTTTCTCACTAAACAACTTAACGTTTATCTCCTGCATTCAATCGGCGTTTTTCTTTCTAAATTTTTTTTCTCGCGCCTCGAGAGGTTTCAACTGTCACAAGACATTTTGGATTTTGGACAGTGAAAGGAATGAATTCTTTTAATGAAGTTGACAGTGTTGAAATGTGAGCGAGCTTCAAGGCAAATTTTTTCAAACATGTTCGACATTTCAACTCAACCTGTCGCAACAATTCCTACGAATACCTATAATCACAACATTTTTATCTCGCATCATCTTGTTGTTGCCTTTTAAATTCCTGTCAATTTCTGATTCAGTGATTAAAAGAATTAATAGTTTTTGATTTACAATCATTTGGAATTTATTGAACGTTTATAAAATTCATTTAGTTCAGTTCGTTTTCGTTCTCACATTCAAAGCATATTAGGGAGAAAAAGAAGAAAAAAAAATATTATGCAAATCATTGAAATATCTAAGCGCGGAGTTGAAGTGGCAAGCAGCTACCTTTAATCTAACGACCATGTTTTAAACAAGCAATTTAACCAGAAACAATGTATTTATGCAAATGTAATTACAGGTCGTTAAAAGTGTATTCATCTGTTGGTTCTTGATATCGAAATGTTTTATTGTTTCGTATTTTTCTTCTACTCAGAGTCACTTTCTGTGTCGTTCGTGTTTTTTATATTTTATCAAAACGATAGAGAATATAATTTGAAATTTTTATTAAGCCCGTTTGAGCAAACAATTGACCTGCTTTCTCCATTATTTGTTTAGAAGAAGAACGATAGGAGAAAATAAATGCTGGTAAAAAATAAAGTCTTCTTGATCTAAAACAACAACATAAACTGTCTCATGAAATGCTTGAATGTGAAAAGAAATGAAATGTCTTCCAAAGTCGAAATATTCGAGTTAATGAAGTATGAAATGAAATAAACAGAAAAAGTGAAAAACATGTTTTTGTTTCTCCAAATTAACTTGATGCGAGATGATGAGAATGAAAATGATTGATGAGTTCGAAATTTAATTTCCATTCTATTGAAGAGTTTCGAGTATCTCAACACAAAGAAGGCAACAAGCGACTCTTCTAACTTTATGATTGTTTTTTAAGTCTTTTTTCGGGACATAGATCAGAGGAAGTCATAAATATTGATGAGAAAATTCGGCGTCGAGAGTGAATGGGAAGAAGAAACTGTGAAACAATCACCTTATTGGAAGACGTGCCATCGCCAATAACGTTGATGTCGAATGAATGAATGAATGATTCACGTCATAAACGTTATTGGCTTATGCAAATCATAACTTTTGTTTAAGGCAATAAAACAATTTTGAATCGTTTCGGCTGTTAAACAATTGATTGTTGTTGTACCCTACAAGATTACGACATTCTGATGACCGCAATAAAATATTTAATCGGCGACGAATAAAAAAATCTCCATTATGAAGGAAAATTGTGTTGTTCTCAGCTTATGAAATAAAAAATGTTTGATTTATATTTTTTTAAACTAATTAATGCTTTTAATCCTATTTTTTTTAACCGCTAAAACACTTTTTCGCCTCCATTTTGGTTGGCATTTAACGCCTGAGGAAACACAAAACTGTCGACTTAATTATTGTTAAACATCGTTAAATGAACTTGACAGATTAGAAAGTTTTCGTTTTTTCTGTTCGTCGAAGATTGATTAGCGGTGAAGTTAAAATTATAGATAGGTATCTTGGGACTCATTGAGTTCACCGTGCTTACTTCCATTTCCAACAAAAATTATGTTATGATCTCTTTGATTCACCTCTCAATCATGTGCTAAACATTCATCTCATCTCTATGTCTGGTTATGATAAACAACTCAGAAATATATTTTCATGTTCTTAACCAAAAAAGTAAAGGTCAAATAGCAAAACCAAAGCAAATAAACGAGAAATTCGTTGCAGATAAAAATGAGTACATGAAGCATAAAAGGCATAAAAAGAACACCTTTAAGTCATCATTTCGAATATATGTAGAAATGATGTTTCCACCAAACACAAAAATATATATTTATGATTAAATAAATTTCGAAATGTCATAAAACATCTTTTACGGTTCGGCATGCTTGTCTGAAAGACATCAAAATATTTTCATGGTGGACGCATTAACAAGCAGAAATTAAAAAGTTTTTCTTGTGAATTTTTTACTCTCTTCCCTTGTCGTTTGTTTTCTGCTCTCGTTCTACTCTTGATGTATTTGGATGTTTTGATGAAACTTGTTTAAATGAATTCATATTTTCTGGTCCAAGATTTTAATTCATATTTTAACAAAAAATAAAAACAGAAATGTTAACTTGACGATGAATGTCGAAGAATCTTTCATGGAAGTCACGATGCCTTCGAACATGGAACGAACTTAATGTGGATTAAATTAAATTGAAGATCAATGTTCAATCGGAATGTTCTTTTGAAGAAGATTTAAAATGATTGAACATTTACATGGAGGCCCGAAATCAGAAGCTGAATTCCCCACAAACCGTTCTAAATATCATTTGGTTGGGATTAAAACTTGGAATATAAATCAAACAGAATGAAGAAGAATGTATAACCCAAACGATAAAAGTATTTAGCGAGAAAATGTTGAGATTGTCTGAAGTCACTTCCCAACAAGATGAAAAAGAAGAAAAAGAAGCTGACGAAGAAAGAATCGTAAAGAAAGAAATCTTAAGCTCCAGAAGCCGTAGTTTTTCTGTAGAGTCATTCATCTTTTGTTGTTGACTGCTATTTTAAGCTCGCTACTAATTGAGAAGATTTCTTTATCATTAATTCGTGGATTAAACGCGCGACTGAAGGGAGAAATGAAGCAAATTACATTCTCACATTCATCTCAAGGTATTAAGGCAGTTAGATTTCTTAATAACGAAATTAGATGAAAGTGTAATCGATTTTAGTTGACTAAGCTTAGATAATGCTTTTGTCATTTGAAAATCTTATTTAATGAAATAATTTAGAGGTGAAAATAGAATGAAGATTGCTGCGTTTTGATAACTTATTCAAGTGAGAGATATTTATTTTCATGAATGCCGTTGCTTGATTTCAATCCGAATGATTTTAATAATTAAATCTTTTTTCTATTTAAATTATTTGAGAAGAAAAGAAAACTTTGAGTCAGCTTTATCAAGTAAAGTTTCTCTCAATTTGCTAATAAAATTTGTGTTAGAGTGAGGTTTAATTAAAGTAATCTTAGTGTATAACACGACAATTAGTTTCTTGCAGATCATTTGAGTTCATAATGGAATGAGCGTTGAGAGCATTTTAATTGCTATTCACATTCGAAGTTGTGAAGTTCTGCAGGCATATAATTAGTTTATTTAATGGGATAAAATTGAAAAACAAGAAATAAAAAATTGCATAAAAGTCAGAATGTGTTGATTGCAATAATTCCTCGTTGATATAACAAACTACTGCACTTTCCTCACGTAATTTATTTACCGTCTGCTGATTATGTTGCGAGTGAAGGAAGTGAAACTGTGTAGAATAACCCCGAGCATTCTCAAACATTTGATTATACGTACCTGTTGTTTTATGAAAACTGCGAAACATTACAATGGAAGTTTTTTTTTTTGATTACTGCTTTTCACACCGGTTATTACAATGGCGACATCAACTACATGCAGTAATATTCACTGCACTTCAACCACACGATCATGCGATGACAAAAGTATTTAAGCATTAGCCACAGCCCTATTGTCTCCCTCTTCTCTATAATCTACTGATGACCATGATACAATAAGAACAATGGACAAACAAAAAATAATATTAAAAATTGCCATGCATTTCAACATTCAGAAGCCAAAGGGAACAAAGAATAACGAAGTTTGAGTTATGTGCGTGAATAATTCAGTATGTATTTTGTGCAAATTTTGTTTCGATATCAACTGGTTGTCTGCTTTAATAAATTCAATATTTACTTACATTATCCATGATTACGATAATATTTTCAGCAAGATTGTATTCACTTGAAGTTTGAAAGACGGTGAACATGTTTTAAATGGCAAAAAAAGAGAATAAGAACGATAATTTTTTAACATCAAATAAACAAGAATGATCAACGTCATGATAGATCTCAAGCGTCAGTCAGAGTTTTAAATATCAAACCATTGCATCTGTGAAGAAATGAAAACTGAAAGTCATGGTTCAAGCGAAGGAGAAATAATAATCAAAAGAATTGTTTTTCATTTCAAAACAAATTCAAATCACATTCCTGAGAATGCTATTTAGAAAACAAAACAGAATTAGTTCGTGGAAACACGTAAGTATTTATGACTCATTATACAATTATGTATGCTTTCATTTCCAATATACTTCAAGATTTCTAAGTTAGTTCTTTCTAACCAGAATTAATTGATCAATTAGTTACTACCATTTTTCTTCGTGTAATAATATTAAAAGAAAAGAAAGACAGAACAAAGTCAGAAACCCACGCAAATGTGAAAGTAAGTATTGAATCACAACCACGACTCGTGGATACGACATCGAAGGAAAAGCAAATGCAAAAGCAAATTTAAATAATGGAAGAAATAAATTTCATTAAAATTTGTCTTCAATTTTTCAATCAGCATGCACATTTATTTATTCATTTTTTTTTGTTGTATTCTTTAACTTCTTCCCAATCGCAATCTTCCCGTATTTTATTTCGTTTCAGAAGCTTCTTTAATTCCTTATCCAAGATTGTCTTGTCTTTACAGAAAGGTAATTTTCCTTTTTTTACTTATCTCATTCGCTTGCAATTTCCTTGGTATAAAATATTTACCGATTTATTCTTCTTCACTTTAATGTCATGCTGAAATTGCTTCTCCATTACTCTTTTAGTTCTTTCTACGTTGCAAGTTCCTGAAATGTCTTGTAACTTTTAATAATAAATTAATCTCATAAGTTCTTTCAAGCCTTTTTTGTCTTTTATTGGAAATGGAAAATAACTAAGTAATGATATTAAATTAAAATGACTTCAGCATGAAAGGTTAAAACAAATTGTTCACGTGACGCGTTTGATAATCTCAAATGAAGAAAGTAGTTATGACTTTTCTCATTCAATGTAAAAGTTTCAATTCGAAAAAGTTTCCAAGTGAAGTGAGAAAATATAAATCACATTGACGATCGTTGAATTATGCAGAAAAGGAAGTGAAAAATGAAAAATAAATCATAAGCATAAAAAGCAGAGTAGAATAACTAAATATTCCGTCAAAAACCAAATTAGCTTCAGACATCGCGAATATTGCGTGACTCATGTGCCAGGATGAACCTGACTGAACTTTTAAATCGATTTCTGCTCATGCCTTGTCGATTTCGTGTAGCAAATTAAGTAAAATAAAAAATATATTCATTTTGTAAATACCTACTCGAAGATTTTACAAATTTTATTTTACTTCTCTTTGAAGTATTTGTTCGTGAACGACGTAATATTTAATTGACAAGCAGCCGCGAAGATATTCTGATCTCTCAATGAAAATTTAAAAACGTAAATCGCTGAGAAGACACTAAAATAAGAAGAAGGTTTCAAGAGTTTTGACAGTTAAAGATGACTATTGGAAAGTTTCGACAATTCTTCTAAAACCTCCAATAATTGGCTGAGAATTATCTGCTTTCTACTCTTCGTTTTCTATTTTCAGAATATGTACATATTTCCATAGCTTCTTCGTGATGATTGATGGATTGTAAAATGAGGGAATCATCAAAGTCTTTGTAGAAGTTTCGCTTTTTATGGAAATCTAATCAACAAAGTCAAAGTTTATTTGAAAGCATACCTTGTTGTTCGTGTTTGAAGTGGAACTACGATGAGCAAACATAAACGACAAACAATGGGAACTTTCATTGCTTTTGTGGGAGATGAAGAAGAAGAAGATATTTGATAAATTAACTTCTGGAAGTTCTTGTTTAGATTTTGTTCGTGATATCATAAACATTTTCGTTCTGAAAATTTAAATAAATTTGTTTACCTGAAAGACATGTCAAACAGTGCAAACAGAAATAAAAAATGTTCGAAGAAGAATTGTCTGTTGTTCCACTGACATAAATAACTTCTCAGAAGATATTTGCAATGATAGTAACTGTCAAGATTATTGCAAGAAGTTCTTTTTATTCTGTCTCAGATGAATGGAGATTAAGAATAACTTGAAAATATTTCCACTTAAATTTTGTGACCATATGTCTTTGCAAATAATTTGAATAAGCAATTTGTGGTTTCAAGCTTCAACTAGTTAATCAAACAACTGCTTTTAACATGTCATTACTTCTTCCTTAAATGATCGATTATTACTTTATCACAAAAATAAATTTCAATTTAATTAGACAATCAACAACAAATTTTTGGTTTGCATAAACTTCAAAGGAATTTTGCATTCAAGTTCTTCCTTCTTTGAATCGTTGCAATTGCTTTCTCATTATTTTCACCATTCTTTTCCTTCGTTCAAAATCATTCTCGTGTCTTTCGAATAATCTTCTTTCATTTTCCCAACCTAACGGCACTCCTATTTGTTTAGGGAAGGAAGGCACTCGAATACTTTGTTGACCTGTTTCTTCTGCTATAAGTCTTGCAGCTTCATCGAAACTTTGAATTCCTCTTGTGAGCAAATAATGTTTCAAATTGAACAAACGATCAATTTTATTCTCAAATCTTTCTCGTCCAGTAGTTCGCCAAGGTGCAGGAGGAGGAATTCCAGTGCTGATCCATTGAGGCAATCTACTTGATGGATCAAATTGTTTCTTACGATAGTACTCAAATTCCAATGGCAAGGCCAATTCCATTAGTGAATATGGATCTAGAACTCCAATTTCTCTTGGTCTTTGAAGACTTACATTCTGATTATAAGCTGCAGTTCTATTCAAGATTTTGTTTCTCAATTTCACATTTCGATTTTTCCAACTCCAATTTAAATTATCAGGATCACTTCGATGATTTGTTGTGAGAACACTAGGAGTGTATGTTACTTTTGGTCCACTAGTTGAAGGGAATTAACATTTTTTCAAAGAGGGAATTAAAAACCTTTAGAAATATATCAGAAAACTTACTTTCGGGCAGTTCCAATTCGTCCAAGGCTAGTGTTTAGTGTTTGAGGAGGGATTCTAATGTGATAACGTTATATGTATTGGCAAAACAATGTTTATTATGAAAATTCACATTGAACTCACTTTCTAATAGTTCCTAGTGGTCGCTGAACTCCATGTTGCAAAGTTGTATTTGCCATGTGGAACTCAGGTACGCTAACAGAAATTAATATCACCTTAACAGAATTCTTCAAAAACTTTTCAATTATAACTCACATTTGTGGTTTCTGAACACTTTCTGGTGGCACAATGTAAACTCTAACAGAAAATTAAAATTGTGATAAAACTTTATAATATGAAATTAACATAACTTACATATTTGGAGCAGTCAATGGTCTTTGAACCCTTTGTTGATGTTTTGCTTTTGCTAGCTGGTAAGGTGTTCTAAGTTTGAAGTAAAATTGTCACAAAAATTCAAAAATTTATTATCATAAAAAGAAAAACTTACATGCCACTTGAAATTGGTCTGTCGTACTCTGGTACTCTGGTCATCTCGTAGTCTGGTACTCTGGAAGAAACATAAAATTGTGATCATTTTAATACCACAGAAAATCCGTTAATCAGAAAAAAAGCAACTTACATGAAATTGGTAGTTGGCATTTGGTATTCTGTTGATTTAGGTACCCTAGAGTAAAATATTAAAAAAAAGTTGGAAATAATGTCTTTGAAGTTACATTGAATGCAGCTTACTTTCTCACAGCACCAAACCGCATTTGTGTAGTTTGCTGATGAGCTTTTGTAGGAATTTGAATTTTCACTCTAAAAGACAAATAAATTAATTTGTGTCAAAATTATCTCTTTGCAAACATTCTTTAAATTAAATAAATACTTTTTCCTTGCACTTAATGGCCTTTGAATTGTTTTCATACTTGGCTTTTTAGAAGGTGGCCTATTAAAATAATGAGATTGTGATTAAACATTTAAAGATAAAAATTCATATGAAATTTACGTTTCGCCGGGTTTCAGCAACTTTAAAACACTGAAGTCACGTGGAATGTTATTAAGATCCAACAAATTCATATCTTCGTCACTTTCAATGAATGATCTGTTCCTATTCTCAATTTCTTTTAGTTTCTTCCCAATTTCTGCTGCAGCTCGACTGAAGACGTCATATGTAAGCTCTTTTTCTGATACTTTTATTGAACTTCCCAATGTGTGTCTTCTTGCGGCTGAAATTTGTTTTTGATTTCCTGCAACTCCAAATGAATATGGATGTGGACCTTCATGCAATGGACGGTTGAACCATTTCTTTTTGGCCTGTTCTGACAGACTCATATCTTCGTCACCATAAATTTCGAACTTATCTAAATTGATACTATCTATGTAGACAGTTGAATCGAGTTCTTCATTAGGAACATCAACTTCAAAGATAGGAATAGTGACATTAACACCTTTAGTTTTAATATGAACAGTTCGCTCTCCTTGAGTCAAACTCCTTAAAGTTAGTTCACGGAGGGTCAAATCTACTTCATGAAGAACTCCTTCCTGATCTTCCAAAAACCCTCGAATTTGTTCGTTTAAAGTTGCTCGTCTTGGTACAATTCTAAACTTTTTTCCATCAACGTTTTTAACAAAAGCTTTGCCTATCTGCTTAAACATACCTGTTGATCTCAATCTCGACATAATATTATAACCAAGAAGGAATAACTTTTTCGGAACGCCTATATCGATTTTGTAATTGAAAAAATCCTTTTTATGATCGATGTAGACTTGAAGCTTCTTCATGAGTATCATTGCATGTAAAGAACAAGCGTAAGTTTTGTTCATTATCTCGACGCAATCTTTCATGTAATTTTTTTTATAATCCCCCACGAATTGCTGTCTTACATGTTCAAGTTTATCGGATCCAAAATCTCGACCTTCAAAAAGTTGAGGAGCCAATAAGCTTATTTTCTTCATTTCGTCTTCAGCGTCGTCAAAAGTGTTCATCTCCATATTGTGTAAAACTTTTTGCAAGCCCTCTTTAAGATCATTCAATATTTTTGTGTCATGTTCTACTTTAGCTTTAAATTCTTCATAAATCGAGTTTAAAAGTAAGAAATCTTTAGCAGTTTTAATTGTCTTATCTAAGAAATTCATTACTTTTCTTATTTCAACTTTGAAGTTGCATGCTTTGGTAAGATCGACACCTTCTATCAATTTATTATAATTTTCTGCATTATGCTGTCTGATGTTCGGTATTTCAATCTCAGTTATTTCTCTTTTTTCACCCACAGGATTGAATGTTGAATCGTTATCATCAGACATTTTATATTCAAAAAATTCATAACTGTCGTCAACTTCAGATTCTTCTGTTGATGAACTCACTACTTTGATCATATTTTTTGACAACTTAAACACATATGTAACGCATTTCATGAACACTTCGATTCTGTCAATAATATTTTGAGCAATTTCTAGCATCTTGTTGTAATCTTTTTCATCCAGGTTCCCCAGCCTTCTATATGTTGGAACTTTCTTTTTACTTATAATGTTTTTCATTTCTTTTTCAAAATATTTGCGATCGTCTAACATGTCGTACTTACAATCAATATAATGATTTTGTACTGCAAGAAATGTCTCTTGACGTAGTTCACGATTATCATTTTGATTTTCAATAACGTTGACAAAGTTCTCGAACTTTTCTTTCAATTGAATAAGTTGAATTGCGTTTTTTTTGACGATCTTCAACAAGTATCTGACGTTTAATCCAAAATCATCAAGAAAACGTTCTACATATTGGCTGATATCTGTGAAAAGTCTAGCAAAGAAGTTGATGGCATCTGCATTGTACTTTAACGCCTTGTAAATTTCTCCTCGAATTAGATTTGCGTCTGGTTGGACACCTTTTCGAGGAGGCGATGGTAAGGGCGATACTGCTCTAGGTAGATAGCCAATCTTTCTGGCTAAGTCTTCATGTTTGAACATATTACTAATGCTGATTAAAAATTCAGGCTCTTCATATTTGCCCCTATCGGTGTTGCTATCCGTGCTGCTTTCCGTGCTGCTCTTTGTTGGTTGTAGAAAGCTGAAATCCATTCTGATTAAACAAGAATTTAATATACAAAGAAAAATTTAGAAAACGAGAAAATTTGTTAATTATTTTCAAACGGAAAGAAAAATAAAATCAACTCAACATTTATAAATTGCTAACTGCGATAACTTCAATGAAAGTTTACGTTATTTAAGGGAGATCATTTGCAGAAATTTTTATGTTTCTTTTGTTGTATTGTTAAGAAAAAGGGCGACGAAGAGTGCAATCATTTGCAGCCTTCTAAGATTTGAAGTCATAAACTTGTGCCTACTGACCCAATCAACTGCTGTTCGGTTCTTTGATTTGTTCCACTCGTAGTACCTTTAACAATATTTGTAAGCAGTCATCTTGACAACAAGTTGAGAAGAATTTCTCTATTGAAGTGCAAGCTGCTTCCATAGAGATGTCCGACAACGAGAAAAGCAGTTTCGTTTATGAAAACAAGTTTAAAAGAAACAAGAGCCATAAATTGCTTGAGATAATTGTTTACTTTGCCACCCATCGATAAATGTTTAAACTATCCGAATAACTATGCCTCTCTTTCGTCTTCCTATCTATCGTCTCTACGATTCTCGAATACTAAATATAGTCGTCAAAAGGAGGCAACACATGATGCTGTTTCATTGTTGTTCATATTTCTCGTTTATCTCCCAAAAATTTCTCTGCTTTGTGATGTTTGGAAGTTTGGAATGAAATCCGAGTGTCATTTTTTCTATTCTCTTCTCTTCGCTCGCCTCTAGCTGCAGGGTGTCTTCTATCCAGTTGAATTAAACTCTATTCTTCCTTTTGTCAATCTTAAGATTCTAAATAAGCTATCATGAGTTTGAGAAGGAGATGAATAATATGGCACATTAAGAAATGTGAGAGTTTAATTTTAACTTCAAAGATGTTTTAGAGGTGGAACTATTCAAACATATCTTTTATTAGCTTTCGAAACCTTTTCATAACATGTTATTAATTATAATTCATAGCTTAAGCAACAATAATTAAAACGACCCCTTTTCTTCATAAAAATATAAATATAGGAATGATGCATTCCCATCTCCAGACAGAAATTGCCATTCCTTTTTTAGAAAAATCATTCAATATGGAGAAATGACTTTTTTATCATGGAGATTGGCGTTTATTTTTCAATAATATTTTAGGTTTTTCAATTCCCAGACAATATAAACAGAAAAAACATCTAAAACTGCTCGAATCAAGTTAAGATTCGTTGCAGATAAAGGTGAGCATAAATACATGAAGCATAAAAAGAACACCTTTAAGTCATCATTTCGGATATATGTTGGAATGATGTTTCCACCAAACACAAAAATATATATTTATGNGTGATAAAACTTTATAATATGAAATTAACATAATTTACATATTTGGAGCAGTCAATGGTCTTTGAACCCTTTGTTGATGTTTTGCTTTTGCTAGCTGGTAAGGTGTTCTAAGTTTGAAGTAAAATTGTCACAAAAATTTATTATCATAAAAAGAAAAACTTACATGCCACTTGAAATTGGTCTGTCGTACTCTGGTACTCTGGTCATCTCATAATCTGGTACTCTGGAAGAAACATAAAATTGTGATCATTTCAATACCATAGAAAATTCTTTAATGAGAAAAGAAGCAACTTACTTGAAATTGGTAGTTGGCATTTGGTATTCTGTTGATTTAGGTACCCTAGAGTAAAATATTAAAAAAAAGTTGGAAATAATGTCTTTGAAGTTACATTGAATGCAACTTACTTTCTCACAGCACCAAANTAAATGTTTAAACTATCCGAATAACTATGCCTCTCTTTCGTCTTCCTATCTATCGTCTCTACGATTCTCGAATACTAAAAATAGTCGTCAAAAGGAGGCAACACATGATGCTGTTTCATTGTTGTTCATATTTCTCGTTTATCTCCCAAAAATTTCTCTGCTTTGTGATGTTTGGAATGAAATCCGAGTGTCATTTTTTCTATTCTCTTCTCTTCGCTCGCCTCTAGCTGCAGGGTGTCTTCTATCCAGTTGAATTAAACTCTATTCTTCCTTTTGTCAATCTTAAGATTCTAAATAAGCTATCATGAGTTTGAGAAGGAGATGAATAATATGGCACATTAAGAAATGTGAGAGTTTAATTTTAACTTCAAAGATGTTTTAGAGGTGGAACTATTCAAACATATCTTTTATTAGCTTTCGAAACCTTTTCATAACATGTTATTAATTTTAATTCATAGCTTAAGCAACAATAATTAAAACGACCCCTTTTCTTCATAAAAATATAAATATAGGAATGATGCATTCCCATCTCCAGACAGAAATTGCCATTCCTTTTTTAGAAAAATCATTCAATATGGAGAAATGACTTTTTTATCATGGAGATTGGCGTTTATTTTTCAATAATATTTTAGGTTTTTCAATTCCCAGACAATATAAACAGAAAAAACATCTAAAACTGCTCGAATCAAGTTAAGATTCGTTGCAGATAAAGGTGAGCATAAATACATGAAGCATAAAAAGAACACCTTTAAGTCATCATTTCGGATATATGTTGGAATGATGTTTCCACCAAACACAAAAATATATATTTATGATTAAATAAATTTCGAAATGTCATAAAACATCTTTTACGGTTCGGCATGCTTGTCTGAAAGACATCAAAATATTTTCATGGTGGACGCATTAACAAGCAGAAATTAAAAAGTTTTTCTTGTGAATTTTTTACTCTCTTCCCTTGTCGTTTGTTTTCTGCTCTCGTTCTACTCTTGATGTATTTGGATGTTTTGATGAAACTTGTTTAAATGAATTCATATTTTCTGGTCCAAGATTTTAATTCATATTTTAACAAAAAATAAAAACAGAAATGTTAACTTGACGATGAATGTCGAAGAATCTTTCATGGCAGTCACGATGCCTTCAAACAAGGAATGAACTTAATGTGGATTAAATTAAATTGAAGATCAATATTGAGTGGAATTTCACAGAAAAAGATTTAAAAGAACTTAACGTTCATGTACATTGATGCCTAAAACGGCAGCAAATCTTCAAATGAAACTTTTCAAATAAATCAGAAAAGTTTTTTTTCTTCTTCAAATACGCTTAACGATAAAAGTATTTAGCGAGATAATTTGAAGGCGCGATTTAAGCTTAAAAAAAAGAAAAAACGAAGTAAGAAGCAGATATGAGAGTTTAAAAGAAGTCAAGCTTACTTAAACAGCTATGGTCTTCTGCTAAGTCATTCTTCGACTTTTGTCTTTGGACTCATTTTCTCTACAAAACTCGCTACTAATTGACGAGATTTCTTTATCATGCATCCACAACGGATTAAAAGAAATAATAGAATAAGATGCAAATTAAATCATCGAGTCGTGTCGTGATGTTTAACGAAACATTCCTAATAAAGAAGTTCGACAGAAACAAAATCGATTTCAGTCGACTAATCAGAGATAATGCTTATTTATGGAAATTTTTAAATAATTTTATTCAAATTAATCTGATGTGTTTTGCTTCATCTTTTTCGAAGAATCGTTTTACCACGGAGGAAATACTCAAAGAAATCTCAACGTTATTCAATGGTGTGTTTGTTTGCTTTTTATTTTTATATTTTTAAGATATTTTCCTACACAAACTCCGAAACTCGTATGTAAGTATTAAATCCAAATCGTTATCCTTAGACAACACACAATAATTCTTCCTACATATAGGTCATTGCTCAGAAAACTCACGTTCAAGAGAGAAACGTTGACGTAACGTAAGCTGTTTTTTACCGCACAAGCCGTTTTTGAGAGAAAAGTACGGTACAGGAGAGAAAAAAAATCAGTTTTCAGACATCACGCGGATTGTAAAGACGTGGAAAACCTTCGCTCCGTAATTTTCAGAAAATAAATGCTGTTCATTAATAAAAAATTTAAAACTAAGTGAGCACTAAAAAAATCAATTTATTTTGTGAGGGGAAAAATTTAATATTCAAATGAAATTGTATGAAGTGAAGAAAATGTTGAAAGTAAAAAATTAAAATAAAAGTTTTTGTGTATAAAATAAGAGAGAATCTTGAAAAGAAGAATAAAGATAATCTTTTTGTGCAACATAAAAAAAAACTCACTCGAATTTTAATTAAAACAGTGGAAAAAAGGTTGATATCAAATTTGGAAGAAAGGATAACTTTTTTCTCGCACTTAAAAAAAATATAAAGGTAAGAAAATTTCTCTGGGAAAAAGAAATTTACAAATCTAATCGTGTTCGTGATCTGAATGATTTTTACATTTAACCCTCAACTGTTCAAGTGTTCAGTCTCAATGATATCGCTTGAAGCTGCCAAGAGATTTAAATTCAAAACACAAATTTTGGTCGAGTTGAAAGATGCTGAGTCTCGTAGGAAGACTTCATGAGAAAATGTTCGAACCACAAAAGATGTTTACTTGAGAAATTAGATGACCCCGGTTGTCGGTGTTAGACTTGAATGTGCTTGAAATTTGTTTAACTTGAAGTTCCAATGATGTTCTCGTTTCGCACCTTCCAATTAAACTTTCCAAAAAAAAAATGTTATACAAATAAAACGTGAGCATAAAATTTGAGCCTCAACAACACGAGAATTGTAAAACTCACCGCGCTCATGCATACATAAAACTTTAGGGAATTAGAAATTACAACATTAAATTATGTGTGAGGAATGGAATACCTACATAAAAAAGAGGGATCCAAAAATGATTATGATTTGAGGGCGGAGTGAATTACGTGTTAAAATAGAATTGTCCATTAATTACTTTATTCTTCATTGTAATTATAACGTTACGCAACTGCCGCAATCGAATTTTAATTTAAATACGATGGTATTAAAACTAATCCAGTTGCTTCAGTCACCCGGAATAAACAGTCGACAGTGAGAAAGGGCGTTTTCATCCAAGTGCTGGTATCATTTGTTTTGTTTTGATTTTTTTCTTTTGTGTGGGCCCTCTTATGAAGAGAGCAGACTTTGTTGGAGCTTTCGGGCAAACACGAACGGAAAAGCAAAAAAAAAAAATGAACAGAAAAAAATAACATAAACAGACTCCAGAGAATTGGAGATGATTAATTTACAGAGCAACGCTTTTTGTGGCCGAAAATTCTGTTCTTAACAATTCGCGCTTACAGCTCGCACATTTTCTCTCCGCAGGGAGTGAATTAAAACGAAAGAGTCCTTGACAAGATGAAGATTCGTTTTTGCTTTTCCTTTCTCAACCTCCACCCCGCCCGAAAACTCTCAGCTTGAAGATCCTTTAAAGGAAAGTGATGAATAATTAATGACGACATCATGCTTTATAATGAAATTTATGACGCTTTGTTTAAGCAGTAGCATCTGCTTTCCTTGTTGTGAAATCTTTATTTTCCATTCAAAAATATTTTTATGATCCATGCTTATCTGGTCGTCGTTTCTCTGTACCCTTGAAGCTTCTTGGGTTGTTGAGGTGAAAATAATAATTTCTCGTCGAAGGATCTTGAAGTGTCATAATCTCTAAACGCAGTGGGAATACCCAACCATTTCACTTTCCACTTCAGGGATTACTTCGTACTTTTTGCTTGCTTTCTTTTCAGGCCAACAAAAGAAACGGCAACGGCGGGGAAAATTGATTATGAAAAATTATAAATAAATTTTAGACCGTAAATCTTTCTAACGACTGCCACACGCAAACTGGATTTAAGGGATGAAACTTCCACTTCATTCAACCGGTTGCAACATTTTTGCACTTTTTTTTTGAGTAAGCACAGCAAGGGCTCTCTTACCGTCGCTTTTTTATTCCCTCGATGAAGCGTACAAAAAGCAATAATAATGAACGATGATTACACAATTTTCGAGTTATGGGTTTGTTGCTGCTATGAAAAACTGAACAACGCGTTCCGGGTAGGAAATGTGCATAATAAATCTTTTAGAATTGAATGTGCACCGTTTCAAGCATTCACTCTCGGTGTGAAATAAAACAAAAAAGCGAAAAAAAACAGTTATATACAATATAATTGGGTTCATCTTTTATGATGCGGCCGATGGAGTCTTTCTCTCGTTTGTTGATTTCATGCATCGTTGCGCAAACGCTTATTTAGGTTCTTTCTTTCTTTCTTTCTAAGCATTATTGCGATGTATGGTCGTGAAATCCTAGAGTCATTGCTGATTCATCAAACTTCTTTACGACTTCAAGTCCCTTTCAGCTTTATTCATAGAATTAATGAAGAAATTGTGCAGATAAATTTGTGAACATTTTGTTGTTTTACGAGGAAAGTCGAAAATAAAGTTTTTGTTTTTTTCATTCAAGGAATATGTCGAAGTTATGTTGTACAACTTCTTGAGACATGAATCACCATTCAGGCGAATAAAGCTTCCCTAAAAGATTTTAACGTTTTAAGGAAAGAGAGGAAAGTTTCTAAAACAACTTTTGAATATTAATTTTTTTACTTCTAAAATATTCATGTTAGCGTTTTGGAAGACTGTTCACATAATTTCTGATGATTACTTAAATCAAATGCCATTTATTTATTAATGAGAATGCTTAACAAACTTTTTTCTTTTGACTTGTTCTAATAGTTGAACAAGTTCAGTTTGTTTTTCTTTTTCATTCATGTTTTATATTTTCGTATGCTTTTTAACTTTTAAAACTTTCAACCTCAAACTTTATTCCTGGCTTATAAGTTCAAGTAAAAGTTGGTGAAACAAACTATAATGCATTGTTTCTTGTCGAGGCTTCATCTAAAAACGATTTCAGTTTAAAGCGGTTTACAATTTATGCAATAATCAGACTTACCGCAAGTAACATTCGAATGGTCCCTAAAATCGTTCTAAGATTTTTCATTTTCTCAATCTTTGAAGAAGTTTTCTTACCGAAAACGAACTCTTTTGATGAAATTTCGTTCATGTCGAAAGCAAGCATGTACGAACGAAGTGTTTATATTTGGGAAAATGTCTGTAATTACTTTTATGTGCAAAAAGGCGCTTTTTACTTTACTGAATAGAGCTCACAGCCATTGAAGCGTATGGTGAAAATTTTCTTCCTACAACTTTTATAATTCTATCTTTATATTGAGAGTAAACTCTAATGAAATTAGTGTATGACGTATGCAAGTATGTTATGTAAATACATATGTAAGAAGGCATTGAAACGGCGCAAAAAGCTTTCAAAGAATGAGCTAAATGTGATTAAAATGGAGATTCCCAGGGAAGAATATAACATTACTTGTATGATGTGTGCCGACGATGAAAAGCTCTAATGAATGAGTGAATGAAAATGAATGAAATGTGAAGTTCACAAAAAGCGGTGCTTGGAAAAATCATCACGAAAAAGAAATTCTTCGTAAAAGGGTGTGATAATTACAATTTCAAGAAATTTCATTTAAGGGTAGTTCAAGTTAAGAAGAATAAAAAAACAAATGGAACGAGCAAGGAAGAGAGTAGAAAAAGCTTTTAAAGCACTTAAGAAAATGAGTTTTCCATTCACAAATTGTCGTTTTAGAAGAAATGAATGTAAAGGATTTTTAGGTCGCTATTAATGTAATTTTTTTTCACAGAAGTAAAAGCTTATTTAAACACCATATTTCCGTTCTCTTTTGTCTGTTTTCATTGCTTACATAACATTTGAAGTCATATCAGTGATTTTTCATATATTTAAATAATAGAAAACGATTGAACCATTCCCTCTAGTCATTCATTCAATTTAGTTATCACAGATTAAACATTCAGTTATGAAAATTGAAATGTGAATTTCTGCATTTTGTATTAGCTAAACTAGAATAAATGGAAGTTTTTAGTTTTCTTTTTCATTGTAAATGAAATTGGCTGTGATGTTGCACAAATAATTGAACAATCGAGTTTGTTTTCAATTTAACTTCAGTCAATTGATCAATGAAATTTGTTAGAATGCCTCGTAACGTATGAGAACATGAGACTGGGAATTAGAAGGATTTTAATGAACAATATCACATAAGCTGACTCCATAATCCAAAATGATGTTCCCGATCAAATTAATTGAACTCGTATTGATTCACATTCGTTTGTTATTTGGTACAATGAATGTACTGATAAGAAGATTAGTGTAAATTACACATTTTTTCCATCTCTTCTCATTCTTCTTTAATTCCCTCAAAGTTCGATCAAAAATAAAACGAAAAAAATCTTTGAAATCTAAAGCCGAACAACAATGACACTTTCAAACAAATACATCGCATGTATAACGAGAAAATCTGCAACAATCATCCATTTGATTGAATAAACAAACAATACCTAAATGGAATGAACAAGAAATGGCAGAAAGGAAGAAAAAAACGTGTCATAATAATGCAGAAGTTGGATTTCACTTTTCAAAGTTGTAAATACTTTTTGAAAAGGTTCTTTCATAGTCCTCACTCCCTTTTGTGATCTGTTTAATGTTTCGTCCCTTTTTATTTTTTGGACATTTCAAATTCTCAGTCATAAGCCCTTCAAACACCCAGAGCCGACCCAGAAAATGAAAAGAAAGGAGAAAAAATCCATTAAATCGTTGCAAAGATGTTTTCTCGGGATTTATTTCGACGTTGCCAATTTTCGTTCTTCTCTTTCGTTTTATGTTGGAATCTGTGAGGGAACATCTGGTCATTGAAATATGTTTCGACTTCTTTTTTATTCCTTAAACTCCACGGTATAAAAATCTGAAAGGATTATTTGAATAAAAGAAATAGAGCGGAGACCATAAAGTTAGATAAATGTTGTGTGTGTGGGTGGGAAGGTGAAAAGAAAAGTTTGGAAATGAAATTGCATAAAAAATTTCCGTCGCCGTTGTGAAAGCGACAAAGAATATTCTCCAACATTCAAATGAGATAATAGTCCTTGATATCGTCACACTCTTTGAAATTCACACAAATTTTAAATTCAGATCTCATCGAGCTTCACTACATTGTGAAAAGCAAAATTAATTAAAAGTTTTTCTTCTTCTTTACTTTCAGAGTATGCAGCAGAGAAAGATTGGCGTTTGAATTAAGCGAAACTTGGACCTGTAAATGTTTCGCATGATCTGTCATCATCATAATCATCATCATCGTCATTGAACAACTTATGCTGTTTTATGAATGTTCACTTTCATTTGTTCATCTTCATGAAAATGGCACGACAAGCGTACAGCGTGCCACGCAAAAAACTCTTTGAAGTGTTGGTGTTAATTTTTACGTGTTTAATAACAAATATTTGTGGCGAACAATCGTGGGATCATATCGTTGATTTAGATCAGAATTTCCAGCTATTATGGAAGGTACGAGAGCCTGACATCGTCTTCGAAGTGCAAGTGAGAACGCATGGATACATCGGCTTTGGATTCTCACGTGATGGCACAATCTATGGGGCAGATGTCTTCATTGGATGGGTTGATAATGGACACACATTCTTCCACGTAAGTTGATCTCTCTTATTGCTTCTTGAAAATTATAAAGGTTGATTGAAAACGTTGAACATGCAAGAAACGATTTAAAATCGCTTTAAGCAACTTTCAAATTTAATTATATGTCTTAACAGCAAATTTACGAAAATAAAAATTGCATCGAATGCAAACGCGTCTCTTTAACTTGATTATTGACTGCTTGTCTAACGTCTGCTTGCTTCCCTTTCACATTACCATTAAATATGGCGACAAACGAAGCAATTCAACCACCAAATGTGCACCAAAAAAACGACGACAACCACGACGATGACGACGTCGGAAAAAAAATTCTTCGCACAGTCCATTGTGTTATTTATTTCATAAATTTCTGATAACTGAAAAGGAAGAAGAACAAAGAAGTGAAATTATTGAAGAATGCGATGGAAGAACAAAAACAATGGAAGTACACACAGAAGCGCACAAAAAGCATAAAAAACATAAAATATACATTATGCTGCTTTAAGTAAAAGGAAGAAGAAAAGTGCACGTGAATAAATAATCTTCTAGGTAGCTTCTGGCCTCCATCAACTGGATCAACTTCAATGAATTTCATTGCGAATTTTTCGGCTTTTTATCGATCAGCTTCTTTCATTTTTCTCTCCTTCCTGCTAGCATTGTCATTAAAGTGTTTTTTGATGTTTGAATTGCTTTGTCCTCGAAGGCACTTTTGCTCTGCAATTATCTGTGAGTCGATTTTTTGTTCCTTTCAACAACATTCTTGTTGTTTTATGTTTTACTTCATGTTCCTTTTTTTCTTCTACTTGTATCGAATCGAAGCGGGCGGGGGTTGCTTTGTGGGATTTTAAGCCAAGGTTGTAAAATATTGATTTATATTAATTTTAGTGAAGGAAAACAGAAGCAAAAAAACGAGCAAGTCACTTATTTATTTATTTCCTTATTTTTTCCTTATGAAGCAAGTGGCATGACATAGTCAAACATTTTCACTGCTTACTTCTGTCTTTCCATTCGATTGAATAGAAATACGAAACAATGATTAAGAAAGGGGTTTACGGCAATTATCCAATTATGAACCGTTTTCGTACGATGGAAAAACAGTTTCAATTTCTCTACACACTCGAATGGGTCAATTACGTTTTATTTTCGACCCAAAGTATGGTTGAATAGTTCGTTTCATTGAACGAGTAAAGTTTTCATAATTTTTCAATTCTCTTTTTTTTCTCTCATTTTATAGGATTGTCACATAAAGACGCATAGTTCATCGGGTGAACCCGTGCCGGATGCTATACAAGATTACGTGCTTTTATCAAGCAGCGAAAACTCAACTCACACAATCCTGAGGTTTCGACGGAAGCTTAATACTTGCGATGAGAAATTTGATGTTCCCATCACGGTAAGTTTCGTCAGTTTTTCCTTTTCTTCTTTTGTTTGTTTGCTTGCTTGCTTTCTTGTTTATTACTTATCTTCAAAGAAATTGAAATTGCGTCTTAAAAACAAAGTACGACCATCCAACGACCAATGAAGAAAGTAAAAGTAAAGTACTGTAGGAAGTTCATAAACGAAGGGCGGCAATAAACAAACAAAATACCATTTTAAAAGCTGATAAGAACGGAAGGTCATTAAAATGTATTCATTAACATACAAAAGCCCTCAGCTCCTGATTTGAAAATAATTTTTTGGTAAAAAATGACTTCCCATGTTTGCAGGTCTGGAATGTTGTTTGCCTAAAACTGAATGTCCCAAGCGTCAATCGGAGCGTGAATTTATAAATGTTTCTTGTCTACGCTTTCCTTCATTCTTTCTTATATTCTATACAATATTTCTTTTTTATTTATCTCTAAGGAGAAGTCAGAAATAAGTGAACGAGCGAGTCTCAAGCACCTGCAGTTTATTTCATAACAAAATACCATTTTTCTGACAATCAACGGCAACTGATCTCGAACCCATATTTTTCCCATTAAGTCACTAATTTATCTATTACGCATTTAATCATTATATTTTATGCCTCAAAACACACAGGGAAACTGTCTACTTAATTATGGTAAAAGAGCGCTAAATGACTGTGACAGATTAGAAAGTTTTTGTTTTAGTTTTTTTTTTCCTTTAGAAATATGTTGAAACTGCTGAAGTCTCGACATGAGATTGTATTTGACTTTCCTTTAACTTCCTTTCTCAATTTAAATCATTCAAAAAGAGAACTTTAATTTATCTTCAATTTTCAATTTTCTTTTCCATGTTCGCCTTGAAGCCTTCAGAAGCTTCTTTAAATCTTCTCGTTGCTTTTCATTGCTTTACATACTTTTACTTACTTACTTAAACATGTGCAATTCTTCTCTCCATAAAATATTTACGATCATTCTACCAGTGCTTTAATGTCATATTCGGAAATTATTTTTTCATTCTCCGAAGACGTTCATGTTTAGATATTTTCCTGACGAAAGAGAAAAAGAAGTAAATTCTCCGAAATGTCTTGTAACTTTTAATAATAAATTAATCTCATAAGTTTCTTCTTCTTTCAACATTTAATGTCTGCACTCGAAAGCATATTAATAAATATTTTTTTCTCTTAAACATAACGACAATGAACATGCGAATACTTCATGATATAATGAATGCATGGAGAAGAAAAGTGAAGTGAATGGACATGACAGCAAATTCACGAGCTATGAATGAATAAAACAAAACGAAAAATAAAATATTTGAAAAATGAAAAATGACTACGCTCGTTGCTTAATTACAAAATATCTACATAAAATATGTTAAAGGAAATACTGTCACATATGTGGAATTAGGTTTTATTTTAATCTATTTTTCGTTTCATATTTTAAGCATAAACTGAGAAATATTTTAGAAAACATTGTAAATTGTCACTCTCGATAGTTCAACGATTAATGAACTTCTGTCAGCTCTTCTTTACTTCATTCTGTATGTTTTTGTTGTCTTTTTCATTTCAGAGTGACACAATGAACATCATTTATTTATACCATCCTGAGAAACCAAAGAGAGGGCAGATCCGAAAAGGAAGCTTATCTGATCCTGTGTTAGCGATGCATCCAGTTCGTTCGCTTTTGTTGCTTCAGAAAAGTCCACAAAATAAGTTTAATAAGAATAACAAGAAGTATCTGCAGCAGCAAGAAGTTGAAACAATTGAGATAAGAAATCGAGATGTGAAACTTCCACAGATGCCGTCGAAGATGCTCAAGTGGTGCCATATGTATCGACTTAGAAATGTCACTCAACACCACATGATTCGATACGAGCCGGTGTTCTCATCGTCTGAATCGCAAAAGTACATTTCCTATATGCGTCTCTATGAGTGCAAAACTCTGGCGAATGACCACGAAGATGACGACAATGAAGAGTGTAGTGAAGGGTTGAAAGCAGCGCGAAAATGTTTCACAATTGCTGCGACATGGAGTCGAGGTTCGGAAGGTTTCACTTTTCCCAAAGATGTCGGATATCCTCTCGATACAAGTCTAGCTGACAGTTTCATGTTGGAAGTGAGTTATCAGCCGGTGACGAAGAAACAAATCGTCGACAGCTCCGGCTTCAAAATTTACCACACGAAAGAACGAAGAAAGTTCGATGCTGGAACACTTTCAGTTGGCATTGAAGCCAATTTCCTTCATATTGTGGCGCCAGGCTTTAAACGAGTCGTCTCGGTTGGACATTGCACGTCAAACTGCACGGGTGCAGCGTTGCCAGTTGAAGGCATCAACATTTTTGGCGTCAACATGCAAACGCATAGTCTGGGACGAAAAATCAAACTCGGAGTCGTTCGAAATGGCGAAGAATTGGCGCCCATCGCTCAGGAATCAAATCTAAACGCCGATTACATTGAGAATAGGATTTTAAGTAGAATAAGTAAGTTGCTTCCCGGCGATCACGTCACTGTCGAATGCACTTACAACACTTACGAGAGAGAACGATTCACATTGGGAGGTGATTCCGATGATGAAGAAGTTTGTCAAGCGACTCTCATGTATTATCCACGACAAGAACAACTCGTCTCATGCAACTCACAAACAAATGTTGCGAATCTTCTCAGAGCACTTGGAATTGAAAAGTTATCGTAAGTCAATCATTCAATTTAATTTCATTTCTATAAATAATCATCAATTGAATTCAACAGCAAATCTGGTGATCAGCCTGTGATTAAAAGTCCCGAAAAATATGCGGGACGAACACTGGAACGACATTTACAATTGTACGATTGGAAGAACGAATATGATGCGTTCGATCGAATAATCAAAGCATCATCGTTTGATGGAATTTGTAACAGTGCATTCGTTTCTAGTCGAGTAAGTTTAAAAGTTTCGCTCAAAACTTCATTTGATTTCAATTCGAAAAAATTTCTTTCAATGGTGCAGGTTTCTGGGACACCAGCAAATATTATCAAACCATACACATCACTTGACTCATCATCGTCATGCCAATTGCATAACGTGAAGACAAACTCACTTTACAACGATTCAGGCATGAATAACGATAACGAGAATTCAATTGAAAATAATGACAAAAGAAACGAAATCATGAAAAACTCTCCAACATTCACGCTCGAACTCAACAGTAGCTCGTGTCACATCAGCAAATCGAAAACAATTTCTTTGCTGTTGCTTTTGACATTCGCGATGCGATATTTATGATTGTTAACTTTTGTTCATTCCGATCGAATGAATATTTTATGGAACTAGTCAAAGTAGTAGCAGCGAGTCGCGTCTCAAAAATACAAACAACAAATTTTTGCTCTGACAATCCCCCCAAATACGACTCATATCGCGGAAGCCAAGTCGTCAACTTTATTATTTATTGAAGGCTTGCTCAATTGAGAGAAAATTCCATTTGTGGTATTTCATTCTGTTTAATTTTCATTATTTTTATATATATTTTGTTGATTCGCATGAGACTGAAATCGATCTATCAATTTAGGGTTAAATGAAGTTGACAATTTGTGTCATGTTAAGAACTTGTTCGGGACAGTTCACAATGAACATCTAGTGGAATAGCCACCTGAACAATTCTCTTCACATTGACACAACTGGTAAATATTTCCCGATCGATTTAATCATCCACAACCAGACGTATGTAGACAATTTATTTTTAAACTGTTTAAGAATTTAAGCTGTGATAAATAAAAGAAAAGTTAAATAAAAAAAACAAGCAATAAATAAACGTTCAATGGTCAGTTTTGTGTTTCTGTTAGCATCACTTTCTTCATTTCAGTATTTTCTTCTTTCACACCAAGATATATTTATTTATTTGTTTACAGCTTCATTCAACATTCATCACATTTTTATGACAGTTTGAATGACAGTTCTAGCCAAAATGCGAAATGGAAATACTTTAAGACGTTTTGACATGAAAAAAGACGACTTTTGAGAAAGTTCAAACTCATCAAGTGATTTTTTTACTTCATCTTTCATTATTTTGTACGAAAATGCTTCCATAATTGACTGGAAAAGATTTTTTTCTTTCTTTATTATTTAACGCGGCGCTTTATTGCCTGCGAACCATAATTGATGTTTTTTTTTGTGAAAATATCTAACGGCAGTTGTCATGACCAACGTTTGATGTTTTCTTTGAAAAACTAATCAACACAAGTCAAAGCGCGGCCTTTTCTTAACTTTAGTTTACGCTTTAACGCATCGGACCTTTAGTTTTTTTTTCGTTTTATTTATTATTTTACCATGGACGCCACATTATGTTCAAGCATTTTTTCTTCTTCTTACACACGTCGCTCAACGATTTCCTATTACATACAAAACTATGATAAATTAACTTCTAATGATCAAATCATAAACAAGTTCTTGTAGACATTCAGTACATTATATTTCGATCAACAGGCAACAAATGATAGATTTACCAAATATTGGAAGGCAATTACATGGGCGTTCAGCTATCACGTTTAAATCTACGCATTTCAATGAAGTTTCCATGAATGGATTCATATTTTTTTATTCTCTCCTTCTAAGACATCTCAGTCAAAACGAATTCTAAACATTTAACTGGAACATTGACATCAACAAGTCAAATATCGAAATCAATGTTATATGATCAATAATATTAATTGTGGAAACATAACATAAACTATGAAAATAATAACAATTAAGATGTCATAATTTGTTGATCATCTTCCGCAATAACAGTTAGTGATTATTGACGACGTTTGAAAACAAAAATATCTATTAGATTAACATACATAAATTTCTTCTTCTCTTTCTCTGATAGCTTCATTCGAATGAAAATATCTCCGATGAAGTTCAGGCAAGCAATCTGCTAAGTAACATTTATGAACCAGTTGTTTCATCTTTCTCACTGTTGTGCGTCTTTTCCGTCTTTTTTGTTTTTGAAAAGTGACTTCATGCCTTTATTTTTCAACCATTCATTTATAACTTCGACTCCATCAATTTATCTTTTAAAATTTCATATATTGGTTAAATGTTAATGAACTTGTTAACATGGGCCCATTCATTGCTTTTTCGAATGTTTTACATGAATATTGTTTTATTTTAATCCATCTAATATTTCTTTTGACCACCATGGGCATATATTTATGAAGTTTTCTATTCTCTTATCTTTCAAACGACTAATCAAGATCTTAAAAGCTCACATTCTATGGATATTTGAAATTAACTTTTGGTTATTTCAATAAAAAAAACTTTTATATAGGATAATTGCGTGCACGTTAAACAGATACCAAATTATGCAAATATTAAAAAACAAATGATACCGAACCTTAGAGTAGGCGAACGAAGTCTTTTAGAAAAATATTTTAAGTGAAATACTTTTGTGGCAAATATTTAAGTTAAAACAATATAATTATGCAAATGAAATGACAGTCGTTAGAAATATCTGCTACCGCTCTAATGGCACTTCGTGATATTGTAAGATGAGAAAATATAAAGAATTTAAATTTAGAAAAAGGAAATAGCCAAAGTATCAATGGACCTGTTTCTTCAATTTATTAACTTGTCCCTCGGAGATGAAGAAAACACGGCACCTTTGACAACCATCACTTTTACTAAGAGGTGAGAGACAAAGCCAAAAGGTAGAGTAAAAGGAAAAAAGATGAAAATAAATATTTGACATTCAAAAAGTGACTGGAGAAGATTGTTTGATTAAATGAAGCATAAAATGATGAGACAAACGACAAAACATGTTTCGTTTCTCAAATTAGAGTGAGTAAATGGAAAATCGAATGATTGATGATATTCAAAGCTAATATTTTACGACACAACAAAATTATTAATTCAGGTGAGGATAGAAGATTGTTAATTAAGTTTTGAAATGTTAATATATCTTTGAGTTCATTAATATCCATCCGGGATATTAAGCGAAGCATCTAAGCTTGTCGGAAACAAGTAGGAGTGATTGGAGTTGAATTCAAATGAAATCGATTTCTTAATTAGCGTGCAAAAAATATTTTCGGTTGCCATTCCGCGTGCCGTATCTATTTCGAATGATGTCATAAATAGACATACCCAAATATTACCAATAGATATAATCATTAACGAGTATCGGAAATGAGTCTTTAGTAAACATCGTCTTCCACATTCGTTTCTAATATTTGTACAAAAACCCATTTATAAGGCTTCATATTTAAGGGATCGTGGAATGTTCCACTGACACCGATTCCTTCCTGGAATTCTTTCTTCATTATTTTCTCCACTTTTTTTTTGTTCGGGTGTTGAAAACATTTTGCATGCGACCAAACATTTTTGTTTTCCTGTTAAAATTCAACATATGCCTTTCTAAATACTTTTACTGCTGCTGCTGTTCGGTTTCGGCTTCTCTTTCAGTAACATGAAATGTCTTTGCAAAAACGAATGAGACAGACGACATTAGAAAATAAACAATTTTTTTTCTCAATTTTTCTCTGCTCTGTTTAAAGACATTAAACATGTCCAAACCTATGACTCACTTTCGAAAAGGAATAAACCTGCTCTACGTTCAAACAAGAACCATAAATTGTTTAGATAATTGTTTCGTTTACTCTGCCACCCATTGATTTGTAGAGCTTGTGTCTCTCACTCCTCTGTTTAACTTCAGAACTAAATAAAGTCGTTAAAGGAGGCGCATTTATGAATGTTCACTTTTTATTTTTTATTCTTCAATTTCAATGGGTTTAGTTTTCTTCTTTTCACGATTTCTCAAAAAAAAAATATTTAGATTTATGAAAAAAAACTTTCTTCAATCCGAAGAAAATATTTTCTCGTTATTCAATATTTCTTTTTGTTGTTCTTCTCCGGGGTGTCTCACGTTTTGTGAAGTTTTATTTAAATTCTTGAACGACACAAACAAACGGAAAACATCTTGAAGGCATTCAGTTCTTTCTACTTATATCCGACATCGAGAAGAAGCGACTTTCATTCAACGTCGCTCGCTGTCTTTAACATAATTTTACTATTTATGATTCGAACAATAAATGAGTAATGAAGCGAACAATTATCATAATTAACTCTCTCAATTACTTCATGGATTTGTATGTAAATAGATGAAACTCAGAACATTATCTCAAGTAAACATTTTCCATTAATTTCTTTTGATCCGATTGTTAAAACATTTCAATCATTGCACCATTAATAGTTTTACTTTTGTTGAATTTTCGTCAATAATTATGCTTTTCCCAACATAAAAAAAGAGAATAAAACTCAACCAACGATAATGTTCCTTTCAAATAGCATCTAAAATTCTAAGCATTACAACTTTTATTGAGCCATTACCTACAACACATGAAAGTGCACGTGCGAGGCGAGAAAAAACTGTTTCTCTCTCTAATTGCGTTGCGTCATTATAGGCATATGAAGAAAAGAAACAGAGAGAGAAGAAGCATAAAACATAACGTGAAAAGAAAAGATTTTTAGCTCCATAAGCCGCACGTTCCTGACTCTTCCTCAACCTGCAAATGTTGTTCCATTAAGACATATTATACAACCTTAATCAAGGAAATCTTCTCGGAAGAGCTAAGGAGCTGAAAGTGAAGCTTTAAGCATTGAATTAATTTAATCACGCAATTTTCTCTTAAGCGTCTCTGAAAGATTGTGATGAATAATTAATGACGACATCACTCGCCCTGCGGAAATTTATGATGCTTTGTTGAATAACAGCTGCCTTAATAAAATCTTTATAACCATGAAAAATATTTTCATTATCCTTGATTATCTGTTCGTTCTCCCGTGCGAAAACCAAAATGCTTTTTCAAACAAATAAATCACGAAGACGATTTGAGAAGTGTCAGAAAGACGGTGGTGAGAAAAACATCCTTCCAACTCATTGCTTTTGCTTACATTAACCGATGATTGTTTCATTCAACAATTACTGAAATTACTTGTGATAAACAAACGTCTCTGGTCATAAATATCTAACGAATGCCACACGCAGCACCATCAACGAGTGAATAAGTAAGTTAGGGATGGGAATATTAAATAATGAAAATCTATTCGCTCACAACTTGTGAGTTGTTCGTTTTTGCATTTTTCATTTGATGCTTGTGTTGTCTAAACATTGCTAGGGCGCTTCACATCCCTTGATGAAACCTTTCACTTAATAGAAACACACGATGATCGCACAAAACTCGATTTATGAAATTGCAAAGTGAAGCTGTTAGGTATCCGAATAGATATTTTATTAAGGGGAAACGGAAATGATTTATCATTTAAAACTGCACACAATTTCACAGCAAAGTAAAAAGTTGCTGTTGGAAACAATAATTGCCTTCATCTCATTTTGATTTGACTGTGGCCAAAATTTTTATATCATTTTCGTTAGTTTTACGCATGAATGGTTAATGTCGGTTGATCGTTTTTATTTTCCCCGTTGTCACTCACTACATTCAAATGTGAAATTATCAAAGCATATGGTTGAACGTTGAAGATCTAATTGATAATTTACTTTCAGATAGTGACTGTTTAGATTTAATTTATTTGTTTATTGATTAGATATTTATTCCGGGACATTATGCACTAAACTGTTTAAATAGAACAGCATTCGAATATGGGTGAATTCAAATGTTAATTTATTGCAGTTGTGTTTGAGCTCGTTACGCGTTATTTGGTATTTTAAACTCTTTTTTCCTACAAATTTCTAAACAAATTAAATTTATTCCCTTGTCATAAACAATTTTTTTTTTGTAATCGTTCTAGAATCGAAACACATTTTAGGGATTTAAATGAAGAATTTTTATTATATTTTTTGTTCTTGTTTTGTTAAACAACGCGAGGCCACATGTGCAACGCGTGATGACATTTTGAAATGATGTGTAAATGGTTCAAATTAAGATTAGAAAAGAAAACTTCTCGTAATTTATTTCTTCTACATTTATTTTTGTAATTTAAGTAAGACCCTTGAGTCTTGTCTTCTGCTTGCTTAACACTCTAGAGTATTAAAATGCATCTGTACTGAGTGCAAAACAGTTCATTTCTTTACACATCTGATTCTCCACTTAAACCTAATTCCACGAAAGTAATTTTTCAATTTTCCCGTTTTTATTTTCATTTTTCTTTTATCTTTGCAATCGCTTTACAGATAAGGGAATGGGCACAAAATACGAGGCAATCTTAGAAGGAAATTCAACTCGTAAACCGATCTGTTTATTTGTTTTTTCATCTATTTTTCTTTCTTCAGGCATTTCGATGACACAGATCCGATCCCAAGCACCCCAATTCCTTGTTTTCTTTCCCTTTTCTTAAGGTATTACATCCGATTGAATCTCATTCTTTACCCTCGTCGTTGTATCGTTAAGTCGCACGAATGAATGGCAGAGAAGTTACACAATGAGGTGTCAAAATACACAGATGTAAAAGAAAAAAAATATAATAAAAATTTTGCAGCATTTCTCATGCTTTTTATTGACACATTTTTTTTTATTTTCTTGCGCTTTTCGTGCTTATGAATGTTTTTCGGCTTCATTGTTTGTTTCATTTGAAGTTTAAGAACATTTAGACTCATTTACACTTTCAAAAAGGATCACAAAAGCAAAAAGCTTGGGATCAGAACTGTAAAAATTAATTTTAATTTAATTTTCGAGTATTAAATCGAATGTGTGTACACATGAGGAGAAAATTGATAACGAAAGTTTTAATCACTTTTTCCATTAAACTCTGAATGAATTAAGCTTCATAATCAGTTTATTGTCATTGTGAATATTTAGACGAAACTTCTACTTACGTTTGCTGGTAATAAAAGCAGTCTCGTATTACTGTTGGAGTAAAAACATTTCATGTAAACAGTAAAATGTAATTAAAGCTTTAAAGTTTAAACTCTTTCATTCATTACTTTTCGGGAATCGCATTGAAAATGATTTTCTTACTGTATTTTACAACTCACGATGAATCTTTCGAAGCTTAACGAAGCACTCTCAAATTTGTGTAGTGAAGTGTAATTGTGCGATGCTCCATGTGGAATGAGAGTAATGTCAGGGAGGCTGAGGTGAAAGCAAATATATAACTGGGGGGAATTGAGTAGAAAGGGCGCAGAAATTTTATGACATTAAATCGATTCGAAGTGAAACAGGAGGAGAAGCGTGTGAAATTATAAAATATTCATAGCTACAAAAACGATAGTGAATAGCTATTTCGCACGTTTTTATGCCATGCAAAATAGATCAGTTTATATGAAGATAATCGGAACGATTTTAAACAGAAAAAAAATGAAATGTGTTTTCAATTTATACATATTGAAGCTTAAGGATGTTTTTTCAGGTATGTCACTTCAACACGCTTGTTGAATATTTCGTTGTTTGTTTGTTCAGTGGTGACAGCAAACAGTAGAACTCATGAATTAATGGAAGTGCGTGATGGAAAAATCATAAACATTAAACCGATCATCCAACCATCGTGAACATCCCACAAGCAATTATTTATTTATTTATTTATTCGCGTAGATGGAAAATAAATGCAAAACATTAGATTCTCGATTTTCATTTCACATGTTATCTAGAAAAATTAAATAAATTGAGACTAATCAATTTTCCGCTGAATAGCATGAGATTCAACCGATTTTCCAACACACCCGCTCGATGGGTTATCGCAAAGAAAACGAAGCTCGGTTTTCTCATTCTTCAATTGATTGTATCGAAATAATAAATTATGTAAATTGACTTATATGTGCGTTTCGAATCTGCTGTGGATGTGTGAAATTGAAATTGCTTTTAAAAATATTAGATTTGTTTTTGAGATGAGGGTGGGCTTTAGATTTCTAAATAAAATTATGTAATTTCATGGAATGAATAACCCAGTTTTCAATTGAAAGTTATGTATATGATTAAGGTTTGCACCGTTCATTCGTATGGAAATTGAAATTAAATTTCATTGATTTCCTCTTTTGAATCTCGTATTGTGCCAAAAATAAAAGTGCAGCGTTGTTATGAAAGAAATCAGTGAAAATAAAAAAGAATTTCCATTACAATTCCAACTCATGGCTCATAGAGGCATTACAATTGGAAATTTAAAATTTATTCTGCTTTTGCATTGCTCGAGATTGAAATTAATTTATTTTTCATGATTTTTCAAATTCAAATTTGATTGTTTGTTTTTCGTTTTCGTTTTTTGTGCAAAAATATTTTCCATCCCAGAAATCGTTTCATTTAAGAATCATGAATGATGAGCGCACATTTTTTTAGGTTGCATCTTCATCGACATTGTTTGTATTCACATCGAATCAACATCGTTCATTTGAAGTAAATGCAGCAAAAATATTTGTCTACTGAACTTGTGGAAAATTCTCTTGAAAATTTATTTTTCAAGTTCCAAATAATTAATCCCTCATACTTACATACATGTACGTCATGTCACCTACATTTATACATATCAACTACATATGAATCAAGATAAGAGGATTAGAATGAAGCGACATGCAATAAAATTTATTTTGAATCACTGGCGTCTGTAATGAAATTACCTTCCCGCGCTACCTTTTAACACCCTACGGCCGTCCACTCAATATAAAACCAAACATCGCCAACACGATGGAATCATAGAACGATAAATTTTGACAATCAACCATTTGATTGAATAAATAAACAATAAAAAGCTTGAAAAGGGAGAGTTGATAGATAGTGGGGGTCATAAATACGTGTCGTTGTAATGCAGAAGTCAGATTTTGGTTTCAACAAACTTATTTTTTCAACGGTTGAACAAAAAAAAAAGGACAAAACAACTTAAATCTCTGTCCTTTTGCAAATCCTCACTCTTTAGTTTGTAATCCACTTTATTGCGTCCTTTTTGAATGTTGTAAAAATATCTGCCTATGTCCACTTTGAACATTCGACATTAAACTAACCCTTAAATATATCAACAGAATACAAAGAATAAAAATCACTCCCATAACGCTGACCCTGACAAAACATAAATGAAAAAAGTATCCATTATATCGATGAAAAAGTGTTCGTCATCTGAACAGAGATTAATGTGCAATGTTGCCAAAAGAAAATTCTGTTTTTTTATTACTTTCATTCTCATTTTTTTTACTTTTGTAGATGAAAGTGTCGTCTGGATAAATGGAAGCTATTTTTAATCTAAATTTTCACTCTAGACGATAAAAAACTTTTGGGATAAGTTTAAGGCTTTTTGCATAACTTTTTGCATATTCAATGCTGCTGTGATAACAGAAGCTTCTATTTTCATTTCATGTAGATCTGTATAAAAACGATGTATCTATCTTATATTTTTGTTAATCGGGATAAAAGTTTGAGAAATAATAATTATTTATTACAAATTCTAATCCTCGACAGAGAAAAAGAGTTTACTGGGAATAAAAAGTTGAAAACGACACCTGCCTGCAGTTTCAGCTTGTAACGTTTCCTTTACGCTTAACTAAATACCTTTTAATACATATCAGATAACTACGATCTGTAACCCATATTTAAGCTATTAAGCGACAAAGACCCCATAATTTATCTATTACGCATTTAAATGGTGCTTATGAGGAAAGGTCGAGTATGTCGTTGACGGTTCAAGAAACATTTTATGTCTGGTTTTTATTGAATATGAATCATTGAAGTAAAAAGGCGGCTACCCAAAGAAATTATAAAATCGATTTGCATTTATCTTTTTTTTTCTCAACTCCTCCATTCTGTGTCATTGTCAATCAAATTGCCAAATATTAAGTTTGATGCATTATAACAAGTACATGAAAATACGCTTTCGGAAATTGATTATTTCAACGAGTAAACCGTCTCATTGCTAGCTTACATGCTTATGCTTCTACTTATTGAACATGTTTATTATTAAAGCAGTTATTCAAGTGATTGTTTTATTCCGGTTCTAGGGTTTCATGTTAAAAACTCTTCTAGATTTATTTTTATGTTTCACGCGATGTGTTTGCTCAATAAAATGCTTCACCTATCTTGAAAATAAAACAATTGAGAATAAATTTTCACATCTATTATCTACCTTTTCTACCTATTCGAGAAAATAAACAAACAAGTTATTAATATCTTTCTTAATTTACTGCTTATTAATCGTGAAATCCTATCATAAATTTATTTAGATTTCATTACCATTAATTACATTGATCATGATTTTAAGAGATTTTCTTAATTATTAGATATTAATTTAATTTCCATAAATATCATGTGAATTATAATCAATTAACATATATCTGTAGATATTAAATCACGTAAACTTGTTCTTTACCCAGACAATTGTATACCCTGGGTATACAAGAACTGCGAAAGTTTTTCCTTAATAACTTCTTAGTTAAACAATTTTTCAATAAAACGTCTTCTTCAAATTTACACTATTTTCCTCCTCTATTGATTGGAATTTTCACATTTTTCATTGAGTAAGTCAATTTCGAGATATTCATAAAACGAACCGATCATGCACGTTTTCGCATATTTTCACTTTTTAATTGAAAGTTTGAACGCCTATTTCAATGTGAAATTATATTTTGAAATAGATTCCTATTTTCTGCTATTTGATTCTAGATTCATCACAAAATGAAAAGTTTCTTTCTAAGAAACTAATCGATCAAGACATTCAGAAGCCATTCAGAAGTTTAATATTTTTAATGAACTTGTGATTAACATAACACGTAGCGTATTATGCGGAATATTTAACGGTCACAAAATTTTCAAAAAAATTGGGCAAAGTGATCAAAGGAACTCGGTTGGGGAAAGTGGTGAATTCGAAAAGCTAGAATCAGATGAATTGGCAGTTTTTTAAATTTTAATCAAATTATCAAGTAAATCATGAGTCATAACGATCCAAAACACTTTATTATTCCCAACAGTCAACCTATTGTTAATCTTGAGTGCAAGGCAGCTTTTGATAAGCTCACAGAAACTGAAAAACTCTACGCACATTTTTACTCAAAGGTAAAGTTGATATTTGATTGCATTGACATTTATAAAGTAAAAACCATTTTACAGGCAAGTTGGTATGGAGGTCTCATTGCACTGATTCAATCATCACCAGAGGCTCCTGTGATTTTCTCTTTATTCCACCGTGTTTTTACTGCAGAAACCGTCGAGTCTTTCCGCAAATCTTGTGCCGATAAAGCTTCAGATGAAGAATTTACGGTAACAAAAAGAAAATTGTTTATTTTATGCTCATGCAATATTAAGATTATTTCTTAAAGGCCTTTCTCGTTTATGCAAGTGCTTTCTTTGCAAATTCTGGAAATTACAAGGGATTTGGTGACAGTAAAATTCTTCCCGGGCTTGATAAAGATAAGATGGAGTTGATTATCAAAAGTTCCAAAGCTTACCAAGATGAGACCGCAGTGATTGAACGATTATGGAATGAAGTTCAAATTCCTATTTACTCTTTGACAGATGAAAACAAATCTTTAGGTCTTAAGGGTGAAGGAATAACAACTTACTTCTCAAGCAACTGTACGAAAGAAGATGCTGAATTAGTCGCCGAATGGATGAAAACCAAGAAATTAGAAGCCTACATTTGCAGAACTTTTAAAACTGTTGATGGAAATGGAAAAGCTCACTATGAAATCCGATTAGCATCAGCTGAAGTTGGAGATGCTAGCGGCATTACGATGCCATCTGAAGATTACAATGGAGCAAACTTTAGAGTCACACGTGGCGATTATTCTGAACTTCTTAAGAGAGTTGTCGAAGAATTAGCTCAAGCCCAAAGCTATTCAGCAAATGACACTCAAAAGAATATGCTCAAAAATTATATCGAATCATTTCAAGAAGGCAGTTTAGATGCACACAAAGAAGGTTCAAGATATTGGATCAAAGATAAAGGCCCCGTTGTTGAAACTTATATTGGCTTTATTGAAACTTATCGAGATCCCGTTGGTTCTCGAGGTGAATTTGAAGGATTTGTTTCAATGGTGAACAAGGAAATGTCACTGAAATTCCAGACACTTGTCGACAATGCAGTAAATTATATTAAAATGTTACCTTGGGGTCCATCCTTTGAAAAAGACAAATATTTAAAGCCTGACTTCACATCTCTCGATATTTTAACATATGCCGGTTCAGGAGTTCCTGCTGGAATCAATATTCCCAATTATGATGGTAAGGAAATGAATATTAAATCACTCATTAAGTTTCTTAATCATTTTCTTCTTTCAGAAATACGTCAAGATGAAGGTTTTAAGAATGTTTCGCTTGGAAATGTTCTTGCATCTGTTAACAAGACAGATCCAATTCCTTTCTTGTCTGATGAAGATCAAGAACTGTTGAAAACTTATAAAGCAGTTTCATTTGAAGTTCAAGTTGGTCTTCATGAATTACTTGGTCATGGTTCGGGTAAATTATTCCGTAAAAATTCTGATGGCGAACCAAATTGGGATGTAAAATCTGTCATGAATCCTTTGAGTGGAAAATCAATCGACAAGTGGTATGAACCTGGTGAAACTTATGATTCGAAATTTAAGGCAATGGGATCAAGTTATGAAGAATGTCGTGCTGAAGCTGTTGGATTGTATCTTTCATTGATACCAGAAATTTTAGAAGTGTTTGGCCACGTCGATAAAGTTGAACAAGAAAAAATCATTTACGTCAATTGGTTGTTGCTGATCTACAATGGTGCTGGTTTAGCTACAGAAATGTGGAATCCAACAACTAAACAATGGGGACAAGCTCACAGTCAAGCAAGATTTGTTATCATGAAAGTTATGCTTGAAGCTGGCGTAGTCGAGATCAAGGAAACTTCATCTGGAGAAGATCTCTTGATCACTGTTCATCGCGATAAAATCTTGACTGATGGTAAAAAAGCTATTGAGAATTTCCTTATGCAACTTCAAGTTTATAAATCTATGGGAGATTATGCAACTGCCAGTGATATGTACACAAAGTATTCAACAGTTGATGAAGATGGTGTTCATCCATTCGCAAAGTGGCGTCAAATTGTGTTGTCAAAGAAGAAGCCACGTCTTATCTTAGTTCAGGCTAACACTGAATTAAATGAGAAAACTTCTGTAACATTAAAGACATACGATGCAAATTTCGATGAATATATTAATTCATGGCGTGAACGTTTTGGAAAAGATAGCAAAGAGGTTAATGAAATCCTTGAACGTATTTACGAAGCTGATAAACACCATTTCGTTTAAAAATAAGAAAAATCTGTCATCCATGATGAAAAACTAATAAATTTTTGTTGAATAAAACTTTATGATACCACAAAAAAGATTTGCTTTCATTCATTGCGAGAATATTAGATGCTTGAGCTTTTTGCTGATATCTGACGAGGATTATTTACTTCTTAAAGTAAAAAAACATTTGTTTACTTTTGTTTGTTTAGTTTTGTACCCCTGCAGATGACTTTCGTACCCTTGAGTCAGTTAAAACTGAAAGCGAAAAATTTCGTAAAAACAAAAATTAGAAAATTATTATGGATAAAGAAAATAGAAAACGTCCAAGATTTGCTTGGACGAGAGATTCGGTTAATCTTCTCATTGACTTGTATGGTAAATATCAATCCTATGAATACAAATTCTATTCAAAACTAGATTTGAATCATAAGTATTTAAATATTCCAGGAGAAAACATTGAAAGCTTCTTAAATCCATACAAAATAAAAACAAAGTTATGGAGTCAATTGGTGGAGCTTATGAAGCAAGATGATTCTCTCTCCTATGATCTTCGAGAAGAACTTACAGTTGGAATTGCAAGAAGAAAGTTTCTGTCACTTCAGAAAGAATTTAAAAGATGTTATTATGAATTTTCATCGCCGGTTTCCATGAAATCTCCATTTCCTCATTACAAAAAGTTACTTAAACTTTTCACTGATTATGCTACTAAAAAATTAAATCAAAAGAATGAATCATTTGGTATCGCTGATGATACAATGAATCAAACAACTCAAGAAGAAATTTCGGCTTATATCAAGAATCATATTTTGGATAATACATTAGAAGAACATGAAGTTACACCAACATATTCTTCGTTACAACCTTCTTTAAATGAAAAATCTTCAATTGAATCAAGAGCAGCTAAACTAAGACAGGAAATCGCGAAAATGTCGAAAGATTCTCTCAGCATTCATGAAGAGAAAATAAAAATTGTTCCCAATACACCATTCAATGCTCGATATCAATTATCAACGATCATCAACTATAAAAATACCAGGAACAATTCACTGAAAAGATCTAACTTGGAGGACAATGGAAAATCTTATGCAATCGAACGAAGTTATATTAAGCCAATTATAAAAAGAAGTTTACCAACGATAAACCCCAACGACAACGAATATGAAGTTGAAGCTCTTGATGAATGCAGTTTTTATGTTAAAGAAAACATTTCAAGCAATAAAGATGAAGTAATAATGCAGCCAGCATCTTCAACAATGATTAAAGGAAGATTATCAAATGAAACATCAAACGATAATATCAGCGAAATGACAGAAGAACAAAGTGTGCTTGAAATTCCTCCATTACCAACCGACTCAATAGACGATCTTCGATGTGGAAAAATAGCTGGTCATGTTAATCGGAAGCTGCCTTTGATTCGTAAAACATTAAACTGGAGCGAAGAAATTTCTGAATTGAATCATGAAAACTCAAATATTAAAAATGATTCTCTTCCCAATTGGTTTCAAAGTTTCATAACAAAATACGATTCTGACATCAAGAAACTAGATGATAAATTAAATATTATTAATAGTAAACTTGATAAAATTCTTTCACAAAAATGATTTTTTGTTCAATAAAATTTCATAAATAAATTCGTTTCTTATCAAGCATATTTTTATTTTATCATTAATTAATTTACATTTTTTTTTGGAAATTCATAATCCAAAATCTTTTTGTTTGATCTCTGAGTTTTTATCATTTTTTTAAAGTTAAAGGAAAAAGAAAAGTTAAAGTTCGATCAAAGTTTCGAAACGAACTGAGTCAGTGGTTCCATCTGACGCAATTCATTTCTCCAAACATGATTTTGTATCTTTTTTTTTTGTTAAATTTGTTCACAAAGTTTTCTGTGTTGTAAATTTTCATGTCATTCTAATCATAATCGACTCAACAATCAAATAAGTTGTACCGAAATATGCGTAGAAACTTCACATTTGTAAACACATTTCGAAGCTTAGTATTACAATTCTGTGTTTGTGTGTTTTTATATTACCAAGCAATAGAAAAGCTATAATAAAAATTATTCATATATTCTTAGATATTTTGTTTCAATTTAAAAAAAAGACCTTTTCAGTATTAATATTTAAACTTTCATTTAAGGTTTGTGCTTCTGTCCGTCTTGAAAACGCCGACAGCCAAAAAGGCGGTTGTCATCATATTGTTTTCCTAAATTCATGTCCAAAACAACATAATCATATATAAAGAAATATCGGTTTGATAGAGAAAATTAATACAAAAATCAATTTCTTGTCCTACGTTGTCAGAAAATGAAGTGAACACAATTCATTAACTGATTAAAAGAACCTGACTTATATCATTAAATGTTGATTATCAAAATATAATTAAATGTGTTGTTGTCTTATCTTACAATCATCCAATTATTGGCTTTATTTTCATTTCAAAATTCATCATGCTTCTGATCTTAATGCGAAGTAATTAAAAAAACATATACATAAAATCACGAAAAAAATGGCAATGCACGATACACAACATTCAAATGATAAGAGAAATAGTCGAAAAAGTTCCTTTTCATTTTATTTTTTTATCTCCCTCGCATGTTTTCCGTTTTCTTTTTTAATTTTATCACAAAGATCGTCTTCGTTTGAATGAAATTTTATCTATTTTGATTCGATCATTTCCCTTATAACAAACAGTTTTGAAACTTTTCTTTCTCGCACAGTTTTAATTTTGTTTCACTTTTCACAATTGTTTACGTCGAAAGTCATTAAAATGGTTTTATTCATTCACAAAAGAAAGTCAACGATCATACTCATGGCTTCATCACCTGAATTCATACTTTCTTCGTTCATGTCGTCTTTCAATCATTGATTGAAGATTAAAATAAAAAGGATGCAATGCACAAGATAATCTTCATGATCATCTCAGCATTAAAACATCGAAAGAAATAGGAAATTTTGTTAATCACAAGTCATCAAGCACTAAATAATTCTTGATTGAGTAGATAACAAGATTCGGTAAAAAGAGTTTGAAAGTAAGTAATAATAAAAAGAGAAAAATTATAATCTACTAAAGGAAATAACATTTGTAATGGAAGAAATCGGTTTTCCATCTTTCTCACCGAATAATAATTAAAATAATGCGCTTGTATGTTCATAAAACTTGTGAGTGATGAGTGGACGTTTCTTTATAGTAACTCACAACGGAATCGGCGATTTTGACTTATTCCAATGCCGCGTTTGCTTTTGCTCTTCTTCCCTCGCTCCTTATCTTTTCGAATCTCACGAACTAGCGTGTAAAATGCATCATCAACTCCCATTCTAGTCTTCGCAGATGTTTCAACAAACGGCACACCATACTGCTTTGCAACCTGAAAGGTATTTTGTAAATAAAACAATCAAATAACAATAACAATCTTACATCTCTCGCTTGGTTCATATCAACTGCCCATGCCTGCAAATCACATTTGTTACCAACAAGCACCATTGGCACTTCTTCTGCATCTTTAACACGTTTTATCTGTTCACGATATGTTCCTGGATGGAATAAATTGATTCAGACTTTTACTTTTAGGAAATTTATTAACTACTCACCTATATCTTCGAAACTTTTGGCACTATTTACAGCAAATACCAATAAAAATCCTTCTCCGGTGCGCATATACTGAAATATAAACAATTAAGTTTAATCACAATAACAAACATAAAAAATGAAGCAATTTACCTGATCTCGCATCGCAGAATATTCTTCTTGACCGGCTGTATCCAAGATATCTAATAGACATGTTTCACCATCTTTATGACAAATAGTTTAAGAAGAGGAAGTAATAAATGAGTCATTTATTTATTATTTTGTTTCTTCAGTGTCAAAGAAGACATAAAATTTTTAATAAAATGAATTGATGATTCATTATTTGAAGCACTCATAAATACATCAATTAATGACAAACGAAAGTGGAGATGTGAACCATTTGGCGATTTTTTTCTCACATTGTCTTCTTGTAGTTCTTTTTTTGTTTCTTTGTTTGTCAAAGATTTGAAACACTTAGAACAATAAGCAAAGCGTTTTCCTTTTTTTACGTTATTGTCAAAATATGTTTGTCACTTTAACTTTTTTTTAAGTTTATTTACGAGTTTTTTTTTTCATTTAACGTTGTTTCAAACTATTTTTAACACATTATGACAAGTTATTTTTTTGACAAATCATGCACATTTCAATAGAAAGATGGTCTAAGATAATTAGTTTATTAATTATATGATGATATGTTGCACCAAAATTGAATATTCAATTTCACTTTTAATTAATTAATTTTCTATTATGAACTTAAAAGATTCTCGTGTAAATATTTCACGATTTTTCTTCTGTTAATTAACAACTTACCGATGACTACTTGCTTCCTATAGCTGTCTTCAATTGTTGGATCATATTCTGGAAGAGAAACAAAGAAAAATTAAATAGTTATTGAATTAGTTTTAAACGATTACCATAAATAGATTGATTCTGATTTTAATTAAAGCATTTTCATATCCGCCTACACAAAATTCTTTCGCAATTGAATTGAAATCATAAACAAGGTGCTGAAGGTTAGGCGGAGCTCTTTGTAGTCAAACTTTTTCTTTCTTAAAATGTTCAATATTTTCATCAATGTAATGATAAATGAAACAGAAGTTCTTTCTATTTAAAGTTTTAAAACAATGTTTAGTCTTTTGAATCTTCCTTACCGTCTACAAAATGATTCTGAATAAGTTGAATTGTTAGCTGTATGAGAAATAAAAAGAAAAATTTTTAAAACCATATAACTCGCGATATGGTTGTTTTTTGTCATACCGCTGATTTCCCAACGCCACCAGCGCCTACCACTACCAACTTGTACTCAGTCATCCTTTTAATTGTGTTAAGAAACTTCAAGAAATTTTAATTTTTAGAAGACAATTTTTTTTCTGTAGACAGAAAATGGACTTACCGAGTAGTTTTTTTAAAAAGGTTGTTGCATGAGTTTTTCGGAAATTTTCGAATTTTGGTGAAAACATAAATTTAAAAAAATCGTTAACTTTTATCCCAAACAAATTTATTTTCCATTTGAATCATAGGATGCCTCGCATAAGCGAGCAATCAAAGCTGACATTTGCAGTAAAGAATTCATTCCATCGATTATTTTCATATGAGTTTCGCCAATATTTCGAATAAACAAAAGCTTCAACTTTTCATCCATTGTCATTCGTTTGCATACACGAAAGATGTTCCCAATAATATCTTCAGCTGCATATCCTAATCGCCACAGTTTCTTCATAATTTTATAAGCCCCATGTATTTCACCATTTATGCAATGTTCTAACATGTCTTGTACGAGCAGTGGATGAGGTTCATCACAAACTTTAAAAACATTTTCACTGCTGATCTTCCCAAATCCATTTGCTGTCGATTGTAAATTATTAAGAGCTTGTCTCATATCTCCTTGTGCTGTAAACACAATAGCTTCGAGTCCATCTTCAGTATAATCTAAATTTTCTTGTTGACATACATAAATGCATTTAGCCAGAACTTGAGCATCAGTGAGTTTCGAGTATCGAATCATTGCGCATCTTGACTGAATAGGCTCGATAATTTTTTCACTGGTATTACATGCAAGGGCAAATCTAGTTGTGCTACTGAACAGTTCCATTGTACGTCTCAAAGCTTGCTGGGCTCCTTCTGTCATACTATCTGCCTCATCTAGAATAACAATTTTATGACGACCTTTGGGAAGTGTCACTTTTTGTTGTGCAAACATTTTTATTTTATTTCGGACCACATCAATTCCACGTTCATTTGAGGCATTCAATTCCAATACTGCAGTTTTGAAGTTTTCACCGAGGAGAATTCTAGCAAGGCATAAGATTGTCGTAGTTTTACCGACACCAGGTGGACCAGCAATAATAATGTTAGGAGTGTTGCCTTGAGTAGCAAAAATAGCAAGACGTGACACAGTATCTTCATTACCTGAAACCAAATACCTTTGATTATTTAATTTAAACTTCAAACTTTAGATTCCTACCCATAATTTCTTCGAATCTTTGTGGCCGATATTTTTCAATCCAAGGAATGTTTTTCTTTTTATTTTCCTTCTGTACTAATGGTGCTGATGATGTGGATGCTCCATCATTGACGATTTCTGACTCTTTTATCGTTTCTACGAGCATTTTAGAATTTCAAATTAATTTTTTTGTTTTTAAATGTGAAGGAAACTTTTTGGCGCGAGTGTTTTGTATATATTACTTTAATACCCTTGGAGATACAATTCTGTACGTTTTAGTTTAATACCCCTTGGGGATACAAATTGTAAACAAATAAGATTCAGGCATGTCGCTAATATCACGGAGATTGAATAATTCTTTCTATTATAGCATAAGAACAATATCAGTAATAAAGAAAAGAAAACTATTGCAAGATGTAGATTCTGTCAACAGTAAGTAAATAGGATTTTATTTAAAACTCTTACAAATACTGTTTTTTCCTTTTGTTTTGCAGAATATGATTTTAAAACTAAACGAAATAATGAAAGAATATATGTCTGGGGATTAGCAGAAACAGGAGCATTAGGAATTTCAAAATCATTAGCATTACACAAACAAACACAATGCAGAATCATTCATCATCCCTCAAGACTTCAATTCGGTGAAAAATATGAAGTTTTGGATGTAGCAGCTGGTTATGGCTTTTCATTGTTTGCTACCAAGAAAACTAGTGACAATGTTTCCTTATTTGGTACGGGTATTAATACAGACTCACAAATTGGTTATCACAAGCATCGTGGAATAACGAATAAGCCAATAGAAATAATGATTTATCCAGCTCCAATTTACCTCCCAAAACTATTCGAAGATGAAAAATTACAAGCTATTAAAATAGCTGCTGGAAGAGCACACTCACTTGTTCTTGCCGACAATGGAGCAGTATTTACTCTTGGTAACAATGTTTATGGACAGTGTGGTCGAGAAATATTAGAAGATGAAGATTATTTTGGTAGCAATTTAATACATCGGCTCAATGATGATGCATTCGAAGGAGAGAAAATACAAAATCTTGCTTGTGGTCAAGATCATAGTTTATTTATATCGGAATCAGGAAAAGTTTATTCCTGTGGCTGGGGTGCAGATGGGCAAACTGGTTTAAGTCATTACAAAAATAATTTTCAACCAACACGCATCGAAGGTGAAATTAAAAATGAACAAATTGTGAAAGTATCGAGCATTGGCGATTGTGTATTAGCTTTGAACAACAAAGGTGAAGTATTTGGATGGGGAAATTCAGAATATGGACAGATCATACAAAATAAAGAAACGCAACAAATTAATACACCAATTCATCTCGATTTCCTCAAAGGCTATGGAAAGTTTATTGATATTGCTGCTGGTGGTTCCTTTTGTGCTGTTCTGAACGAAGCTGGAGAAGTTTTCATGTGGGGATTTGGAATTTTAGGATTCGGTCCAGTAGTTGATCAATGCGATACACCAAAACAAATTCCACCCACACTTTTCGGAAGGAATCCATTTAATCCTGAAAATCGTGTTATTTCAATAAACAGTGGACTTAATTTTATGACTGCAATCAATTCCGATAACGACCTCTTTACATGGGGAAGAAATAAATTTGGATGTCTCGGTTTAGGACATGAGAAAGATCAATTCTTTCCTTTTAAAGCTCTCGTTGGTGCAAAAGTCGAAAGAGTCGCCTGTGGTGTTGATCACATTATAGCGTTATGTAAACTTTTTAATTAATTTCAATTTTATTTTATTGTACAACCTTTAGTCACAACAATAAATGATCACAAATTGAGATACTTTTTTGTTTAGAATTTTCCTAATATTTTTGTTTTCAACTAAATTCGCCAATTTCAGTTAAAATCGAAATAAGGAAGATATTAATTTCGTTGTGCAATTGACTAATGAACATATTTTCTGAAAGTTTCATCCATAAGAAAATCAACTCCTCGATCTATTGGACGAATAATTAGTGGGATTGACAACAGTCCGACAATTGTTGGAATCCATTTTCCTAGTGGATGCTTAAACTTTGAGTACTTTAAGCCTTTACCGACCGTCCAACATATACGATTAATTGTGAATCCAGGAATCATGACAGATGCCAGCATTTGCCAAATAACCACATCACTTCCAATCTTAACTGACTTGATTAAATTTTTATCTTTTTCATAACTCTTAAGTGATTTATCAGCAGTATCAGCGAAGACATAAGCAATGGCCACAGCATAAGATGCATGTACGTATGATTTCTTTATTAACGGTCTAAAAGATTCTCCTAATTCATTCGAATATCCTGAAACGATACAAAATTTATCACGAGAATTAATGATCAATTAAGGGCAATTGCATCACCAAGATATAAATTTTCAAAGCATCAACTTACCTAAATAACGCAATAAACTATCTCTGTAAATATCATATTCTTTCTTTAATGTTTTACTATTGTCCGTCATTTCGTTAATGTCTTAAAATAATACAATTTTAAATGCAGCAAGTTATAATATTTTCTACCTACATAGGTCTGAAAAAAGCGAGGTTAATGTGGTGAAAAGCATACAAACGTGAGGGGTGAGGGGAAAATGTGTTGAAAATCTTAAGTTCAAGTGTGACAAAAAAAAGTAAACAAAAACTTTAAAAAATAAAAATATGGATGAAAGCAAGGAAGCAAATGCATTTTATCATGCTTTATACATTTATCTTAAGAAAACACAAGTTATCAACAGAAAGCTCAGCTGTGTATCGAATGTTGTTTGCTTAAAAACTTTTAAACATTTTGATAAAAATGATTTCATCAGAAATTTAAAAGCATTGGAAAATGTTGACTCGGAATCTGTAGAAAAAGCTTATAAAGATCTTGGTTCAACATTTGACAAATCATACTTAGAAGAAATTAAAGAAGTTGATGATACGTCAAAAGTAATTTTTATTTCAATTGATCGAATGCTCCCAAGGAACGTCCAAAAATATCATAATTGTACACTTTTAACAATAATTGGTAAACATTCTTGAATGTCTCTTGATCAAGCTTATTTAAATGTTCTTTGATATTTTAGATGTCAACGATGCTACTGCCAGTTTTTATCCACTTAATGCAGACACCAAGAACTTAATTCCAAGCGACGATTACAAACTAACATTTTCCAGAGAAACTAATCAAGTAGAACTTCAAATTTTATGCAAAAATGAAGGCTCGTCGAATTGGCTTCAATTTGTTCTTATCAAAAAAGTTCAATCATGGATTGATAGTTTCTCAAAAGAGGAAATTCAGCAAAATATTGAAAGTCATAACTTGATAAATTCTGAGCTTTACAATTCAACTTATGCAAGCTTGAAAGAGAAATATGGAAGAGAACTTGAAGCAAATTGGAAAGAAACGACGGATCCAAAAAAATTCATATATGAAGATATAGCAATTGCAAGTTATTTGATAGTTTTGTGGAAACACGAGAGAGATGCAGAAAATATTATTGATCCTCAGAGTTTTGTTGATTTGGGATGTGGAAATGGACTGCTGGTTTACATTCTGTCACAAGAAGGTCACCGTGGATATGGAATTGATTTAAGAAAGAGAAAAATTTGGGATCAATACCCATCTGGCACAGATCTTAGAGAATATGCAATAATTCCTTCTGACGAGAATCTTTTTCCTGATATTGACTGGATCATTGGAAACCATTCAGATGAACTTTCACCATGGATATCTGTAATATCTGCTCGCAGTTCTTACAAATCACGATACTTTCTACTTCCGTGCTGTGCCTTTGAATTTTCTGGAGCTAAATACCAACGAAAAGGAGGAATAAAAAGTCTTTACATGAGTTATATTGATTACTTGTTGAGCATTTCCGATGTTTGCGGTTTCTCATCAACAAAACTTGATCGTTTGAAAATACCAAGTACAAAAAGAATTTGCATTATAGCAACGGGAAGAATTCATAGTCAAGCGGAATTTCAGCTCCAATGCCAAAATATTCAGAACTTTATAAATCAAGAAAACTCTTCTGAAAGTAACTCAAATATTTGGTCGGAAACATTTAAGCCTAGAGATAAAATAGAGCCTGTCAGAAACTGTACGAAAATAGAAAAAAGTCTAAAGGATTCAATTACAAAAGTAATATTTGACAAGCTTTTGGAGGAACGATCGTTTTGTGATAAGTTTCCTGAATGGAACTGTGGAGGAAAAATAAGAATGTCTGATGCTGTGAATCTAATACTTGAGGAAGACCTCAAAAAACTTAAATCTGAATGTGGAGGTCTTCAAACAATTTTACGTAATAAACATCAAATTTTTGAAGTTCATGGAGGTGTTATTAAAATTAGAATGCCACAACGGATAACAGAAAAAAATCTGACTAGAAGAAATGCCATGAAAAATGTTATTAAAACTTTACAATGTTATTTTTATAAGAATCATCCTAATGCATGTCCGTTAAATGATTCTGAATGTTGTTACAGACACTGAAATAATTTTATTTTTTATATGAAAATAAATTAATATTCCTATGTAAAACTAAGGAGATTTTAATTGGTAATTAACTAACATTTAATTATATGTCATAAAACTGTTAATTAGTTTTTCACCAAATTTATAAATTTTAACGGCTGAGGTGAAAATATTTTAAAAAATCATATCGTCGGTTCAAATTATGGTTCCAGGTGAATTGTATGGTTCAACGAATCGGTTCAATAATTTTGTCGGAAAAGAAGACACTAAAAAGTTCTTCACACCGTTTAAAATCATATAAAATAGTTTTAAAAAGTAATTAATACAATATTTCTTCATTTAAGTGTCGGCGTTCAGTCGTTAACAAGTTAGTTCTACCGGAGAAGCAGTGCATAATACTTATTTTTCATCTTTAAAATTTAAGCGAAGAACTTATATCGCCATTTTTTTTTAAAGCTCTAAAAGATTTGTAAAAACGTGAGCAAAGAAGAGATTTAATAATTTTGAAAGGAACAATTGAATGAAAGCATTATTTATTATTTTAATTCATCAAAGGTTTTGAGTAAGAGTGTTTAAAGACTGAAAAAATTGAGTTTTGTTCGATAAAATTATATGTGAAAATTCTTATTTGTACGAAAGTGAAAAACGCTAAGGAAATTTCCTCTTGTGTGAAAAAAAACTCTTCCTTGTCGTGAGAGATATCGCGAGTTCATTTTCAAGGTCAGTTAAAATATTTACTTATCTTAAGGATACTTTCTTAACAACAAAGAAACTTTCCAACGATTTTATCGGCGTTTTAATCTGAAATTGACCGCTTTTACGCCTTCTTTTTTGAAAATGGCATTAGTTCTCATCCATTTGAAAAAATTGGAATTCCCAGTGATTATTTGAAAGTGCCATAAAGTGAATTCTTTTTTAATGAGTTAAGAAAAATTATAAAGATAATCCTTAGATAATTAAAATTCCATTTCACCAAGGAAACCGTCAACGCCATTATAAGAAATAGTGAAAAAAGTAACTTTGTTGTTGTTTCTGCTTTTTTTTTGTTCTCTTTTATTCCTTCTCTTTCTCTCGCTCATCATTAAAATCAGAAAGTTACGAAATTAAATAATTTTTTTCATACTTCTTATGACTCATATTTATTTGTTCTTTCCGAAATTTTCCCTTTCTCTTCAGATTTGAGGAAGCAGCACCGGCTAATAGTGTCAGAAAGTTTTGAAACTTCAAGAGATACAGACATAAAAATAATAAGTAAGTGCTTGACGAATAAAGGAAAATTAAAAATTTATTTAACAAAAAAAAAATTTTTTCAGATAAACAAATTGCTTTGACAGCATTTCATTCAATAAATAAAATAAAGTTAGTAAATTCTTACTCATAAAGCTCAAAGTGAATATAAAAAAAAAATTGGTTGCATTCAAGCTTCAAAGGCAAACGATTGCAATCATTAGAAAAGTGTGAAAATATTAAAAAAAGTTGCAAACATTCGAAACTTAATTTAAACTGTGCAAAGCTAAACAAAGAAAGAATATTTTTAAAACTAAAGAGGGACCGGAGATACCGAAGAAAAGCTTTTGCTGATGAGGGATCTTTGGCAGCATGAGCACATTGGGTGGGAATAGGGGTGAGCGGGATAAGAACGCGAAACCCAAATTTCAACAGCTTGATATCAACAGTTTATACAGATCCAGTCGTGTAAGTATTTAAAATAATATCAAAATATAGATCGAAAGACTCAAAATTATTTTGAATCTTGTAGGGCGAAACATCTGAGCCTGCAACACAGAAAAACGCTGTACCCCGTAAACATGGAATGCAAAGTTTGGGCAAAGTGCCCTCAGCACGACGACCTCCAGCTAATTTGCCGTCACTGAAAGCTGAAACAAATTCTCCAAGTAACGTTTCAACTCAACCCAACGATCAACAGCAACAGCAGATTTCAAATTCTTCTGGTTCTTGGGCTGATAATAATTCGTCGACAGGTGCACAAGTATCTAATACGACTCAAGTATCGTCTCAGTTGAACACTAGTGGCTCATCAAATTTGTCACAATCTGGTGGAAATTCAGGAGGATCAGCATCAAATACATCATGGAGTGCAGTAGCAACAGGTGGAAATGTGAAGGAGGAGAATTCATCTCAACCGCCTCTTTATCAGAGCCAACAATTTCAGAACGAATTCCCATCATTGGACGGTTCAGTGACAACGACGACAAATGCAAATGCGATTGCAGCAGGTCAGAAAATGGGACAACAGATTCAAAATTCCAATTCCCACGATTCCGGCGAACAAATGAACTTAAGACCGTCAACAGATGCAGCCAGTTGGATGCAACAACAACAATCAAATTCTGGAAATGTACGTGGCGGAGGAGGAGAAAATGGTCCACAAATTGCATATTCACAAACAGACTTGAATGTGGTTCCCCCAAAGTTTATGGCATTGATGCCTTCGTTTATGCTTCGTGGCGCTCAAAATTCAGGTTTGAATACATCAAACTCCTCTTCTACTTCTTCACACAACAACCAAACGCAGTCAGGAGGTCAAAACTCTGGAAACTATCGGAACCAGGGTAGATCAGACCGTAATTCTTCGCATTATGGAGGATCATCTTACAATAATGACTACACAAACAATCGTGATTCAGGTCCACCAAGACATCGGCAAGCACCTCCACCACGTCATTCAATTCGTCACAATAATGACGACAGAAGTTCTTCGTATGAGCCAGACATAATTGTACAAAGACCAATTATCAAAGAAGAAGAACTCGAAAGAATTGATTCATTGGCACGAGATGATGGTTGGTCGAAACACGATGAAATCGATTACAACAAGAAACTTCAATTCTCAGACGACGAGACAGATGATGTGAAGCCAAAGGACATAATGATGATGATGGGTGATAAAAAATCAGATGGTAAGTTAATTAAATATTTCAATTTTATGAAATGACTTAAAAAACTTTTATTGTTGTAGCTTGGCGTGATGAAAAGAAAGATTCAATCAAGATGAATGGACCGATGAGTCGTTCTGTTGATCAAGCTTTAGTTGAACGAGTAAGACAACGACGTGAAGAGGAAGAACGATTGGAACGTGAACGTAAAATGGCTGCACAGAAGAAACTCATGGAATTAGAAGAGAAAGCAAAAATGAAATCATCATCAATGGAGAAAGATAAAGAAAATGATGAGAAATATGGTGATTGTGAAAAGCGTGGATCAATGGATTATGGGAAGAAATATGGAGGTGATAAGTACGATTCGTATGACAGTTATGGACGTGGAAGTGCACCACCAAATGACTTTAAGAAATCTTCATTTCAATCAAACTTACCGCCACGTTTTCAAAAGCAACATCAGAACATTGAACGTCATGATGACAGACGTGAAAAATCTGGTGGTCCGCCTGGTTACTCCAAACCATTGCATCAACAAGATAGCAAAAATATTCCTTTCGCTCAACCTTCTTACGAACAACGTTGGACGTATGGTAAACAATCACATCAACAACAGCCGCCACCCACGCGACGTAACATGTCTTCACTCTCTCAATCATCATCTGATGATAATCGACGTGACAACAACAAAACTTATGGCAGACGTCGTCAAGAATCTGAAGAAGATGATTATCGCTTTTCAAAAGATTCATCTGCTGGTAATGCTAAGAAAACCATGCAAACTGCACAAATAAGCCGCAGCATGTCTGATTCGTCAGATAAAATGAGTGATCACAACCGTTCAGAGAAATCAGCATCGCGTGAATATCTCGGCGCAAATGTTTGTTGGGCTGAAGTGTGTGAAAATGAAAAGCGTACGATTGACACAAAATCACGCCGAGTTTCGGAATCTTCAGCAATGAGTGATGATCAACCAAGGACAATTTTACAACGTAACAAGCCACTACAAGAACAACTGCAAAACAAGGACTTGAAAAAAGATGTAAAGGAATCAATGGAAAGCGAGAAGAAATCAGTATTAAGTGAAAGTCCACCGAAAGTTGATTCTTTTGATGACAAAAAGGCTCAAGAGAAAGGCTTAGACACCTCCATCGAGCAGAACAAGAAAAGCTTAGAAAGTATACCAGAAAAAGATCAGAATCCTGTTGATAAGAATGAGGGTTCAGTTAAAGATTTGTTGAAACCAACACATGGTAAAGAAAGTGACGATAATCATCAGACACGAGATAAGAAAATAAGTCCAAGATCCAATCATTATGACAGAGAATCTCGTTCAGGTCCAAATGCTCGAGGTGGTTACTCATATCGTAGTAGTAATAATTGGCCCCGACGAGGTGGAAGTCATCAAAGAAGTGGGCGTTATGATTACAGTGACTCGGAAAATTCTGATGAGTATGAAGTTGAATGGAATCGAAACAATACGAAGTCGTTAGGTCGTAAAGATCAGATTCGTGATGGTCGACGTGATGGAGCGAATTATAATTCCAGTGGCTCTAAAGAAGGATTTTCACCAAGAGGTGAACCATCTAGACGTGGACGTGGTGGAATAGCTTCACAATCTACAAGCTTTCGTAGAAGTGGATCTAATGGCGCTATTACAGCACCTGCTAAAAATCGAATTGACAATTATGGACCGCCAAGTTCAAAAAGTCCATTTGGATCAAATGATGAGAAATCAAGCAGTGAAAAGAGAGATGCAAGTGAAAAGATCAGCGATGATGATCGCACCAAACAAAAGCAAAAAGCATTGAGTGATGGACTTGTAAATAAAAGTCAAAAAGAAAGCTCAAATGCAGCGCAAAAAGTTTCATCTCCATCATCATCTGTTATCAAACCTGAAGAGACATCGAAACAGCATTCCACTGAATTATCTTCTGCTCAGTCTAATCAGAAAGACAAAAAGCAAGCTGATGTTGCTGACGAGAAACTTTCAAGCGATAGTAAACATTTAGTCGGTCATCGCACATCATCGTCGTCATCAAGTTTCACATCGAATCAAGGACGACAAAAGTCGGAGAGAGTTTCTCAATCAAACCCAATTTCGACTGGAAAGGCGGGAGTGAAAACGATGCAAAGTAATGCAACTTCAAACAGTGGAAAGTCTACTTTAGCTCCATCATCACATCAATATTCTTCATCAATGTCTAAGCCAATTGACGCTCGTAATCAAATGAATCGAAATGATCCTCGAATGGATCCACGTAACAGCAATAATCGAATGGCTCCACGCTTCGCAAAGCAACAGCGCGATCCTTTACCAGCTCCAGGTTTAGGTGGAAGTATGAATAGAATGTCGGGAAGTTATTGGGATAAGAATCATCCCTCAGATCAAATACATGGAATTGGTGATGATAAAATGTCAATGATGCAAATGTCAGCACCAAATTCACAACAACAAAGTGGCATGCAAACGACACAATCAAATAATTTACTGAATTCAAAGACTGATCTGATGAAGCAACAGAATCAACAGCAACAACAACATTCTTCAATGCAGCAACAACAACAAGGTCAAAATTCAGCTATGCTCGATGGAGCTTCATTGAAGACAACATTGATATTTGAGAATACAAGTTACAAGAGTGGACCTCCAGCTGGAATAAAAAGACCTCAAGGTCCGCCTCCAATGGGACAGCAAAAGCCCCAAGAGAACACAATTAACACAATTAATGATATGATTGATCAACAAGCAAAGGAGCAAAGTCTTTCAAGTGCTTTACAAAACTTATCGTTTGGACAAAAAACTCAAAACGACATGGTCGATATGAACTTCCCTTACACATTTGACTCTCAAATTGGACTTTTGACTGATGAACGTAATAAATCTAGCTTTGGTGTTGTCTCAAGTGGTTCCAATGCAAATACACATCAATCTCAAGCTGTTTCAAAAGCATCATCATTAGGACTTGTTGGAGCGAAAACTGGCATTCAAAATAGCAACATTTTGAACACAGATGCTTTAAATATGAAAGTAGCAAGTTGCAAGAAGGTTTGGGAAGAACCGAGTGTTTCAATGGAACATGGAGGCTCAAGTGGAAATGATGATGTCATGTCCAATTTCGTTGCTCAACAGCAACATTTACATCAATACAGCCACAACAATATGGGTGCACATCATACTGGATTATCTCCTGGACCGCAATCTTATGGTTACGGTTCAAATCCTTCAAATGATCATAACAGTTCGTTGGAACATTTCAACAAAACGAATGATGCTGATGACGGTTCCAGTTATTCATCTCCAGGTCAACAACAACACATGAATGCAAATATGGTGCATTCTCAGAATCAACAAGCAAACATGAACATGAAAGCAGCTGAAGCATTTGCAACAACTGCAAACGTTTGTAAAGTGAAACCAACACAACAACAAATGCATCAAGCTGGTCTCTCACCACCACCTCAAATGCAACAAAATCAACTTCAACAACAACAACAACAACAGCAGCAGCAACAACAACAGCAACAACAGCCTTACTATTCAACTCCAAATTACCCAAACATGTCAACAATTCCATCACCACCAGCTGTGGTTTATAATTCTCAAGCAACTGGAGGTTTATACAATCCTTACAATTTGGATGCCGCAAGAGCCCAATTGTATGGCTATCCAACTGGTGGTGCTGTTGGAGCAAATAATTCAATGTCATTTAATGCATTCATGCAAACACCAAACATTGCATCAGCTCCAACACATGAAATGTATCAGAATTTGTCGCAATATCGTGCAACTGTTCAACCGTATAATCAAACGCCACAAATCAATAACCCAAATGCAGCTGTTTTAATTTCATCAGCAACTGCATCAAATTCCATGATGAATTCAAAAAGTAACTCTCAGATTGGAGCTATTGGCTCGAAAAGTTCACAAAGTGGTGGACCAACAGCTTCAAGTGGTCAATATGGTCAGCAATACATGAATCATTTGTATCATCAGCATCAGAATAGTTATTATTCGAACTCTGCAGCTCAACAAGCCAATCCTTATTACAGTGGACCAACAGGAACTGGTGGAGCAGCAACTGGAAATTATGGAATGTTTGCATCGCATGGAACAAACGTTTCAAATGGTCCACCACCACAGCCACAACAAATGGCAAACTTTGGATCTACCGTGGGGCAGTTTCCTTTAAGTTCTCAAATGTTGAGTAATCTCGTGATTAATCAACAATATCGAAGCGGTCCCGTTGTGAATACCGGCAACAATGGTAATGGAAGTGGTAGTGGCAACAACTCTAATGCACCACCTGGTAGCTATATGAAGCAACAACATCAATCTCAACTCCAAGATCCCGTGAGTTCGACAACATTTTTTAAAAATAATGTGTGAATCTAATAAGGGTGTTCCTGCTCCACATTATTGGGTTTCAACATCCATGCTTCATCATTTTAAAGCCTTTAGACTCGCAAACCTTTATTCCTTTGTTTCTTGACCTTCTTTTTTTTAAAAACAAAAAACAAAACAAAATCTCACATTCTTAAATAACTCACGTATGGTGAATTCATCATTCGAATGAAATGAAACTTTTTTATACAAAGTTTAATCAATTTGTGTTACTTTATTTTGTAAAGGAAAGATGTGATTCTGATAATGTCTTGTGTTGTCTTTGTTTCGCTATTATGCTTACTTGTTATATGACGTAACAACATAAAACAGGAAAGTTGAAGATATTTTTTATAGTTTTAAACAATGTGACCAATTTTCTAAGTGTTTGTGATTTTATAAAGAACATTGCAAAAAAATCAGATTTAGAATTGAGAAATAGAAAATATTATGCTTTTATGATAATTTTTAATTTGGATATGTTGTAAAGTTGATACATAAAAAATGACAGAATCAGAAGAAACATCTTTTATTTTTACATCTTTAGGAAACACTAAATATTTGTCCATTCAACAAAGCTTTCTTTCGTTTTCAACAACTATAATTGTTGATATCTTATCTGAAATCATAAAATAAGAATGAAAAGTGAAATGAAAAATGCTGAAAAAAAAATCATGTAAATCAAGATTTGCTAATAATGAAATGTATATCTTTGTTGATTTGCATGATCACAAAGGAAATTTGATGTACATTATGTTATATTTATGTAGACAACAAGACTTTAGAGAAACCTTTTTAATTTCATTTATTTTGATTTTTTTTCAATGGAAAAAATGAGAAGAAAATTCGTTTGGAAAAACCAATTTTGTCATGATTGACAGAAGAGAAAATAATGCAACATAAATAATTTAATAAAAAGAAATTCACGCGGACACTTCAAAACACTAATTAACTAATACGCGACTAAAGAATCTAGCGACTTTTTTGAATGATAATGATAATCACGACATGATGTGCAAAAGTCATACTCAAGCTGCTGAAAATTGACAGGAACTAGAATTTTACGATTAAAAGCTCAGTTGACTAAGCGACACATGACGTAAAAAAATACTTTATTACTTATGAAAGTAAATTACTTCTCGAAAATGATGAAACGAAAGAAAAATGAATTAAAACATGAAAGAAAATAAAAAAAAATAAGAAAATAAAATCGAAGCATATTTAATCAATCCCATTTATAATTAATTAATGGAAAAAAAACATGAAAAACAACTTAATTGTGCAACATGCAAAATAAAAAAAAATTGAATAATGAAAATAGTTGTCGAAGAACGATCGTCAATGATGTCCAGAGAGAAATCAGTTGAACCCTGTAATCAAGAAATGGATAATTCATAGCAACATTCATTGCTACAACATTGACGCTCGTATTTCTAATTCGAATTAAAAGTTTTTGTGTAATTTTGATGAATTGATAAAAAAAATATTTAAGATCGTTCGAAGTGATTGTGAGAGTTTCGATCATCAACTCAGGCTAACTTTTTCGATTAGTTCAAATTCTCTTGATGATCATTAGCTCCCAGAATCGCTTCGCGATGCGCACTTGAGAATACTTCTCTTCTCCAACAAGCTTTGAAAATCTGATAAGAAAGAGTTTAAGAAATCTTAATAATGATTCAATTTGGATACAAGAGAAATGTCATGAAAATGATTTAAGAATGGAAATCATCTGATTAGCAAGTTTCATAAATATGTGAAAACAATTTTTGATGATCACGATGATGAAGAATGAAAGGAAATAATACACAACAATTATACAAGATTCATTTGTGTTTTTAATCAATTACAAATTGCAGCTCATTTCAGTGTCTCCATAAACCTCCTTCAGTGTGTCATTTCATCTTTTTTTATATGTTTTGTTGTTTGGTGCATAATTGAAGCTTTTCTTTATTTTTTGTTGGAATTTTCTTTTTAATAAAACATTTTGCAAGTGTGAAAGGATTTTTTAGGTAAAATAAGAGTTTTATATAATGACATCTACTTGTGGTAAACATAAAGCTAATTTGTTTGCTATTGTAGAAGGTTTCAAATCAAAATTTAAATGACTCATCTCATAAAATGTACAATAATCAGAATGTGAGTGAAATATTTGAAGAATTTTATTTTTCATTTATTTTCTTTGTTTTTTTATGAGAATTTTTGAAAATTTTTTTCCAGTGGGATTCAATTCCACCGATAAATTCTTCACAAACATCAAACTTTAGCACAAATCGTATGTATAGTAGTGGACACAATTCAATGCAAACACAAAATCAAAGATGGCAAACACCAGGACCGATCCAAAGACCTTCCAATAATAGCAACAACAATTATAATAATTCACAATCTTCACAACACACAAATTATCAGAATTCTCATTATCAACAAAGAGTAGGACGAAATGCTTCGATATCAAGCAACAACTCAGGAATGGCGCAAGGAAAATCTCAATATTTTAATGTTTCTTCATCTGCAAGCTCTAGAAGTATGACATAAAAATGAATTCTAAATTATATTTCAGCTCACAATATATTCTTAAATTTCAGTGAAATCAGATTACGACAAGACAAGATCATTAGTATCAATTGCTCCCACGAAAGCACCTGGCGAGACTAAAGTTGATTAAAAATTGTATCTTTAAATATCTGAAAATTTCTTTGTTTTTATTTTAAGAATATTTTTGAATGTACATAGAATGGACACAAGCCAGTTAATAAAGCAAAATGTAGACATTGTACACAAGTAAAAGTTGAGAGAATATTATTAATCATCGTCTGTATCCATATTGTCATCACCATCATTAACATCATCATCACTCGTCTCGTCTGCTTGGGAAACTTCTTCTTGGCATTTCTCACAATCGCATAAAAACAAATAATTTTCTTGAAGATATTTTTGTCGTGAGTAACGTGATCTGTCGAGTTGACACTCATCTAAATAACTAATGCAAATTTCTTCATCCGGTTTGATTTCTCGAAGTGCAACTACCTGCAGTTTACTGTTAGAAAATGGAAATCGTATTTCAGCGTTTGGTTTACAGCTGTGATTGATTTTAGATTGAGTGACGTAAAGTCCCGAACCTTCGTTATTGAGAAAAGTTCCAACGGTATTATCAAACGTGGCATAAACTGTGTCAATAAATTCATCCAACTCTTTGCTTTGTTTCTCTGACAGTGATTGCAATTCCGATACATTTCTCACCCAATTAGCAAATGGCGAAGTTCCAATGCCTTGAGAGTTCGTTCCAATCATTGTAAATAATTGAGTAAAGCCTTCAACCGTCAAAAATCTACTTAAAATTTCTTCACCTTGAAACAACTGAATTAAAGCTTGATGCAAATTTGACAATTGTTCGCTGAACTTTTTTCCCAAAATTTTGTGACATATCCTCAAATCGTCGTTTTTTGATCGATCACAAAATTCCCCAAAAACATTCAGATATTCTGGTTGCAATTTTACCATTGCAAATATTCTGAGAATTAGTAATAATGATGTTGTTTCAGGAGGATAATGCATTTTTCTGCAATGAAGGAGAAGATTTAAATAAATATTCATTTTAATAAAATTAGTAAACTTACTTCCAGATCTCATTGATGGAATCAAAAGGTTGGTTTGGTTTCAGCGCATGGCACATTATGCTATGATATTTGAATTTAGCTTCCTCAAGACATTCAGTACTACAGAATTTCAATGAACATTCTTGACATTGAACAAACTTCTGTTGCAAATGTATTACTGGATCAGATTCCGGAAATGGAAGAATGATTGAAGGATCGAAAGCGAGTCGTCGAACATTTTGTTCAGCTGTTTCAAGAGGAAGCATACAATTTTCACACGCAAGATATCCATATGCTTTATTCCATGAAAATTGGGAACAAACAAAAGGAGCTTCTTCTAAAATTACTTCATCGATGGCAATCACTTTATTTGCAACCAAACTTCTTCCCTAAAATAATTTTTAAAATCAAAACTATTCAAACAATCTTCGTGGAAAATCCATTTACCTTTAAGTTTGTGTTGACAATTTTAAATTTACTTTCATTCATTGTAAATGATTTTAAATTACAATAAAATAATTAATTTTATGTTCGCAACGTGCGTTGAAATCATCAGGAAGCTTTTCAACACAAAACAAAACATTGTGGTGAGTATTGTTGACTAATTGTCATAGTTGAAAGCCCTGTTTGGTTAAAAATAATAGAAATCATCGTCAATATCAAACAAAATTATTTTCTCCTGGCTGTTGCAGTGTTTGAAAGATCAAGTATCTAAATTTTCTTTACATATCTGGAGCTGAAACCGAAATGTGACTACGCCAATAGGGTGACGCATCAATACAACCTTCAATAGTCTACGTCAAAGCATTCTAATTTAATTAATATTTTTTTCTTTATCTTGAAGTTTTCATCAGCGTTGTGTGCGTAGAAACAAAAGAATTAAATCTTTCAAAAGATGTCATATAGTCCACCCAATTACACAGATGGAGTTCCCATTAAAATTTCAGAAAAATATAAACCTCCACCACCAATTCATCTACCAACAAAAATCATACAGAATCTTGCAAAAGCGGAAGTTCCAGTGGCCTTCGAGGACTATAACTTCGATCTAGAACATAAAATCATAAGTAAAACATCTGAATGGATAAATTGGAGGGTGAAAGGAAAAACTGAACGTCAAGAACGAATAGCTCAGCGAGAGCTTGCAAGATTAAAGCGACTTGAAGAAGAACAGAAACAGAAATTGAATGAAGTTTCGTATCCAAGCACAGATGAGATTTCATCATGTGATGAAGACGATGATCTTGTCAATGAGGCTACCAATTCCAACATAAATCAGCAACCGAGCATTCCTAAAGAGAAACCATTTAGTCCTACAAACTTCAATACGATTCTGATGCCAACTCAAGCTCTTCAGGATCCAATAATCGTAAAAAAATCACATCGTCGTTATGCCAGTAATTCCAGCAATAAGATTGACTTCTCATTCTTTGAATCTGACGCCAGTCCTTTTGATCATCTTGAAATGAAATCAATGAATGAGATGGAAGTTCTTGCACAAATTTTAGGCTCGTCAGTAAAAGATGAAACAAAGAGCTTAGAGCGTGATAATTCTAGTGAATCCGAGTCAAGTGAACATCATAAGAACAATAATAATCATGTTGTAACAGAACCGTTAGATGAAGTTAAAGCTTTGCCTTTATCTCAGCAACAGCCGCAATATCAACAAAACTACGTTCCTCAAATGTATAACAATTATTATGGGATGAGTGGAGGTAACACGTACTATAACTACACTCCTGCAACGTCACAACACTTTTCAAATATGAATCCTCAAAATCAATTTCTTTATCCCCAAAATTATGCTGTGAATTTTAATCAACACAATTACAACGCATTAACGAATAATAACAACACAATTGTGAACGGCACGAGCGAGAAAGCTGATCTTGAAAATAAGTCAAAAAGTGTGCCGTCTATTATTAAGGAACTCAATGATGAGCTGAACAATTCTCAAAGGAGAAAAATCAGAAATAATAGTCAGAATAGTCCAAAGGAAATTAAGCAGCAGGAAGGTGAAGTTTCCATTTAATAGAAACGTGTTTTAGATATGTTGTCTTAAAATCAATTTTCTCTTTATTATTTTCCAGTTAAAACATCACCAAGCGAAGATGAAAACGAGTTTAGCAAATTGTCGCAAAGGATTCAATCATTAATTACTCAAATCACACAGATGGGATTTAAAAAGGAAATGGTCATGAGAGCTTTGACACGTGTAGGCGAAAATGATAAGAAATTAGTTGAGCATCTGATACCACTTAGTGAACTTCTTCAGATGGGATTCGAAGAAGAACGGATATCAGAAGCTTTAATAAAATTTGATAACAATAAGGATCGTGCATTGGACTATTTGATATCATAATTTGTGATATACTTTTTAGCTCTTCACACGTGTTGCTTGTAGAATCCTTTAACTATTGGGTGGAGTGTCACTCCCGTGATTATTTATTTTATTTTCCTTTGATATGAATATTTAAAAAGAATATCTACTAACTTACTTTCATTTGCTTCTTAAAAAAAGCCTTTTTCCGTTGATTAAGGGAAATAAAGTTAAAAACACAAACGCATGTTTAATGGATGATATTTATTTTGACTTTTTATGTCTTCAACAATAAGAATGTAAGAAAGAAAGAAGAAAATACTTAAGAAAAATTGAAATGAATAAAGAAATAATTTGACAAAGATTCTTTTCTCTCTTTTATATGTATTTAAATTTTAAAGTGTTTGAACTTTATTTTCAGAACGTGTTGTGAATGCTTTTCATTTTCTTTTGAATAAATGTAAAATTATTTATGAAACTTTTCATTTTTATCACTTCTCATAATAAAATATTTAAATTTCAAAAGTCATGCTTTAAAAAGTGCTTTACTATAATTTAAAAATGTCTACTTTTTTAAAGAAGAAATATTTGAAAGAAAGCAAATAATTTCCAACATTTATCATTTGTGAAAGTATCAAAAGTAAAAACATTTTACTTGCATGCTTTTCCTTAGATTTTATTCAAGGAGACAGAAGCTTTTTCGCTCTTTTTCATTTCGACCTAATTAAACTTTTCATTGTTCCAAACTTGTCCCTTTGGAGATCATAAAATTACTTTTTGGTCAAGTATTAATTACAACGAAGGGTAAATGAATGTCTGGTAAATGAAAATGAGAAATGAAAATGAAAGCTACAGGGATGATAATGTTTTGACTTCAGTGAAAAGAAAATTACGCATCAAAAAGTCACACGATGTACCGACAAGTTCGAGGAAAGTGTATGTTACAACTTCTACTAAGAAATACTATAACGTGATATAAACATCAACAATTCAAGCTTCATAAGTAAAATAAATGTCAAGAAAATGTTAATCAAAATTCCATTTCAGAGAAATTCATTTTTCTTTCGTTAGCTCTTGACATGTATCTGATGAGTTCTTTAATTCTCATTCCATTATATAAAATGGCTCTGTTTTCTACACTCTTCAGTTTAAATTATTTACTAAAATTGATTGCTCATGTTACTCTGAAGTATGAATTCTCGAAAGATGCTTGATATCACCATTAAACAAAGATGAAAATTTATTTCATTCCAATTTGACATGAAGTGTATGCAATTTCAATGGAAAACCAGCATTGACATTTCACTATTGGAATGAAGTCTTTCTAGAATCGAAATTGTTTAACACATTCATTTAATTAATACTATTTCTGATACATTTTTATGGAAATATAATAACTTATATTAAAGTCCATTACAATAAGAGACAAAAGTACAAAAAGACAATTTTTTAATCTTCACAAAATTCTTCCCTCATTGAATTGAAACAAAAAAAATTTTGTTGAATTTTAAGAAGATTAAGACATAATCACTTAATGACATTTCTTCCGATTCATAATCCTTGAAGTTAATTCTTATCTTAGGCCTTTTCCTGCTTCTGTATAAACATCGTAAGTACAGAAATTAATTCTGAATTTAAGATGTCACATAAATTAGTGAAGAAACGAAAAATCTTTTCCGTTTTGTACTAAATAAATATTCATTCGTAAAAAATCAACTGCATTTTATTAGCCTTTCTACTTTTTAGATGTTTTCTTTGCCAAAGATATAAGAAACGTGTTTTATAGCAACGATAATATAATATTTAAGGTTTGAAAAGCTTTTAGCGAGAGAGCTTGTAGAAAAAAGCGAATCTCTCAAGAGACTTTCACTGAGTTGCTTTGTTCAGGGATTTTTCTTTTGGATAGCAGACGTCAAATATTTAAAGGTTTATTTTAAATTCAGCTTGAAGGCAGAGTATCCCAAATGATAGTTTTTAGGATTCGCCAGAGCAGAAAAGTATCTGAAATCAGCTAAATGAATCTTGACTGATTCTAGTCATCAGAAATTCTTCAAACGTTGAGGTAGAAATTGTACATTTCTTTCTATCTTGAGCAGATAATTTAACCTTAGGCATCGAAGTTTTCTTTCTTTATAAAAAGGTAATCGAAATTACAGAACAAGTCGAGTGTTTAATACAGACTAACTTTCTTATTTCGTCTAGAAATTATCTGTGAACACAGATGAAAGTAAAACACTCGTAAGTAGAAACTTGAAGAAAATTGAAGACAGCAAAAAGATAGAATTAAAAACTTTAAGAATGAACGTTTCAGGAAGTTTTGCAATGCCGTAACCTGAATCTTCCTCTCATAGAGTGTTTCATATGAGATCTCAAGATAATCTTAATGAATTTTTGAAGAGCTTTTAAGAATCTTATCATGTTATTGAAATTATTTTTATTTACTTCAACACTTTTCACATCTCTTCCCTTACTCTGATTTTTTAATAACTTTGAAACCTGTTTGTTAATTTGAAATTTCTTCAAATCTTTTTCTGTTTTTCATTAAATTTTTATTTCATAAACTTTTTTATATTTCTTTTTTAACAACCAAGAAAAAAAATTTTTGAAAGAAAAGTTAATAAAGTGATGAAGGTTGAATGAGTTGTTTTCAAACGTTGAGATCTGAAATTTTCCGTTTTTTAAACTTTGTTCATGACTGTGGATGTATACTTCTCGTAACTTTTAATGTCGAGAAAATCTCTTCATGAAATATAGAAAAAAGTTTTTTTTTTCACGTTTTTACCACACTTTTTCGTCTTGAGGTAAAAATAAAAATATTTTACGGTTGGCCAACAATAAGATGAAGAATATTCCCTGTTCCGTCCTTACAACTTCACGCTTTGTTAACTTGATTTATTGTCACTTAAATTTTCAACTGAATAGAAATCATTATTGCTTCAAGAATTCTTTGTCAATTCTTAAAATATGTTTGGAATTTAGTATTTTGATGATAGGATATTGCAACAAGGTAAGTGGTGAATCTCTTCGAGCTTTGATAATCCATTTGATTCATTTAAATCACGAAAAAAGGAAATTCCAAATTTTCTTCTTCTGACATCTTCCAATGAACCTACAGCTATATTCTAAATGAACGAAAATAAGGTATGAATAAATCACATCACGTTCGGCACTCCTGACCTTTATGATCCATAAATCTCTAATGGTTTTCACGCCTGTTATTACGAGGTTGTAAAGTTCATATAAAAATTGTATTGAAAATGAAAGCATCGTGAAGCACTTACAATAAATTAATCCACATTTTCTTCGACGTATTCATCCGCAGACAAACATCTTCTAGAGAAGTATTATCATTTCGGATTGCTCATCAATTATGAAAAGAATTCACTCTCATATGCTACTGCTTTCGAAGACGTGTTCTATTTTTACTATTTCCCTTATAAATTTTTACAGAAATAGCAGAAAAGTTCATCTTACTTTAACATAAAGGATAAAGCTATCTCAAATGAAACTTACTTAAGGAAACTGCTGAAATATAACTTTTAACTTAAAATTTATTTGATAAAAATTTTCAGAAAACATTTTTCAAACAATATCTCGTAGACAAATTTTGTTTCAATCTCTTAGAATCTCAACATTTGATTTGAAATTAAATTAATAGAAGAAAAAAGAAGAAACCTTTACAAAAGTAGCATCGTTATCTTCATTTTATTTTATTAAAATAAGACTGAAAGAAAATGAAGAAACAAAAGAAAGGACGCGCTTGGATACTGAAAGTTTTGTTTTTATTCTCTTTGATCATTGGTAATGTAAAGTTTGAACAATAAAAAGAAAATGTTTACCAGCATTTGTGAATTGAATGATATTCTTTTTAGATATTTACAGAATATGAAATTTTTAAATGACCTTCATTGGAATTTTTCTATAGAACGTGAATTTTTTTTTCTTTTCTTCACGTTGAATTCAAAATGTTTCAGCATCTAACAAGATTATAAGAAAAACCCGAAGATATTAAAGTTATTAAATTCACGGGAAATGTACATTTCATCCTATAAAGGCGAGGAATATTACCAAGTATGGAAGATGAAGATTCAAAATACTATGAACGGAAAACTTAATAAGCTTAAACACCTTTCGTATTTCTATTGTATTCATTTTGATCTCTTCAACTTTAATGTAGGGAAACAAGATTTCTGTAGGGATTTTCACAGCCGTGTTGTGTCGTATCTCTCGGTTTACACTTCAATATAAATGTCTTCTCTTTTTACAGCAGGAATGTTTTGTTGCAATGTCAGCGAATAGTTTGTTTTGGTAAAAATAAAGTCACGCTTTGTTTTACTCATGAAAAAGAAAGATCGATAAAGTCAGAACGTTTTCCAATATTGTAAATCATACTTTAATGGTTCAGAGATATCTATCTTTGAACATTTTACCAACACTTGACATAAGCTGCTTTCTCGCGCCAACGTACACCAACTGTTGTCGTTCTTTACTTAGCAGCAATATCGTCATCCTTAAATAAACATTTAAATACGTAAATCTTTCTACAACGCAACACTTTTTTACTACAGTCTGAATAAAGAGAATTTTCTAAGCTTACGAGCTTTGTTTGATAAGTTGTTTGATGGTTTCTCAAAAAGATTGCGTGTAACAACTTTAAGCAATGACTCTGCCTACACATTATTGACACTTTTGTATTCGATTCCGTGTTGGATCAAAAAATCCTGAATGTTAGTACGAAATACTCTCATTGTGTTCGTAGTCTGAGAAACATTAAATATTTCATGAAGTCATGTTGAGTAGGAAAAAAAGGTGGGTGAGAAATTTGTTATGCTTGTGAAGTAAATAAGCAGTAAGACGTATAAATTTAAGTGACAGATTTTTTTGAACATACATATGTGACTTCAAATTGTTTTGAGATATCAACATTAAACAAAAAGAAAAGAAAATAAAAATTTAACCTAATAAAAAAAATTCAAAAAGTTTAGAAATCTTACGCATGAAAAAATTCACTTGTAGGGATTTTATTTCGTTCTTTTTTTCGGAATTTTTTTATGAAAGTCATTTGAAACTGAACTTGAATTAATTGTAGATGATTATCTACTATTAAATCACTAAACATCTCTCTAATCCTGTCACCGGACTCTATGATATTGATTTCATTTAAATATACTTTAATATCTCATATAAAGTAGCTGAGAAAAATATAAAATATATTTTTTGAAAAGAAAGCAAAATTCAAGATTTTCGATAAGAAATATTAGACATTTTAAGGCTTTCCTGTTCCTTTTAGAAGACATTTTACGAAAATCTCTAGTGAAAATATAACGATGATGATGACTATGTGACACTTGACACAAGATGCTTTAATTCCATTTTCAAGGAAATATTGATCTGAGATTGGCAGTGAAATATATTTGTATCAAATTACTTTTGATATGTTGTTTATGAAATATATTCTTCTTAGTTCAATTGTATCCCAATCAATCAGACTTACTTGGGCGGTTTGATTGAAATATGTAAGCTTGCTTACTACGAGCTGAATGTAAATGTTTATTCGATCATTGAAAAGCTTTTCCTTGAATGATTGAAATACTGGAAAAACTAGAGTAAGCTGCTGCTATAAACTTCTGTAACTGATTACTCTATCAAGATTCTTAAGAGGTTATAAGCGAAAGATTGATTTCAACATGCATGTATCAAAAAATTGAGCATGAGTAAAGAAGTAACATAATCTATTTGCAAAGCTTTTCATACTTTGGCGTCGTCTGACTTCTTTATGTTGTTGTCACTTTGGATGCTAACAACTTGCCACTTAAAACGATGTTAACTCTTTGCAAGACTGGATCGATAAACATTTTCTCTTTTCCTTGCTATATTGAAATTAACATCGTCAACATTTTTCTCATATTTTCATGCTCTTGAAAGTTCTCTAACATATCAGAAAATACCTTTTGAAATTACGGAATATGACATGCTTTTTAATTGCTTTAATTATGATACTTTTTTCATTGTGCTTTCATGTATGCTTTTATATATGAACAAAAAACATGTAGAAAAATTCTGTATCTATGACGATTGACAAAAACATTTAAAATTTGATTTATTGTTTCATGATTTATGTATTTTTGCATAAAATCTACCATATCGATTTCTTTTATGATATGAGTTTGAAAATCATTTTTCATTCTAGGCAAGATTTGTTAAGCCATGGTAAACCAAAATGTAAAGTTTTACAATGTGCTTTTTTTCAAAGGAATATCTAAATTTTTTGATTTAATATTGATTCAAGCTAACATTTGATGCTATTTATAAAAGCAATCAAAAAATTTTTACAAACGTAATAAAAATTAATCTACGTCATTAAACCAGCGTTGCTGTAAGCATCAAATCATTGCAAAAATATTGAAGTAAGAAATTTTATATTTTTTTATTTTTAAACTCAAGTTTTGAGCTGCGTAAACTGAAAATATTTTGCTGATTATAGGAAAATCACTCTCCAAGATAATCAACTGACTGTTTCTTTCTCTTTTATTCGGATCATCAATTTTTTTATTGAAATGGGAAAGGAATATTTTCAAGATATCCTGAAAGTTGTATTGATTGTAAGCAATTTAACAAAGCCTTTGATCTTCTCATCAGAATTTGCTATATTCGTTTCGAAGGAAAATTCGATTTTACTTAAGATTATTTGAGGTGTTAGCAATCAAATAAAGTGTCAGATTCAAGTTTTGATCTTGTTCGAATTTTCTTTATCTCCTTGAATTGTTAAAGACTTAATCACTTCACATTCCTACATTCTATCTCTTAGACAACAATCCACTCATTCTATTTTGACTAACTATTTGTTTAACATTTAAATATTTGAGATTAAAAATAAAATGAAAATTATCCACAAAAACTGTGTAAAGGCAAATTAAAATCTAAAACAGAAGGATTCTCATGCAAAAAGGTTTATTTGAATACGTTTTAAGCATGAACCATAAATTTTGTGTTTGCCAATTTGAGAAACCTTTATGTACAATAAAACAGAATTAATGGTTAAGTGCTAATAAATGTTAAAATGTGTTTTCAATCTAATGAACATTTGAAAATTATGTTCTTGAATGTTCGTGGGTGTATTATGAACTATCTTCAGCTTGATTTGATTTCAGGTTGAAAATCATTAGAAAAGGTTTTATTTTCTTGCTTTACAGAGTTCATTGTATACACATTAAGCTTAAAGATTTTTCTTCTGATCAAATATATTTTCGTTCATCTTTTTTCTTAAGGTCCATTGGGCACGATACACATTTTTATACCAGATTAAATATATTTATCAAATATAGAGAAGTCAATTTCAGTGCGAGGGTTTATTTCTGATGTCAACCAATCAAGAACGTTAGCTTTTCCTTGACAGGTTTTTGATATCCGTGGTAAACGTTTTCATCAAATTGTGACAAGAAACAATTTTAAAATATAAAAGATAATATTTATAAATTTGAAGAAGGTTGAATTTACTTAGATTGCTTTTTATTAAATTGATGGAAGAGCTAATCAATCGTTTCTGGAAAGGTTAAATATCTCAAAGGAAGATTTATTACATGACTTGACATTTAAGTCCAAGTTTCTCAAGCAGAGTATCGTCATAACACAGCTCACGTCTTAGGTATATTTGAAAATTCTCCTGGAAGGCTTGCCGGAAAGAGTGCTTATTTATTAATATCTTTCAATCTCTCTTCATCTCATAGCAAAAGACAAATTTATATGTCGAACGACCTGTATATGTTGGTTAAGGTATCACAAATAATGTACTCTAAGGTAAGAAATATCTTATAAAAGAATTTGTCTCCATGGGGATGTAACTGATGAAATTCCATACCATAAAGCTAAAAGTTTTTCTCGATACATAAATCATGAGGTAATTTTGAGCCAAAAATTTTAAACTTTGTTGAAAGAATGTTTCCAATGACTTTGACTTGATAAATTCGAAACCACATTGCATAAGCTTTGCCATGACAAAACTTCAGAAAAAGATCTGAGTTAACCTCAGGATATTCAAGTAATAACCTCAGGATGTTCAGAACAGATAAACAGCAAATAAAAAAATGTACAAAAAAATCAAATAAAAATGTTGGAGACACTCATTCGAACTGCCCAATTCACTTGAGATCATAAAGAACGTAACATTAATAAAAATTGGGTTGTTTAAAATTAAATTCAGCATGACATCAATGTTCTCGTTTTTCCCATGCTATGAACATCGATTACAGCTTAACATGCATCAATAAACCAGAATTTGCGACTATAAACTTTCTCACGTTTTGTAAATTGATTTTTGATTGTGAAATATGTCGAGTGTGAAAATGTGTATCGAGAAAGGAAAATTACAATTGATTTTTATTTCGAAACGAGCAAAGTGTCGTGTTCTCAAGAAAATAATGATTACCTAATATCAAATATTTGATTTTAATCTTTCTTGATTTGTTTGAAACGAATATTTCCAAGAAAAATTTGTTAAGGTTTGCCTTTTCACAAAACAATATCTTTCAAGTATCAAATTTAAAAATATCTGTTTTCTTTAACTTCTTAGATATATTTCTCTGGAAAATGTTGCTCTAAAAATCTGTTGATATGCTTGTGTAATCACAATAACTTTTTACATTATAAATCCTGAAGTCATGCAAAACGTCAACCATCATAAGTTGAATACAAAATCAGTGTTCATTTGCTTATTTAATTTTAAAGTTTTGACTTTGAAAACAATTGTTTATTTTTAAGTTTTCTCATCAGCCAGCATTAGATGGATTTTTCTTCGTCTCATTTCTAATTTGTCATTTAGAACATCTAGATAAGACTTTTCTATCAACTTTTGATGAAATTTTGAAAATTATTACAGAAGTTTATTCCTACAATCCAAACACGTAGCAAAATGCCTTCAGCATCTTGTCGAGAGCAAATAAAGTTGAAAAATTCGCTGTGTGTTCAATAAAAATTTTCATTTTTATTTTCACGTTGAAATCAAATTAAAGATTATCAAGATCGATAAGTCACGTTTTGTGGTGAAAGTGGTGCAATGTGCTTTAACATTGAAATGTTGTTACGTTTTCTTCTCACACCATCCACTTAATCTTCAACGAGCTTTCAACTTGAAATCTCTTAATTAAATTTTCTCAAATCTCTTCTCGTAAATCCAATTATCAGTTCATTACTCATCACAATTTCCCTCAAATTCTAAAGGCAGCAAATTATCCCATACCGGAAACTTTTAAATTCAGGAAATCTTTGTCGCTACATATATCAACATCATGACTACATCACTACAAAACTTGACGGTGGGCGAAGAAGAATGAAGTCAATATTTATTCCTAGTCATTTCAATTTAGCGTCATTCACTACTAATTAGCATATATGTAAATATAGTTTTGCGTCAACATTATTTTTCATCAATACTTGTTTCTATTTTTATCCGTCTACAAATTATGTTCTGATAAGAATAATATTTTATTCAATGAAAAGATCTTTGTTAATTTGACTTGAAAGCGTTTCGATGGTAATTAGATTTTCAATCACATCTAATTATTAATTATTTATTTTCATTGGCGTTGTACTCAACGAAAAATAGAATTCAAGATAGAATTATAGCAAATGAGAAAGCTTTCTTCGAGTTTAAGGAAAATGAGAGAAGGATAGAAATGAGAGAAATTGAGCTTTTTTCTCTCACCATTGAACATATGATTCAAAAGCTGCTACATCTCGTGTGAACATTCTGTAAATTGAGTTCTTCAGTCGTCCTTAATTCTTCATTGGGTTTGGATCACTTCATTTAGTTTCCTTCAATTTTATATAAAGAGAAAAAGAAATATCTTCAAGAATCTTCTAAATATTCAAAAAAAATATTTTTTTGCAAATGTTATGGGAGTGATAAAATTTTCAAATCAAATATGGAAAATAAACGATGATTAGGGAAAACTTTTAAAGAAATAGAAAGAAAAAAGTAATAAAACATTAAATGTGAATCTGTCAAAGTGTTTATTGATGTCTAAAATTATTTCATCATAATCAAAACATGGGAATGTCATTTAAATACATTTCATTGAATCAATCAGCACCCTTTTAATTACCTAAGATACTGTGATCATAATAATCGTTAATTGGTATAACCCTCCACTATAACTAGCCTAATTTTGCACTCAATAGTTTATGCTTGTTGGAATGAGGACTAACCCAAATGCAAATTCGATGGTACAATTGAAACATCAAAGCTCTGATGATTAAAATATTAATTATTAAAAGCACGAATAACTAGCATACAAAGTGTGTCGTTAACTTCTTTATGAAAGCAGCCATAAAACCATTAACCGGTAAAAATTCACGTAAATTTGAATCTGTAGCCTTTACGTCTGAAATAAGTGTGACGAAAAATAAGTATAAAACGTGAATCAGCAGGTTCTAAAAATGATCTATTATGAAAAAAGAAAGAAAAAGTTACGTAAAGAATGTCTAGTAATAAATTTAAAACGAAATTAATATAAATTGAGTGGGGAACAAAATGGTGACAAACGTATTTCGTTACGCGAATATAATCCTATTTTGCAATCACAATATTTTATGACTACAATCGCAGGGGATTTCAAGTACAAGTAGATACTTTATAATTAAAAAAGAAATGAAATATTAAAAATTTCTTTTTAACGTTCTTAAGGAATGAAAATTGAAACATGAAATTTTGTGAAACGTGTAATTCATAAATCAATTTCATTCAATATTTTATTCAGAGTAATTAAGATTTAATTGCTTGTGAATGTTTTTAAGTATGTATTTTATTAATTAGTTTTTCATATAAACTCCTAATAATATGGACTTTTCATAGTTCTTTTTCTTTCTTATCTCTGATCTATGATTTAGTTCAATGAGACCAATTTTGCATCCTTTTCCCCTGACTTTTATAAATAAATTGTAATTTAAATTGCTTGAAAAACTTTTTTAACTCAATCTGTCATTAACAAATTATATTTGATTGCAAGTATGCTTCATGGAACTTGCAAATGTACATACTTTTCTACTTGCTTTTCTATGTTATTAGAGAACAACATAAATGTATTTATATCGCCTATTCATTCATTTCACAAGGTGAGAAGTTAATGGAGATACAAAACTTCAATTCCAATAATTGAGGAAGAAATTGACGTTTCCCTAAGCACAGTTATTTGCTAAACTGAAGTTGATATCTCATTTAATGATTTATATCCACCTTCTCAGAGTTCAGTATCAATAGTACCAGACAAATGCATATGTAAGATAAATGTTTAATATCCCAACACTCCTTAATATGACTTTTAAAGTAATAGAATGAAAGTGTATAAATATTGAAATGAAATGGCAACCCAATCCTTTGCTAAAACAAACTGAGACAACAGAAAACAAAATAATGAAAGAAGAATTCATATAATTCGATGTCGAATTCATGACCTCATTTCATTCCTATTGTTTCTTTCCATAGCAAATTGAATTGGTGGAATTGTGTCGTCTTTATTGGCTATTGAATGTTGATTTCCCCACAAAACAAAGTGTACATAAGTATTAGAAAATGAATCAGATGATAATATCCGCCGTGTAGGTTGGGTATATAAGTAAAGTGTAAATAATTAGTGGCTCGTATAATATGAAAAATAAAAATAAAGCTTTAGAGCAAAAACAAAATTTGTTGTTACCATAAGCTCCAGTGAAAGTAAATTTGCTTTTAGATGAAAGAAAATTGTTTTAATAAACAATATTAGAAATATAAAAGCTTTAATTAAAACTTTTTAATTAAACAACAAAATCAAGTGACATCAACATTGAAAGCTTGCTTACGTCGCAACACGGATGAGACTGGATTACTCAAAGATAATATGGATGATGGAAATTCAAAGAAAATCTTAAGTGTAAGCATATCCACTCTTTATTCATTTTTCAAAATGATTCATTTTTGCTAAAGACATAAAATTGCTGCTTAAATAAAAAATCGCTGCTTTTTAGTCTTACACTTTTCTTCATATCATCAGAATTGTCTCCTTTGAGACTGGATACGACAATGACAAGCATCGTTTTGTATTAATATCAAAAGTTCATTTGTTTGGATTAAAGTTCAAGGTTTCGTGCTTGTAATCATAAATGAGATGTTAGGGTGGAAGATGTAATAAAAATTATATGAGAACATTTTGAAGGATTCACAAATTATTGAGTCTATTAAGAGTCATTTATTCACTATTATTGGTGGTCAATTTAATAACAGTTATTATTAATAATTCCTCAAAAAATCATTTTTGCCTTTATAAATTATTCCGTTCTTGAAAATCAATTTCAGATTACTTTATGTCAAGAATAACGAATCTAAGCATAGATAAATATATTCGTTCAGACACTCGCTCAAGCGATAAGATGCTTCATGAATAAAAGAAATATTTTTTCCTACTTTTATATCGCTATGAAGATTGGAATTCTTTCAATCAATTTCGATTGTTTAATTCATAACCAAACCAATTACTCGCAAGAAAAACTAATTTATCTCAAGCGACTTCTATTACGTAGATTGTGCTAAATAACGTAGAAAAATGAGAATCAGAAATTCATCTTAACACAGCAATTTATTGTCATCTCATTTTATATATTAATTAATAACGTGTATAGTCAAGTCATGGATTATCATTAGAAGCTTGCAGATTTAGCAGAATATTTTATAACTGTAACAGCAAATTTTCTCATCTTCTCATGAATTACCTACTTTTGAAAATGGAAACTAACTTTCTTCACTCTTAATTTATATAAATTTCTCTTTTTCTTCCTGTACCTCATTAAGTTTGATCGCGCAGCATTTGTTTTGTTGCGTGTCAAAAAGGCGTTCAAAAAGAAGCGTCAGCAACGAAAGGAAAGAAAGTAAGTAAAGGAAAAATTGTACATTTCTCATAACCGCATAAAATCCGACGCTAAGCTGACGAAATAAGTTAGAATGAAAAGCAGTGGTCTAAGCTCTACTTTAGGCTTTATTAATTGAAGTGAGATTTATCGCATTGATAACAAGGCAGGTTTTCCAGGCACTTACCACAGCACGTTGCTTAAGTGAAGGATTTATGAATTTAGCCTTCAGAGTCTTGCAAAAACCTTTCATAGTAGAAACATTTGAAACAATGTTGCAGTTTAGAGACATGCTATAAAAATATAAAGCACCAGCTAAAGCATTTTGTAGAGCCAATATTCTGTTAGGAATTTTCTCCTTGATTTATTAGCTTCAACGTTATATTTAGCGTTGTAAATTTCACATTGTTTATCATGAAAAACTTCAAAAATCTTTTGAAGGTTTTCATGCTTAACTACATGAAAATTCAAAATGTGAAAATTTGAAATTTAAATACATAACAAGTTGTTAAGGATGATTGCTTAAGCTAAATAGTCGTGTTGAAAAAGTAATTGATGGAAAAGAAGAAAACAAAACGCTACATTCAGAGAGCTTAAAACATTTTTTATTTGGAATCTTAAAAGCAGCAAAGTTTTAATGAGAGTGAATATTTAACGAACATAATTAAAAAGCAAGTAAAACAGAATTTCCGAATAATTTCTCTTGCATAACTCTGCGTCATTATAATCCCAACATTTCAATTTGACTGTGCCCTGACCTATCCATACTTTTCAATGAAAACAAACTTAGAAACAATGTTACGGATAAACCGTAGAAGAGGGAAAATGAATTCTTCTTTGTCACATTTTACACCCGAATGGATCCATTTTCATATTCATCATGATTTTATCTGAACGACTGAGTGACAGAATGAGAGGCAGTATAAAATTTATCTTGATGAAACGTCGTTTGAAAATTACTAAAATCGAAGAAATAAAATCATCGACTTTTATGAACTCTACAGACGTTGTCAAAACTGATTCAGTAAAGTAACAGACGTTTGATGGAAAGGAAAACATTTTTCCTTTTGTGCCTCAGGTTATAAAATTTACGCAAAAGGGAATTGAAATAACTTCTTCCCTTCGCACATTATCAGCCAAAATTTCATTGAAAAATTCGATTAAAATTTAAAGAAAACTTTTTATCGAAACATTTCCTTTTGTTCAAGTGTAAAAGGAAACAGTGAAAGTTAATTTCCTGTTCTTACAAGATTTTATTTGTATAAGATTTGAGTTAATATAAAATTTCGATAAAAATTGATTGTCTGTCGGAAATGCCACAGAGAGCTTGGACAATAAAATTCGTTTAACTGTCGCAAAGCGTCGTAGAGCGTAAAGCTTTTAAATCTGTAAGCAAATAATTTGAATTCCACACTTTTAGTCTTTTGCTTCAAAACATCGAAACCAATAACAACGACATCAAATGGAAGCGAACCCCTCCGTTAGCGCGATCAAAAACTTTGCCGGATTTATTCTGTCAAGATCAAGATGGAACGGCTATTCCTTTCAATAAAGGTATTCAATTTGAAAAGAATTTGAATCCTTTTAAATTATTCAAGAATCATTTGAATTCCTTTAGATTCGCCTACGCCATGTCGCATTTTGCAAAAGGCACCGAAAATTGCGCTGACGATAGATGACATTCCTCAAGCAGAATTTCAAAGGCGGAAGTCATCCGGAAGCTCTGTTCACTCAAATCAATCTACTTGTGAGCCCCATATTTATGAGTTCCAGGAATACGATAGAAACGCAGATTCATCTCTTGTAATCAGGTCAGTTAAAAATATAATTTAATGGAAGTTGCTGAAATTATTTTCATTATGTTTTTGCATGAAACAGAATTCCATCCTATACGAACATCGCATCAGTTAATTGTGAAATTCCACAAAAACTGCAGAACTCCACAAACAGTACATTTTATCGCTTCACACGTCTCTTGAACAACAATAAGCCTGTAGTAAATACAAGAGATGAAAGAAGAACATCATGGGAAAAAAGGTGGGGGTTGTAAAAGGGATTGAATTTAAAATACTATTTTGTTAGCATACATAAATGTTGAGGTTTAATGGTCTACTTGGAATTTATGCTGTTTATTATTAAAAGCAAAACTGCTTAATAAACAGATGATCCATTAACATAATTCACCTCAAGCTATTCACTCGAATAATTTAAATTTTCATTCATTTCATTAAGTCTGCTTTTATATCCAACAGAACATCAGAAAAGCTTCCTCACTCATCAAGCATTGATTCACTCGTTGATATTGTATGGAACAACGAAAGCGACACGAATCTGTTAACTTTGCCAAAACATCTCATGGTACAAGAGCCGACAAGTCGTCGAGAGAGCTTACTAAGTCCAAGAAGGTCAAAACAATCGCCAGTTGGTAATGCGAGATGCAGACGAGTCAATTGTGAGTTTTTTTTTCATTCATTGATATCAATTTATCGATTAAAGAAATATTGTGACCTTGCTTCTCATACATTTACCATAACGGCTCATAAAATATTAAAGTAAGGGATGTTAGAAAGAAGAACATAAAAATAAACATTATCTGCTTGTTCAAAATCGAACAATCGTACAATTGAATAACATTTTTCGAAAGGAAGTGAACAAGAAATCTAAATATATTCACAAGTATATTCACATGATATGTTATTCAAAAAGGGAAAATTGAATACAAAATACCAATAGGCTATACACGTCGCTTTTTATGTTCACTTGAAGATATTCCTTTGTGTCATCGTTGCGTTAAAAATTCCCCTAAAGCATTCGGATAAAATAACGAATAAAACTTTTTACTTCACTCATTCACATGTTGATGGACGTGGGTATATTCTCGTTACAAAAAATAAGCTTAGAACTATTTGCAATAAAAAAACTTTCAACATTCATTGAGATGTTGGTCTGAGAAATTTTCCAACTCAGTTTGGAGTTGATACAAACTATTTAATGTTGAAAGAAGAACAATTTTTGTTTGAAAGTTCCCAAATGTTTTCCCTCCATGTATCTTTTTCTTTCTATTCTTTCATTCTTCATCACCTTAAAGCCTTTCATTCTCGAAACTTTTCTTTTAAAGCAGACATGATGTCAATGTCATCATATTTGATCGTTTGAAATGACATAAAATTTTGATTTGTTGACATATTCATCGGTAATGTTTCTTGACATTCAAACATAAGATTGGAAAAACGTCACAAATTTCTTTCACTATAGTGAAGATAGATTCACGTCTTCGTCATCGTAGAGAACTTATATTTATATAGAGTGAAAAGTTTTCCAATGCAATTGTACATGAATGAAACCATCTCCTAAGTTACATCTCGTGAGACTCATTTGATGGAATGTGAATTTTCTTTTTCAGACTTTTTATGTGTTCTGACTTCACAGTTTGAAAACTTTCATTATAAATTACGTTGATCTTAAAAGATAGCTTTGACAACGAAGCTTCTTTAATTATGTTTCCTTCTTTTTTATTCAACAAAGCATAGAATCCCTGAATAAAACGTTAAAGCCATTTGTTCATCCTCCCACGTTTTTTTTCCTTCATAAACATACAAGGGTTGAACTAACTTTAAAAGTTTGCAAAGTAAACCTCGTAAAGTAATTTATAAAGTCGATGCCTTTTATTATGTTTACGATTCCTTTCATCTTCGTATGATACTATGTGATGTTCTTTGCTGAGCAATTTTAAATGATTACGTCATCAACGAGAACGATTTCATTAAAATTACGCATTGAACGAAAGAAGTAGAAGAAATTCATACTCACTTTGCCTTTTTTCTTTTTTTAAGAATTCAAAGGGAAATACGATTATCTAAAATTACGAGTGTACACTTTATGACGACAAAGCACTTTTCTAAAATTAGACGAAATTCTTTTCCCTTATTACTACGTAGCTTCTATTTTTATTACATTTCCAGCAGACATTTGAGCCTCCATTCAAGTTTCAAAGCCTTCTACCCTCTTCAAACATAGAAAATGAATAATTCACTTAAAGGTTGAGTTTGCTCTTTGAGAGAATTTCTCTGTCTTGTAAATGGTTTCAGTTATATTCACGTTCATGTAAATTTTCTTTGGAAGCGAAGGAAATCTTTAGTCATCAGAAGAAGCAAAAATAAATTCAATTTAGTAAGTATTTATTGTGGGTTCTATCGGAGATTTCCTCTGCAATTAGCATCGCAAATATGTTTGTTGAACAAGAGTTGAAACTTTCTTTTAATAAAATTTAACATGATGAATATTTAAACGCATTTATGGAGCTTGAAAGAATGTTGGGACTTGCTTTCGTAAACATCCGGAATATTTAAATATGAATAAATTATTCAATTTAACTTTTTAATCATTTTTTTTGTTCAGAGACATCTGACGTCTGAATCTTTTGGATCACAAAGGACATCAGAAACTTATTCGAAAAGAAGGAAAAACTTTTGTCAGTCTTCGAATTTATTTATCAATTATTTACTCTTCTCATTTTCATGTAAATTTAGAAGAAAATTTCTTCAATTCTTGTGGAACAAATTCTTTGGATTTCAACGTTCTTCAAATGTAAACACCACTGGAATTGTTGCTATTGAACATTGAAGAAATACGAAACTCATTCCAAAGTTTAAATATAGCATGAATTCACGAATGATTCTGAGAGTTGATATTTAAATTTCGAAGTCAAACTCTAAATTAAGTTTCACGCTTCCATTGAGCGATGTCAATTAAAGTTCATTAGAAAGAAAATTCTTTGTGTCAGACAGAAATTCGTCAATTGTGAAGTAAATAAATGAATTAATAATGAGAACAAAGCGATGTCTGATTTGATATTCTCTTCCTTAATAAATTTTCGTCATTATATAATAGAAAGCTTTATAAAAGTTTAACAAATATTTACAATGAGAATCCTGAAAAGTTTACAGTTTTTTAAAAGGTTGCTTACACAGTAGTGAAGTTCAGTAAATGAACTTAACTTTAAGAGATAAAAGAAATTTTCTATCATAGAAATGACAACTCAAACACTTAACTAAATACTCAATATTTAACTTCAAATATTAGCCATGAGGGTATCAAATTGCTAACAAACTTAAGTGATTATTTGATATCTAAATATTCCTTTAACCGTTTCTTGACTTTCCACAGCAATTATGGGGATTTCTTTGTATATTTCTCGTTCATAGGTCAACTTTTAGTTCCTGTAGAGAAGGAAGTAATTTATATCTAGATATGTCGTTGACCAGAGACTTTTGACTTCCATTTAGTTAAATATTTAGATAATTTTCTTCGTTCAGTTTATTGACCTTTTCCTTTTTCCTCAAATTCAACCCCCTGGGTGGTCAATGAAATATTTGTGTCATATAAAGATAATTAAATTATTGCGTGAGCGTTCGCTTCGTTTTTTCATTGCAATTTGAAGTGATAAACTGTTATAAATAAAATCATTTTTTCTCTTGTCTGTATAGCTCTCTTTTCGAACGTGGAGCACAACTTGCTAGACAAAGTCCGATCAATACTGGAAAATACTGACGTTGATGTTAATAGCGTAAATAGCGATGGGCTTTCAGCTCTCGATATTGCTGTACTTATGAACAATAAATTAATGGCTAAATTGCTTTTGCAACACGGTGCTCTTCCGGGTCCGCAATCAACCGACAATTTAGAAAATTACTTAAATTCATTAATGTATGATGCTGAACAAAAACTTCACCATTTAGCTGGCATAAGTGAAAGTGCTGCTGCTCAAGCTTTAAACTCTCGAGCTTCTTTCTCAAGCATCATCGGATCGACAAGTCAAAGTTGTACGGGAACAGAAAGTGAACGACAAATGGGCGTATGGGAAAGGCGAATAAGAGGCTTACGTCGTTTGCTTTCAGGATGGCAAGTCATTGAAATCCCAGGCCCTCCGTTAAGCTTTACGATAGGTAAAATTTATGTGATATTTTAATCAGTTTAATTTTAATTAAATTTTTCTCATTCTTTTTTTTATAATTGGACTTTAAATTGCAGATGTTATCGGAACTAATTCCGTTATGTTGAAAATCATAGAACCCATGAATACTTGCATTTGTACAAAGTTCAAAGGTGAGTGAAAGCAATAAAAAAAAATCATTTAAGAACAGACTGTAGATGAAACAGATTTCAAATAAGGAAGCAAGATTGGTGTGGAATGAAGCGTGAAATTTAAAACCAAATTGAAGTTTTTTCACGCACGACAGTGATCAAGATATTTGGCGTGATAAAATTTCTTTTTTCCTTATTTCACAGTTCAATGGTCGTCACGTGAGGATTTTTCAATTTTTATCGGCGAGAGAATCATTACAGAGTGGAATACATTTCAAGGCAGCATGGGCTCACATTTCCATATAAACGAATTAATACAAGGACGTCAGTACTTTTTTCGAGCGTGTAGTGGAAATGTTAAAGGTTTTGGTGCTTTTAAAGTTTCCAATCCTATAAGTATAATACCATCAAGTTGGAGAGACATAGAATTACAGAGTAAAGAGCAAAGGTTCATGGGTAGGCAAAAAATACTTGACGAGCTTTTTACTGCGACACGGATGCTGAGACCGGAAGATGCCTGTTTACTACCAGACTCGTCTTCCCATCGTCGTAATCCGAAAAAGAAAACCACAATCAAACAACTTTTTTCGGCAGCATCAAAGTTTCAAAGAAGCCTACGGCGAGGCATTTATTTGGCTTGCATTCTTTTTTGCGACGACAAAATTTTTGTTACCAACGAAGACTTCTTACCCGTGATAGAAATTGATGAGACTTATCCAAGCAACCTTAACAACGATTACTATTGGCTCATGAAGGTGAGTGACATAGTTTTGTTTTTATGCATAAAATATGTAAATTTTCCATCAAAACAGGATGAAAAATCAATTTCCTACTTTTCATTGGCACAGATTTCATGTACTTGGGATGATGTTAAATTATTAAGAACGGATATGGAGAAAAAAACGACATCAGCTATGCACTTCCGCACCAAATTATTAACAGCAATTTATCAGATGCAATCTGCTCTTGGCATCACAGACCTTGGACAATTTTTTCATAAACCACTTAAAGATTCACATGGGACTGTTGTTTTAAGTTGTATTTTAAATGTGAAGGTAAATTTCATTTTATACGTGAAAGATAATTTCGTGAAGCTTTCAATCACATTACTTATACTCTGTGGAGCTTTAATATTGTTGGTTGTTTGCGTAGCGAGTCGCAAAAATGAAATTTTATTTCAACCCAAAAGGGAATTCAAGAGAATATTTCAGTAAACCACAAAAACCAATGTAGTTGAGAGCTTCAATGATTTTATTTTCAACTACCAAGAAGAATGCTTAATTTACTCTTTCTTCTCTCCACAAATAGAATCCCAAAATCTTCATGTTAAACTCACGGTGGGTTCCATTAAATAAACTTCAGAAAAAAGTTTCAGTGTTGTTGGAAGACAGCAGTATTAATGAGATTCTCTTAAGTGGCATTCCGGAGCAAATAAATTATTATCAGACTTCGACGCAGCAGTTGTCTCGTGGCTTGTATCTGGGATATCTCAAGATGCACAGTTCTTTTGATACAATACAAGTTGTTGTTCCAACAAAGACGCCCAATAATCTTCCCCACGTTAAAGTGAGAGATAATCCACATGTTTCCGCTGAGGAATGGAATGTTATCAAATCCAAAGACTCCAAAGACTCGAGTCGTATTAAGACGCCACTCTGCTTGAGTCATCTTGGCTCAAAACCAACCAATGCTCAACAAATCTTTCTCGAGAGCTTAAAGCTTTCGATAATCCGATTGATTAACTATTTAAACATTTCAACGGAAGAAGTTTTGCTTCATCGACTCTACGATGTTGAAGTCATCGAGCTTAATCATGACGTAAGCTTTCTTATTATTTGCCCTTCAGCAGAAAATGCCATTCCATGTGCTGTGCCAGGACAAACAGATTTAATTTTAAAACGTTCAGATCTTATGTGTTTGCCATTAATTGTTCATGAGATGATTCACTTGAGAACTTATCAACCAAACATCATTCAAAAGTACGCGCGACTGTCTTGTGTTATAGAATTAGACATGATGGTTGCCAATCACAAGCACCGAGAAGCATTTTCAAGCAACGAAGTTGAGATAACAAAAGAGAAACTTGGAAAGCTTCAAGACCTGATGAATAAATTAAATTTGGTTTGGAAAAGTGTACGTTGGCTTATGGATGTTGTTACGTATGCAAGATCGAAAGAGAAATCCCCAGAGCTTGATATGAAACGTATCCTGGAGTTCAACATGAATTTGACGTCAATTCCCACATCCGCTTCCAGTCATTTGCTAGAACTTCCGACCAAGGATGCGCGTATTAAATCACCAACACGAGGCTCATGGCCAGGCCCCGTACAAAGCAATCATCTTCGAATTGATTCCAATTCTTTTCTTTCTGCTGAACATTCAAAGTCAGAACAACAGCTCCCTAATGAACAGAGTTTTATTGAATCTGGGCGTCTGTCAGTAGCTTCGTGTCTCAATAGTTCAAGGAAGAATAGTGGTGATTCTAATTATTATTCTTCTGGAGAAATTGAACAACCACGAACAACAATACCGCCGTCAAAATCAGAAGAAACTTTATTTTTTATTAAGAAAAAAGGACCAACAAACCTTCATCATCGTAAACGCACCAATATTCCCACAACTCATCAACAGAACCATAACATTTCAAGTCGTAACTCATATTCGATCAAAACTGATTCGCTCAACGTTGACGTACAAAATGAAAGTTATGATAAAAATATTGCAACACCAAAAGTTTTAGTGTCACCATCGAGCTCAATTTTTTCGACAACTCTTTACAAAAGAAATTCCAAAAAGCATTTACTGGAGTAAAAAATAGAAAAGATAAAACTTAAATGGAGTGTAAAATATTTTGGAAGATTTTATTACAATTTGCTGAACTAGATTTCAGAGATATTTCGAGAAAGGTTAATGGCATGCTGCTTCTCGTAGATATCTAATACACTATTTTATTTTTTGGAACAGAAATAGTTGATTGAATAGTGCGTGTATCGAATTTAGGTAATTAGAATAAGATACAAATCTTACAAGTGAATGAACCTTTGAGTTGAACAAAACTTGAAAACCTTATCAATGCTCTACTTTGAAAAATATATTTTAATTAACATTCATGACATGAAGTTTGAACTTTTGTTACCAGCAATCAACTTTGGAAGGTTGAAGACTACAGAACGCAATGGATTTCTTAGTTAGCGTAAATGATTAATGCTAACATCGTTTTCTTGAATAAGCAAAAGAACTTCTATGTAACTTAACTATCTATGTAAATAGCATAAAAACTTCATCGCCAAGTAAATCAATTGCGATCCCGAGAAACCAACATTTACATGTACGTTTCAAATCAGCCATGTGACTGATTTCTCCATATAAAAAATTGCCCTGGATATGTACCTTTGCAAGTGGCAGTCATATGGCAGTCACATGCAAATTTTGGTTTCTAGGGGATCTCAGATGAATAGAAGCTTTTTTTTCTTTCTTCCGAGAAGAAGAAGTTGCAAATATTACATAGAATGATAAAAGCTTTAATGTTAATAAATAACATATCACTGAAATGAAATGGAGAAGCTTTGTAAAATTTTAGAACTGACAAATAAATAGAAGGAGATGTGTGTACAGAAGATTTTAGATTGGGTATTTCAATAATGTAAAACAGGAGAATGCTTTTATGGCATTCACATTCTATGTCCACTTTTTATCGTGCAAATGGGTGTCATAAGTATGTATTGCTATGTTGATATTGAAATCCCAACCCATCAGAAAGTTGTGAATGTTAGAAATGTGACATAACGAAATTTTTGAAACATTGATAAAATATCAAAGTTTTCAAGTTAGGGATGTGATTCCAAAAGTAAATTTGAGTAAATAGAAAAATGTAAACCTTATTTAAATCCTAAACACCAAAACCAAAGTAAAAAAAATTGAAGAAATTTAATAATAAGTGAATAAACGTTAAAATGTTCTTATGACTTACACTCGTGTATTAAATGATCTAAAAGAAATAAACTGAATAAATGTTTATTTTCAATTAAAACTGTTATTTTTTTTATTAAAGAGAGATTTCATTTTTCCATTTAATAAATCTCTTCAGACTAATATGAAAGTTAATATTTATTTCATGATCTTTGTAGATAAATATTGAAATAGAGATTTCTGGGGAATTTACTTAATGAATTTTTTAGCTATAAAGTTTGTTACCCGGATAATTAGACAATCCACAACTCATGTGGGATCAAACTTTCATAAATATTATTTTATTAACAATTTTTAATGAGCCTTGTTCAAGCTACACCCACTGACGGGGACTTACTTGAACAGTTCAAAATACTAGAAATTTGTTTCAGCTTTAACATGCTTTAAGAATTGTTATCATTTATTTTTTATAAAATTTACCATTTGTCTGCTTTAGTGTGGTATAATTTATTTTACTCCATTCCACTTACAGAAACATTTCAACATAAATTTAAATTTATTTGAATTGATGAAGCTGAGTAATCGTTTTTTATTAGGGTTTCATTTTGCTTCGTAAAATATTGGACACAAGCAACTGCTTCGTTGCTACTATAGTAGCTTCGAAGGACATGCTTAAAGTAAAATCCCAAAAACTTTTAACGTTATTCTAGAAGCCTTTCATATTGTCAAAACAATTTTTATATTCCGAAGCAAAGTTGAAATTATTCAATTTGTGGACAACACCGACGTTCCATGTGGACAATTTAAATGCGTCTTTTGAATGCGGTTTTGCCGCTTGTGCTGCTCAGGTTTACATTCAGATGAATCAAATTCAAAATTCATTTACTCAATAGCAATGACGTGCTCATATGTTTGATTATATTCATATTTATTCGTGTGATGACGTCAACGCTTTAAGGTGTACATACTTAGAACATATTTTTAATAAATATATTTTTGCGTCATTCAAATGTTCTGTTCTAATAATAACAAAATGTTAAAAAAATATTCTAACATTTCTCAAAAGAATCTTTTTTATCCTTGGGAAAAACCTCAAACATGACAACCTTATGTTCCTAAAAAAGAAACGCTTCGTCTTTTTCTTGTTTCTCAAAGTGTGTTGCTGCTGTCATGAGTAAAATAAATGATATTTTTTTTAACAATTAAGTGAAACAAAAATATCCTACAAGAAATGTTTCGCTCCGGGAATTTTGGATACACGCAAATAAAAATGAACAGAAAAAAAAAATCTCAGAATATTCAGAAATACGATTTTATTGAAAAAGTTTCGAAAATAAATATTCTCTTGTTTTTGAAGTGATTTTCTTCTCAATTTTGTATCTTTGGATAAATTCAACTTACTGAATAATGTTAAAGCGTTCGTGTCGATAATAAAGTTTTCAAAATTATTCCAACATATTAAAATATTTCACGGAAAATTACACACAAATTATCTTTAATGAAACTTTGTTTACGGGTGACAAAATGTGAGTATTACAGAACATCGTAAGGAAAGCTATTAAATTAAACCAGCTTGAGTAAGCACACATAAATATTGTAAGCTCACGAATATTTCTGCTTAAAAATAGAATGAGATAAAAAATTAAACGTCCATTGACATCTATCATTTTCGAATGAATTATATTCATGATACTTTTGTGAAATTACCATCGCGTTTTCACTTAAGTGCGTTGACGATTATTTGATTACTTTTTCTAAAATATTTTCAAATGTTCTTAAACGAAGCTTCAAAATGCTATTTCCTTTTAAATTTCCTTACCTAAGTATTTTCAATTGAATGAAATGTCGCATTTTAATTGGATACATTAGGAGATTTTCGAAGCTGAGTACAAATAAGGACCATTAATCAGCTATTCTTTAATTTTCTTTTGGTAACGAATAGAAACGCAAAATGATAAAAAGAAATTCGATATTGAATAATCATTCGCCATTCAAGATATGAAAATTAAAAAATGCGCACTAATGGTATCGGTTGCATGGCAGAAAATCTTTGAATATTTAAACTCCAAAGTAGAAAATGTCATTAAAAGAAAATGAAAAAAATTTGTTGAAAAAGAAATGTCGTACAAATTTCCAATAAAAACTTTTGTAAGTTTTCTTGTTTTCTAAATAGATGTAGATATTAATTTAAATAATTTCCCTTGAGACGAAATTGATGTTATTTTCAATAAAGTTATTTATCATTTAAATTATCTTTCCATCCTATTTTGTAAAAAGAGAAAAAATGTTAAAGAGAATAAATTTTCACAGGCACAAAAATAGTTAATAACAATAGCTCATTATTCACTTTCCATGTTTCATGAATTTCAACAACTTAATTGTATTATTTTTATATACACACTCACATATTGTTTCACATATTCAATGAATTAACTCTACATAAAACAAAAGCTGTAAACTTGATACATATGAGCACAGACGACTCGTAAATTGTATGATACAACAAAAACAATAAAAGGACAGATATAAAAGCTCTATAGAAATTTATGGAGCGTTGATATTGAAATAACTGAACAATTACCTTGATTATTCCCCCTTTCCAAATTGTTCTTACCTTTTGTTGAGCCTTTTTATAAAGCTTTGTTGTTGTTTATTAAGAAGAATTTGTTATGAGTAAAAAAGTAAAGAAAATTTTATTAAAGGTCTTTAGAAAACTCTAACATGTTGAAATTATCCTCTTAAGTTGATGTTGTTAAAGTTTTATTTGTTTTGACATAAAAATTTCCACTTTTTTAATTATAGCAAAAAGTGTCTATAAAAGAGAGAAAAGTACTTTGAAAGACTTTGTGGAGAGTGCAACTTAAAAGCTCTTAAATTATTCGCTCATTTTTCAGTAAAGTTTTTAAATCATTAAAACCATTGAAAAGCGTATTTACGAAGCAATCAATAGTGCTGCATTCATTGTATATGTGCAAATAAATTGTATTGCTTAAACACGTATCAACATAAATTTTAGTAAATTTATCGATCCAATTTTCGGTTATACACATCACAATACCTGCATCGCATTTATCAAACTTTTTTAAGGAATGGAATGAATTTATAGCATGCTCATTTAGTTTTAAATATCAACCATATTTCTTTTTATATTGAAGTCGTCATGCAAACAAATCGTCTCAATAAAAACTGAAAAGAAAAAAAATGTAAGTAGAGCATAAAAGAAAAGTTGACCCACCTTCAAAAACTTCAAAAGAAAATTAATGCATTTTCGTCCTTTTCTCTTCCTGTTTTTATTTCTTCTTTTCTTTCATACAGTTCAAGTTGAAGTATTTTTCTTGTGTAACCTTTTGAATTTCTTTTGAAGATAGAAATAGGAAAGCTCCAAGGACTCGTTACGTAATCAATACTAACGAAAATATAGAAAACAAAATAATGAGCTAGATCATTAAGAATCATCATTGAATAGCTGAAAAATATCATATTTTAGTAGCAGTTGTTTTCAATTTAAATTTTCAAAAACATATCCTCCATTAATCTGATTTTAAATTGTTTTTTAAATTGTTGATTCCAAATTTTTCATTGTTTCTTTTTTTACTTTAAGAAATAAACATTATCTACCTACGTACCTTTTTGTTATAACATCATCGGAAATAGAAGGAAATAAACATAAAATGAATAAAACACCAGGCTTCATGCTTTGTGCTTCTAAACATTCAAATATCTATAGGTATGTATACATAAAGTAAGTTATGAGAAAGCTTCAACATAAATTTTGTTTTGAAAGAAAAAAATAATATCCTTCAATACAATTCTCTTTATTATCTATTTAGAAAGAAGCTTAAAAATGAACGCAAATGTTTTCGATATAAGAAAGGAAATTTTGTTCCTTGTCGTTGTCAGAATCGATATTATTCAAATATTCTTCAGCTTTCCATAATCAATTTATTATTTTTCGCATTATAGGATTAAATCAAAAACATTATGTATTGAAATATTGAAAACTCATCAGCATTAATTATGCAATAAAATCTTAAATTGAATATGAAATTTGATAAATCTAAATCATTTAACCGTGTTCATGCGTGCTTGAATCTTTTGAATTGAATATTTACGATAATTTTCAAAACCATTAAGTTTGCCACATAATTTTTAACGGCGGGGCTGTTGAAAAAAATGAGCAGCCCATAAAATTTTGTGTCGGAAGCCTCAATAATGTTATCTATATCAAACATAGCATCATCACATAGGCAATCTTACACAAATGTTTTATTTGAAATTCAAATTCTTCGTAAGACAGTAAAGCATGACTAAATTTTAATCAAACATGTACTCTGAGTTGTAAGGTCAAAAAACCAAAGCTTATATCACAGATTAGTACCAGGAAAACATAAAACAATTTTATTTGAAAAATCATTGTCCAAAATTTAAGCACCAATCGATAAATGAAGCTTTACATTGTGTTATGTAAAGATTGAACTAATTTTGTTACATAATATCTTTTTAAATATAATGTTTTGTGGCTTCAACATCTTCATCAGGAAGTGTTTGAGTTCCGAAATATTGAATAACAATAACAAGAAATGTAATATTGGTTCACATCTATTTTACCTAAAATATTCTCGTTCAACATCACTTTGCTTACGTTTCAGACTTTTCGCAGATAAAACTTTTTTGGGCTTATGAAAAAGCTTTCCTCAATAAAAATATTTTCATCCTTTTTCGAACGATGATAATTTGAAGAAACTTTTATATCAAAACATTTTTCCATAACTTTTGGAGATAGAAATATATTTTTACTTCTGAATGTTAACTTTCAATGATCAATGAATTTGCAAGTTCATTCATGCAAATACTTATAAAAAAAAGAAAGAAAATTTCGTCATCTTAAATTTAAAGTTTTCGAAATAACATTTTAGAAAAATTTCACTTTACCACTTGAAATGTGTTTAATTTTATGTTTTTGTTACAAAAAAGTTTTGATTAAACACTCATTTCACTAATTTAATTACTTTCGTTTGCATCTGTTTGATTTCTTTAATGATTTCATAGCAAGCTTCTTTGAAGGCTCATCTGTCAATGCTGATTAATTTCTAACGAGTTCTATAACAAACTTTATTATTACATTTCTTCTTTTCAATGTTATGAAACATCGTAAAAAGGTCATAAATAAGACAGAATTGACTTGATGTTCTCAAAACTGACGAAAAGGAAGAAACTGTTTATTTCGCTTAGAAATTGTTTTCTTGATACATTATCAAAATTAATTCTACTTTAATGTATGTTATGCTTATACCTGGTATTATAAATGTTTCATTGTCGTAACGACAAAAGATAAGACTGTAAGTGTTTTAACCTTTTTTTACAGATCAAGGATAACCGTTGTAAATTTTTCTTTCAGTTTTGGAAAAAAAAATTAATTCATAACTCGTAAATTTCAAATTGTAACATGAAAAAGCTTTCTAGGTGAAAATGAAAGCTCTTTCTGTTGATGGAATAATTTCCGAGAAAAAGCTTTGAAGGTTGAGCCAAGAAAAATGACAAGCACATTTATTTAAGTGTAGGCATGTTGCTTGCATATTTTAACAGAATTGTTTACTTATGATTTCAACAGATGCTGAAACGTCAAAAATGCAGAATGGATTTCTTAAGATTTTGAAGATTTCACATTTTATGGCATGATTTTGTGAAAAGTTCTTGTTTAAACAAAGTTCTTGTTCAAATGCATAAAAGCATTTGAAATTTTCTCAGTTGCGAGAAAAAAAAACTTCACAACTTCTTTGAAATTTTTCTTCATTTGCAGTTTTACAAGAAGTTTTTTCTTTAGATCAAAAGAAACTTTTATTGAAAGGTAAAGGTTTAATTATTCTAAATTATTCTTTCTTTTCAGTTAAATGGCTTTCAATTCAAAAGTCGTTTGCTTCAATTTATGAAGAATCCTTTTTGTTTCAAATAAAACACAACTTGAGAAAACAATTCATGTTGAACAATTTCATTAAATATAACATCTCGGAAACAGTTACTAAGAATGTTTCAAGTTTTAACAATTTGTATAAAGCTTAAAACTTGTTGAAAAGTAAATCAAAACTTTGCTTAACAACACACAAAATCATTTAAAACTTTTAGACACGTTTTAAATGCATGAAAACGAACTTTGTTTCATAATTTTGGAAATTATTGTGTCAGTTTAATTATGTCCAGACATTTATTGTATCCATAATAAAGAGTCAAATTACCTTGCATATCTGATTTTATTGTTTTTCATCAATTCTAATTATAACCATATAACCATGAACAAAACGAGACATCTCTCATAAAATATTTAATTAATTTTTTCTTTCGTATTCCAATAGCCAATTTATTCAGTTTTGATGTTAAAAGGAAAAAATGTGTATTTATAAATTTACAAAACCTTACAGAAAGCTGAGGTAAAGCATAAAAAAATGTTGTATAATTAAATCATGTTGAATACGAAAGCATTAATTAGATGTAGAATACGTTCATTTATCTTTCAGCGGTTGGAAATACGAAATGAGATAAAAACAATGACAATGGAATTTATTCAAAGAGTGGCTTCACGAGAATGTTGCTAAGTAGGATATAGAATATGTTGACATTTGAAAATGAAGATATAAATTTTAAACATCAGCTTCGGAAGTCATTTTTTACTGTTGTATTTAAAAGGTCATAAAAATAGAATTTCAGAAGGTTTCTTTAAAGTCAACAAAATGTGGTTTGAACTTGATTTACATATGAGTTTACCTATTTACATACGGATATTATTGGATCATCATTTTTGAGCACATTTAAGGTTTAAGCGAGAAAAAAAAATCTCACAGTTGGCAGCACAAATTAATCTCTGATTACAAACAAGAGCTTTCGAAAGTTGGTTTATATTTGTCAGAGTTTGTAAAATTTATCCACTCAGTATTGAAAAGAATATTAAATTTAGAGTATCACATAAAATTTGAAGGTGGGATTAGGTATGTTAAAACATGTTTATATTAACCTTTTAAAGGAATTTCGGCTTATTGCATGAACGTTTTTCAAAAAAAATCTCTGAATCTTAATAATAATGATAAAATAGTTTGTAATTTATTATTTTAAAAGGCTATGATAGCCTTTGCGAATAGTTTCCGGAAATCTAAGCTATGATTCCAAACATCACAGTCCACTATGGGTATGGTTAGGAACAAAAAGTATTAAAAGTCGATAAATTTTAAAATGTACATTTTAGGTATATGGTGTCTTTGGGAAAGTTGTTCCTCAAGACATGCTGCACATTAGACTTTCATGTCTTTTTTCAGTACGATGACGCTAGAAGGGGCTACGATATTTTTTTCTTTTGTTATGCTGTTTAGAGTATCGGTCATTTCACATTAGATGTAGATAAAATTATTTCAAACATCTTTTTTATACATCACAACATCATGACATGTCCGCATATGAAGTTATTTTAAATTTAAATTTGGATTTTTAGACATTTTACATCACGTACATTTTCAAAAAGAATGCTTAGAAAATGAAAAATGTCAAATCTCCATACATTTTCACAAAACATGCCCTTACGTTTTGTGGAATAACTTTTTTCACAGGGCGTAGTTGGTTTTTTCCTTACACAGCATTGTTTACGAAGAATGAGCGGACATTTCTGTTTTTGCAGTTTTTCATTTGACGAATTGCCTCGAGAGAAATTAAAGCTCAAAAATGCCAATTTTCAGCAAAAACAGAAAAATCTCCATACATTTTCACAAAACATGCCCTTACGTTTTGTGGAATAACTTTTTTCACAGGGCGTAGTTGGTTTTTTCCTTACACAGCATTGTTTACGAAGAATGAGCGGACATTTCTGTTTTTACAGATTTTCATTTGACGAATTGCCTCGAACTTTTTTGAAAATTAAAAATGTACATTTTTCATGAAAACAAAAATTGAAATTAACCTGAAACAAAAATTTTCCCTTGAATTTTCCGGAAAAACTGAATACAAGAATTTGTTCATAATTTAATTGTGAATCAAACGTTGTATTCAGTTTTTCCATTTATAAATAAAAATTAAAAAATATTTCAAGTTTATTAAAATGATAGTAAATTTTTATTTCATTTTTAATCATGACATGGTCAACTTTGACGGCATATGGGGCAAATATGGAGATTGCCCAAAACAAAAAATTACTGCCACGATATTCTACATATAGTGTAGATAATTTTTAAAAAAAGAATTTTTAAATTCGGCACAACTTAACTCTGCCGACTTAATGGCCATAATTTCCCATAGTGCAGTCTGATAACAAAAGGTCTGATATTTTCCTGAAATTAATGTAACTTTTACGGAGGCCCCACTCACGGGTGATTGATATTGGATTTACGCGATTTCATAGTAAACTAACTAGATACAACATACTATTGGATGTGAACCAGGATACACACCAGCCAGAGCTGGGTGATCCAAAATTTTTTGGAACGACATTTCGATGCACGATTTAATATTCCACGTTTTGGATCGCCAATCCACGCCCATTTCTGTACACAAATTATCAGAATATCAACTAATCATGTTACAGACGAAGGCACTTTTCCTAGAATATTTTTTAATTATTTAAGTAAGTATTTTTCTTTTATTAATTACATTTATGTAATGATAAGAAACTTTTTTATCTTTCATTACGCACTTCTAATTTGAGTGTCGTTGAAAAAATTAATACCGACCAGTTTGAACGCAATTTCCAAGAAACAATCATAAATATCTAAAAGTTAAGTGGCCAAGCTTTATTTTTGCAAATATCGACAGAATTAGATAAGATATCGACGGGTTTGTTTTTGATAGAAATTGCTACAAATATGTGCCCACCGACATTAGGTAGAAACAAGAATCTATGACAAGCTATTCTAATTACAATTAGGTGCATTAATGAAACAATAACAAGATAAAAAAATGGTCGTTCCCATTTACATTACTTTCTTTGAAGACATTTTTATTTATGGATCATTCAATGACTATTCTTATCTTATTGACTTAATAATAAAAAACTGTCAATTGGATATAAAATCTTTTTTTCTCTCTGATATTATCACATTTCAAGATTAATTTTCCGAGTGAAAACAGAATATGAAATTTTTAATTTTATTATTTTTTCTTTTTTCAAGTAATTATGCATCTGGTGACGAGTATGACGTAATGTGATATTTATGTATGGTGCACAAAAACGAGTGAGCGTGTAAAATTCCTTTACAAGAACGTTTCAAATAATTGAACTTGTTTTTATAATGTAACAAATTATAAGAAGTAAGCAAATTACTATCGCAGATTTTTAAAACTTTTTTTCTATGTCTCATAATATGACATGTAGTTACATATCAGGAGATATTTTTGAGCTGAAAAGAATTCATGAGATATTTTAAAACGCATGCTGCTTGTCAGTTATTAAAAACCTTTCAAATGATTAGTATAGAAAAAAAATTTTGACTGTAAGTTGAAGGAAATTAAAAAGTATTTCAATTCAATTATAATTTTAACATTAAAGCTTATGGTACACGTATCATCATGATGTAAACCATAAGTTCTTCTTTGAGGATCGAAAAGCAAACTAAAGCACTATAAGCATTGCCCTTAGATCAACGCGAAACTAAGACGTTTTCTATACTGGTTCTCTGAAAACACATTGAACTTTTCAAAAAAAAAACGTAAATTTCATAACAATTGGAAAAATTTTCAAAAATGTATATATAAATTTGTTATTCATATTTAGGTATTTCACTTTAAGGAACTGAGCACGACGCTAAACGTTGTAAATAATAAAACTTCAATTAATTAAATTTTTAAGCGAAACTAGTTTTATTCATTAATATTGAAAAAGTACTTCTTCACTTGATGGAGAATAGAAAATAAATGGAGGAGTTGTAGGAATAACTGTTGGGCATTCTTGATTTATAAGGATTGCTGTATTTATCCATGTCGAGAAATCAGACATTCTTGTATTAACATTAATTTGTCCTGCAGTACATTGATCAACCCAAGAAACAATTCCAACAACCTGATTCTGATGCACAATTGGACCTCCGATATCACCTAGAGAATTTCATTAAACGGATTAAAAAATATAATAACATCAAAAGGAAATAAAATTATGAATGAAAATTTTCAGAACCTGAACAAGTTGCACGACCCGCCCAAGAAGTGCATAAATTAGTATCCAAAATTGAGCCGCGTACAGTAGATGGAAAACTCATTCTGCAATTGGCAAGTGATGTAACTCTGAAAACACCTCTATGTAAAGTAGTTTGTACAGATCCACCTGGAGAAGCAATTCCCCAACCGTAAATATGAACATCTACTGGAGGATCATTGAATGAATTTGGCATCGCCAAGCCTATTGCTGATGTTGTGGCATCTAGGACGATATTTGTGCTCATTCGAAGCAAAGCTATGTCATTTTCTCTTGTCGTAGGCTATAAAAAATATTTATTGAAAGAAATTTTCGTGAATGATTGAGAATGTAATGAATTCATATTACGTTAAAAGAGACATCTAAATCATTAGCATAACGAATACATCTGATCTGATGTAGGTGGGGTGGATTAATAGAGTTGCTTCCAACTCGAACTCTTAATTGAGAAGGATTTCTCTGGAAGGTACATTGAGCAGCAGTGACAACGAATTGTGTTGAAACAATGAATCCACCGCACATATGAAAATCTCCTTGAAATGTAAAAATTCTTATCGATGCCATTGCTGTGAAAGTTTCAGCAGTGCCCCCCATAATGCGACCATTTCTGTTTGTTGTTTCTTCATCACTTAAAAGCACTGCATGAGCAGTAACTGCCAGCACAATAAAAATCAAAAATCGGAAGACCATTTCGATTGAATGAAATTGTTAAAAAAACTGAATGGTGAAATATTTTATGCTTGCTTTTATACTTTTAAATTTTACAAAACAATTTCTGATATCTTATCAAATGGTGGTGTTGGACTGATTTCCGGATTAAAATGTAAAGTAATGTAATGGTTTATTTACCAATTGATCAATTATTCAATTGGTTTCGTTTCTCAATGATTTATGTTGTATACATTCGTTTACAAACATTTTAGAACTTTGATTCGATTTAACAAAAGATTTTTTAAATTCATTGAACATTTTTAAACCATATTTTAAAAGTCATTATATTATAATGTCAAAATATGTTTGACTTAGGTTTTAATCCTTGCATTTCAGGTTTTGTATAAGTGTTTTTTTCTAACATACTTGAAGTAAATGACTTGAATCTTTCTTATTGCGACATGTTCAACAAGAAAAAAGTGTATACAACGAGTAAGAACTAAAACTATTTCATCAAAAACTACGCAGAAGACACTTTTTTTTCAGATTTCTGCATATATTTAATTTAATGTTTTACTCATACCTGTAGCTGTGCCTTAAACTTTTCTTAATATCTTATCTCGATGATTGTGGGAGGAGTTTTAATGAATTTTTGCACAACCAGAGCTGGGCGACACATGAATTTTTGGATCAGCGATCTGATCCACGATATTTAGGCCAGATTTGAATAGTCGATCCATTTCCGCGGCTAAAATTTCTCGACAAAAAACTAAAAAGCCTCATGCTGATACACAGAGTCACAGTTTTATCTTCAGATCCATCAAATCCATCAGTCTGTCAAGAAACATGCTCTAGTACCAGGTTTGTGTGAAACACTGAATCAATTTCTTTTTGCGATTGGTTATTAAACTAATTCGATGCAACATACTATTGGATGTGAACCAGGATACACACCAGCCAGAGCTGGTTGATCCAAAAATTTTTAGAACGGCATTTCGATGCACGATTTAATAACCCACGTTCTGGATCGCCAATCCTCGCCCATTTCTGTACACAAATTATCAGAATATCGACTAACCATTTTATAGACGAAGGCACTTTTCCTGGAATATTTTTCAATTATTTAAGTAAGTATTTTTCTTTATTAATTACATAAAATATCTTCTGAAATTATCTTTTTTACTTTTAAGATGAATGAATTTCTTTTTAATAAAAATTAGCAGTTTAACAAGTGTCTTTGCATTTAATATTGTACCTAAATCCTTAATAATTAGTTGATATATCTAATAACTAAGATAAAGTTATTTTTGTCTCGATGCGCCAAATCGATTTCCTTGTTAAATAAGAAATTTTCTTATCTTTCATTACGCACTTTTAATTTGAGTGTCGTTGAAAAAATTAATACCGACCAGTTTGAACGCAATTTCCAAGAAACAATCATAAATATCTAAAAGTTAAGTGGCCAAGCTTTATTTTTGCAAATATCGACAGAATTAGATAAGATATCGACGGGTTTGTTTTTGATAGAAATTGCTACAAACAAGGCTACAAATATGTGCCCACCGACATTAAGTAGCAACAAGAATCTATGAAAGGCTGCCAAAATTTGTATAAAGTATGCTTATAATTACCAAAAAAAAAAGTCTGTTACCGCAAGTCGGTCACCACATTAAATATCGGGCTTTGCACGACTCTTTTAATAGTTTGAATTGGATTAGAAACAAATGGCTTTCAAAATGAAAATATTCAACAAATTCAAAAACATTCTTGTAGATATCTCAAATTAAAATTCATTTGATATTTACACCAACTTGGTGTAGAATTTGAGACCTTAAAGAAATCGATGCATTTGAAACCTTGTTTGGGTTAAATATTTCACTTTTAATTACAGCGGAATCTCTTTGAAATCTTTTTTCTAGAGAAAAACAAAATTTGCCCTTCCAATTGTTTCTGTTCGATAGATAGAAGCAACATGAAAATAAATACAGCGCTTCTGTTCACATCTCATGAATTTCTAAATCAGTCACGCTAACCTATTCTGCCAAAAAAGAACTGATGATGGCAGGCATCTTTTAATACATCCGATCATACACTTGTTCTTTTTGAAAAACTTTCACATAAGACTAATGCTACGAAAAAGATGATAAAATGATTTAGTTAACGTTTGTTCTTTTATTTACTTTAAATAAATCTTAAAATTAAATCTTACCAAAACTGAAGTTATGCACGAAGACCGCAGCTGTCAGTATTTATTTAGAAAACTGACTGTCTAGTGGCTCTTTCCATTTGCAGATTTAAAATATTTATCTCTTATCTTCAACGTTCGTTAGTGTACAAAAGGAAATAAAAAGGAATTTCCGAGAAAATAAGTCTCTCCTGTCTTGTTCTTGGACCGGACTCATTACTTCTCATTAAAGTCTTTTTTTATTTAAGCAGCTTACAGTAATAAAAATAGAAAGACGTTTGAAGATAGTTTGAAGATAGATAATTTCCTTGTAAATAAGTAGATATGTGACTTCTTTTGTTGACTTTATTCTCATGATCTTTTGAGTGACTTTTTAAGAGCAAAGAATTCTAGTGGCAATTTAAAACTAAAATAAGAAAATCTTTTATGTGAACATAAAAATTATGTAACGTGTGAAATTATATCATGAAAATAGATGGAATTTGCATAAATTAGGTATTTATATAGTTTGTTAATATAAGATAAGAAATATATAAACAAGCTATTAAATTTATTTTCTTTTAAACATTTTAATGTATTTTTATGCCTGTACAAAAATTGATGTGTTTAATGAATTTGATAAGCATGAAAGAACTTTCACAAATTGGACAAGCTTCAGCATTGAAATTATTCTTTATGACTTCCACAATTTTACGAGGTGGACAATGTGGGCTTGTGAACTCTTCATCATCAAGATCAATAACTTGAACTAAAGACTTCACATTATGAGAATGTTCTTCATTTGTCAAGTCGAAGTGAGCAATTGCATGAGAATTGTGTTCAGGAACAACAACATTAGATCCATTCACTTTTGGATCTTCATAATGACGGTTGATGACATATTTGATTTCTTTGACATTGTTGTAGACTCTCACTGCTTCGAAAATTTTATGAAACCGTCCAGAGCATAATTTTTTGTGATTTTCGGCAATTATTTCGCCAATCGTATATATTTGCTGATTTAAACAATAATTTAAGATAAAACTGAAGGAACGATCTGAAGAGCAACATTCGCCAATGCAATGATAACGATCTGTTTTGTTTTCGACTGATCTGATGAATGTGTGATTTGTGCCGATTTCCAATTCTAAGTTTTCATTAAAAAATTTCATGATTGCAAGATAATTTGAATCGTGATTGTAAATTCTACGAGTGGAGGATTGTGAAGTTTCGTAAACTGAACAATGAATAAGAATATGAAAGAGTACACTGATGAAATGAATTCTATCACAAATCAAAAGTGTGTCACGGTTGAGTTGAATGGTTCGATTATTAGGATTAATCGTAAAGTTAGATGAATCTGAGAATGGTGATTCACTCCATGATATTGTGTAAGCTCGAACTTTTCGCACATTACAGAAGAATTTTGAACGAAGTCGTGAGAAAATAAATGACACGTTTGGCTCTATTGAAATTTCCTTCCATTCTTGAGAATTGTTTAAATTTATGAAAGTCTTAAGCGATGGTAAATAATATTCTTCTGGACTAGTTCGTTTGACTTGTTGAGAAATATACTGAGATTTGTTACTATTTTCATGATTATGGTGAAGCAGTGAGATCCCATTAACAATCGAACTACTTAGGGATAAAAAATTGTACCTAAGTTACCTAAATATTAATAGTAAAATAGAAGATTTCAATCAATTTTACCTTGATTCTCCTTGTTGCTCTCCGTCCATGAGCTGAAGAACCTTATTTGTATCCTGAATATCTTTTTGTCTTTGTATTTGCATAGCTTCTTCGGCTTCGAGTCCGTTCAGTTCTTTATGGAGTTGTAATGCGTAGAGATAATCGATCTTTTTATAATTAAAGTTTTTGAAATAAATGATAAAGTATTTAAGTATATTCTACTAACATCAATATTACGATCAACTCCTGGATCTGATTGTTGTGCAAAATTTGAATTCATTTTAGTATTTACTGTTCTGATTAACAAATAAAGTTTATTGAGAAAAAGGTTACTCTGCATGATCGAAAATCAACTAATACCAGTTAAACTCTGATGAACTGTTAAACCTCGTTCCCGAAGAGCACACACGTGCCATGTGGACGACTTAAGTTTGCCGTTTGGCAAATGTCAATGTTTTTTTAGACTTTGGGCAACCTATGTCCGATTTAAATACGCCATTGCCCTGTTGTGCTATTCGGGTTTATGTCGGAAACAAAAATCAAAATATTTAAATCCTTCTAAAACCGTTAAAAAATGAGATTTATAACAAAGTTTCATAATATTTTATTTTGCTCCAAATAAATTGTAAACAAATGGAAGCTTAATGCAGTTTATTCTACGACTGGAACCATTGTGTTAACATAATTGTAAAGAAGTTTCTGAATGGTGATATCTATTGTAGAAATTAGTTTAACGTAATGTTCATCTCCTATTGCTTTCTTCAAGGCTATTAGCTGTAGAAAAATGTCTTTCAATTGAAAAATTACTAGAATAAAAATCTTATAAATAAACAAACCTGAGATTGTAAACAATCTTTTAGAACGATTACATGAACTGGATCCTTCAAACAAATTCCTTTGTATCGTTCAAAGTGCGGCGTTTTATGTTCAAAATCTTCCATGTCATTGTTCATTCCATAATAGTCGTCATCAGATGCATCTGCCAAAACTAACGAGTCAACTTCTGCACTTTCCGCAGAATCTGATTTCATGATATCGCAAAGTGTCTCAAAAATATTTATGATAATCACTGAAAAGTTTTCCATGATGACATTGTTGGGAACAGTCAAAAGACTGCAAAGTCCAATCGCAAGAAGTTTCTTATCTTCATTTTGTATGACAGATGGCATTGTGTCAAGCCAAATTTTCAAAAGCTTTTTGAAAGCATCTTCAATTTGAAGTTCTTCCAAAATACAGCTTAGCGCATGTTGATTAGCAAGAAAATATCTTGTGACAACTTGAAGATAAGTTTGCGTGGTCGTCAAATAATCAGAGTTGCTTAGAAGATGTTTTAAAATGTCAATCATTACAGGATGAAGCAACTCAATTGCAAAATCTGAATGAACTTTGATCATTGTTATAAAAAGTTTGCATATGATTACAATTCCCTGGATGGAATGAAAATTATCGATTCAAATAAAAGAATAACATGAAAAAAAGTTTCTCTTACTTCAGTTCTTATATCATTCAAGAGATATTGACATGTAGCAACCAATTCCTTTCCATATTTTTGAACATAGAGTTCAGGACAAAGCAACATATATGCTTGCATTATTAAAAGACAAGTCTTCAAATTCATCGTAGATGATTCTATAAAAAAAGTTTACAATTTGATCATGATGATAAAGTTATGAAATGTTTAGGAGTTCAGGCAATTTAAAAATTAATTTCATCTTTCATCGTTGTTATGTTTGAATGCATAACAACAATACCAAAAGCTTTGAACAAACTTTATAATTAATTGAGAGAAAATGCTACTCACCAATTATAGGTAATAAATTACCGCAAAGTTTGAAGAGGGCTTCGTTAGGTGATGATGTATATTGGATGACAACCAACCAAAGTTCGAGACCTTCTTCCAATAAGTAAACTGTTGATGGATCATTCACATTGGTTGACATTTCAATAACTTGATAAATAAAAGGCGTTGTTGATTCAGGAAGTTCATAAATTGCTTTAATTATTTGAAGCTGTGAAACGATAAAATTTTAATGACATTAACGAATCACGACAATTGTTTCTTACCAATGCCGATATTATAGCAACACGCAACATGTTATGTGCAACTCCTTCTTCCCAAAGCATCGGAAGATAGGAAACTAAATTATCAGCTTGAATCTTTATAGACATTGACATTTTTTCAACGATAAACGACATGACATACAAGACATTCATTTTTGTATCGCATTCTTTCGACTCCTTGAGAAGAAGAAAGAGAAGTGTAAACGAAGGCTCAAGAAATTCCAGAAATTGTTCAGCGCAAAAGTCGAAATCATCTAAAATAATTCTCAATGTTTTTGATGCTGTGAGTCGAATAACAAGATCTTCTGTTGGTTGAAGTAGTTCCAAACATGATTCGTATACCATTGGTCTTAAATCTTTTGAGAATTTCACTCCCGTCCACTGACCAACCATCCAAATTATTCGCTTTCTTAACACTCTAAAGTTACTCCCTTGAATTTTTAATTCATGTACAAGTTGAGATGTAAACCAAGCATCGAAATCAACATCGTCAAAAAGATGGAAAGCTGTCAATCCAGCAGCATTGTAAATCGATTCCTTAATAAGAATGTCATTGACATCTGATGATTCAGTTAGTTGTATTGACTGTGATTTTTGAATGAAGACAACAAGTTGCTGGCAAAGAATTGAAGGATACTTTCGAAAGAGTGCAGTTAAGAATGTTTCAGTGCAACTTCTTAATGAATATTTCCAACTGTCGCCACCTTCATCAGTGACATAAGCTTCGGGGTCGTCTTCCCATTGCTCGATATCAGACGGAGTCAAAAGGAAGTAATGCATCAACAACTTTTCCATTATATATCCTAAACGTTCCTGCGTGAAAAAGTTTTTTAAAAGATCTGACAAATTGTCTTCGACTTCCGTTGGCCGATGGATATAAATATTTCCGGTGCTATTAAGCAAATAACTTTTGATGAGGTTTAAGCAATGTATTACGAAGTTTGGCATCGTCAGTTGATTGTTGTCGAAAATGAATTGGCTGCCTTCAAAGAAAACATAATTAAATGACATTTCCAAGACTTGCGGTGCAAACTCCATGAAGACAAGTCGGTGATGTTCTTGAAATTCTGTCAACACTTTCATATGTTTGAGTACAAATTTCTCGTGCCTTTCAAGTAATGGTAGGAAATCAAAAGGCGACGATTTGATTCGCAAACGACATTCAAGAAGATCCTTTATTCTCTCGAAAATGTTTTTAAGGAAATTAATTGGTTTCTGTGCTTGTGATGATTTTGGGAAGCCGTAAATGGTTAATTTTCTGAGTATTCTCAACATCATCATCGCTTTCTCGAGATTGCTTTGACACGTTGCCAGTGAGTCATTTCTTTGAATGTTTTGGAAATAAAACATCGTGAATCCGTTCCATAAATTAACGCAAAATTCGAAAATATTAGAAGTGAACTCTTCAAACATCATTCGATCATGATGAAGTCTTCTCGTCGAAAGTTGCTTGACGACTTGAACAAGAACTTGAATACTTCGTTTCTGTTCTAATTCATTGGTACTATTAATTCGTGCAATCAAAATCGGCATCAGTTCTGGCCAATCATTAGGACAGTCAAGTCTTGCAATTTTTGATATCGTCACTGCAAATTGTACTGCAAGTTGATCACGAGGTTCATTAAAATTACTTAACAGTTGTGATTTGATTTGGCTTTTTTCTTCTGGATTGATGGCACTGAAATTGAATGAGAAACTTATATATATACAAATCAAGTGTAATAATTACAAATATTTAATATTACCTAGCTTGAGTTTTTCTCCAATGTCTATCGATGCCATTCTTGAGCGTAAGTATCGCCATGTACCTTACTCCTTCATCCAGTTGAAGGTTCGAATAAAAATTAAGGATGGTTCTATAAAAATTTGGTTCTTTCTCCCAAGAAGATAGATTTTGTTCAGTTTCTTTCAATATCTGAGGATTACTTTGATTCATCGCATTTTTGTAGCGTTTTGAAAAGAAGTGCTTCAATATTGTTTTGTGAAAGATTCATTTTGATTTTACTCTCTGCTATGTTATGGTATCAATTTCAATATAAACAAGTTCAAAGGGTAGTTCTACACTTTTTTATTATACTTGCGGCTTTAACATCAAAGTAATTTATCCATTTCAATGAAAATTTTCATTTTTGTTTTGATTTGCAATTTTTCACCACATTAGCGAGACCCTGCACAAAGCTCTTTTTCTTTCACCACTAATATTTTAGAAGAGCTTTCACCACTTTCAACATCCGATTTTTCCACCTTCTCACCACACAAAAGTAATTTTTGTAAACAAAGAAGCATGAAAAACCTTTTAAAGAAAACTAAGGCTAAAGAATTCCCTATTAATGCTGATAATTCTAATATTATCTTTTCAAGTGAACCTCAAGAGGTATCTAAAACAGTCAAATTTGAATTTCACTAAATCGTCGATTAATATTATGAAATTTTAATTTCAGTATTTGGGAATACTGAACGCAGGTTTATCAAATGGCATCAATACTGAAGTGTTATTAGAAGAAGTCACGAAATATGCTCAATTAACTGACGTAATTATGCTACCGGAGAAGTCTCATTGCTTTTTAAAGTTTTTAGATAAGAAAGGATCCGAAAAAAGTGTTGGAAGTCATGAACGGAAAGTCAAAACTTGGTCAAAATGGTGCACCGTTGTGTAAGTTCTTCTCTGTTAAACCTTGAATAAAAAGTAATTATGAATATCCATTTTAGTGATGTCATTTTGTGCCCGAATCTCAGATGAAAATGAAGTTTGTCCAAGACAGAATTTCACACAGAATAAGCTTCCAAGTGGACTTATTTTAATTGAGGATTGTGTGTCTGAAGATTTGGAAAAGAAAATCTTGTCCTCTCTTTCATGGAGTGACAATGACGACGAGAAAAGAAATCTAAAGTATCGTAAAGTGCAACATTTTGGTTACGAATTCATTTATGGATCAAATAATGTCGATCCCAAATCTCCCCTTCGAAGAAAAATTCCTGACGTTTGCAATGACATTTGGAAGAATTTAGACCAAAACATTTTACCAAACTTCACTCCAGATCAATTGACAGTTAATGAATATGAACCTGGACATGGAATTCCGCCACATTGTGACACTCACAGTTGTTTTGAAGATCCAATTGTTTCACTTTCTCTGGGCAGTTCTGTTGTAATGGAGTTCAGAAATCCAGAATCGTCAAAACATTTGAGTGTCTTTCTACCACAAAGATCACTTCTTATAATGTCTGGCGAAAGTCGATATGGTTGGACACATGGAATAACTCCAAGAATGAGTGATATTGTAACAAATGTTGATGGAATTCTCACCGTTCAAAGCAGACAAAAACGAACATCGTTTACATTCAGAAAACTGAGAATTCCTTCAAGTTGTTCATGTTCATTTCCATCACTTTGTGATGTTAAGAGAAAACCTGACAATATCATTGAAATGCATGTCACAAATGAGTTAGCAGCAAAACTTGAGATAGAAAAAGTTCATAAAGTTTACAATGAAATTGGATCACATTTCAGTGAAACGCGACACTCAACATGGCCAAATGTTGAAGACTTTTTAAAAAGTTTACCTGAAGGATCGATTCTTTGTGATGTTGGTTGTGGAAATGGCAAATATTTAGGAGTCAATGAAGGAATTTTTAAGTTAGGATGTGATCGGAGTGAAACACTTCTTCAAGTATGTTTGCAACGAAACTTTAATATTTTCCAATGCGATTGTTTACAGCTTCCGGTTCGGGATATTTCTATTGATGCTTGTATATCCATTGCTGTTATTCATCATCTTGCAACTGAAGAAAGACGAAAGCAAGCAATAAGTGAAATTCTTCGAGTTTTAGTCATTGAGGGAACTGCTTTGATTTACGTTTGGGCGAAAGATCAACAAAAAGATAACAAGAAATCTTCTTATCTTCTTCAGAACCAGAAACAGGAAAAAAGTTGCAACAATCAAATTGAAAAAACAAAAATAATTTTCGACGAGAACGAAATTGAACTTCCGATTCATCAAAACCGAACCCAATTTCATCACACAAATCTTCTTGTTCCTTGGAAACTTAAAGAAAAAGATATTCCAAAGGAGCAGCAAAAAGTTTTTCTCCGATATTATCACGTCTTTGAAGATGGAGAACTTGAAAATCTTTGTAAAGAATTTAAAAATGTTGACATTATAAAATCTTACTACGATCAGGGAAATCATTGTGTAGTAATAAAGAAAACATCATTTTAAATCAAAGAATTCCATTATTACTTCTATTAATACTGTTTCAAGTGATGAGTAAGTCACTAGTTGAACCGTTCATTTGAATTTAACACACACAAATTTACAGTATTGTAAAAAAATCTCTGTTCCCATCCCTTAATGTTTTTTTTGAACAGTTACAAACACAGACAACATTTTGTTAACCAAAAGCTATCTATTGTCAGGCTCTAAATTTCATTAAAAACTTTATTTAGTGCAGAACACTTTTTGATAACCCAAATTGTTAAATCTTTCATATCTAATGGATCATAAACATCAAAGTAAACATATTAGGGCTAATGTTTGCTTTTATGAAGATTCACTTCAGTGGAATGGGACCACTTACGAGCCCACCTACACGTGTTTTATTTCTACAACTTCTATAATTGATCCAAATACAAGAATAATGTCATGGCTTGAAGGAAAACATCGTGATGGAAAAAGTTTTGACGATGTTGAAGCGATAAGTTTTAAGAATACATCCGTTCATTACTTCCCTTTGGACTTGGATAAATTTTTTCCTAATTTGAGAATAGTTAAGATTGAAAATTGCGGACTCAAATCTATTACGCGAAGTGATTTAAATGGACTTGAGAATATTGACACCCTCTTTTGTCCTGGCAATCGAATCACTTCGCTTCCTAACAATTTATTTACGGGAATGTACAAACTTCGAAGCGTTGTTTTCCGACGAAATCGCATAAAAATAATGTCGTCAAAGGTTTTTACTCCAATTATCAAAAATCTAATACGTCTAGATTTGACTGAAAATGTTAGTATTGATGCCGGTTCTACATAGTTGCTCTGAATTCAAAAATGCAAAAAAATTTGTTTCTAAAAATCAACTAATGAAAATGATCGATAATCAATGTCAAAAGCCGACATATGAAAGCAGAGAAATTCCTTCAGGATTGAATGAAATTTGGACAACTGGCAGATATTCCGATATAACGCTCATCACTGACACAAAAAAATTCAAAGCGCATAAAGTTATTTTAGCTGCAAATAGTCCAGTCTTCGATACAATCTTTAATAATCATATGAAAGATCGTTCATCGGATGAAGTTTATTTGAAAAACATAAAAGAAAGTGTCGTGAAAACTTTTCTAGACTTTCTCTATACGGGCAAGATCGAAGAAAATGGCGATCAAAACCTTGGTGAACTTTTCTCCATCGCTTCTAAGTTTAAAGTGGCAAAGTTAACATCAATTGTTGAGAAGCTCATCACAATAAACCTAAATGACGAAAATGCTCTAGAGTTCCTCAAGCTTGGATGTCTCTTCAATTGCGATAAGATGAAAGTTTCAACCTTTAATGTGTTAAAATCAATGTTCGATTTCCCATTGAAAGAAGATCTCATGAATCAACCAGAAGCAATAGAAAAACTTATTGAAGCAAAACAAAACTTCGATTCTTCATTGAAATAAAAATAAAATAAAAGATATTTTCCAAGTTTCATTGAAAAGTGTTTTTATTCAGCAATTTCAGGAAATGACATAAAAGCGAAATTTTGAGAAGTTTAAGGTCGGCATCTTTCCAAGAATCTTGGATACAAGCAAACCTCACGAATGTGGTAGCGATTCAAAAGCCAACAGAGAAAACGTTCCAATCCCAAACCGTATCCGCCATGTGGAGTTGTTCCGTAAACACGTTGATCAGTGTACCAATAATAAGGAGCTGGATCGATGCCTTCACGATGATAAGCAGCAATAAGCTTATCATTATCAAATTCTCTCATTGATCCACCGACAATTTCTCCAACACCAGGTAAGAGAACATCGACACTTTCAGTGAGTGCTTCATTTTCGGGACATTTCGCCATGTAGAAAGCTTTAATGCCTGCTGGGAAGCGACACAACATGATCGGCTCATTGATTGTGTCAGTCATTCTTCGTTCAGGTGCTTCAGGAATATCTTCACCAAACTCATAGAAACTTCCATCATCTTTCGTAACATTGTTGGCCTTCAACCATTCAATAGCTTCAGCATAATCCATTCGACGGAATGGTCGTTTCGGAGGCTTAAAATCAGGATTCAAATCTTTCACAATTTGTGCGTAAGGTGACTTTAAAACTCTATCAACGACATCGCAAACCAAATCTTCAAGCGTATCAAGTAAATCGTCAAAAGAAATAAAAGCTCGTTCAGCTTCAACGTGACTGTATTCAGCCAAATGTCGTCTTGTACGTGACTGTTCAGCTCGATAACTTTGAGCAATGCAGAAAACATCACCTAAAGATGGAACGCATGTTTCGAGATAAAGTTGTGAACTTTGTGTTAAATATGCTTCTTCTCCAAAGTAGTCGAACTTGAAAAGTGTCGATCCACCTTCAACTTGTGTTTGCACCATGGTTGGTGGAGTAACTTCAGTGTATCCACGATCAAAGTAATGACTACGAAATGCTTGCATTACCACACTTCGCATCTTCAGAATCTTTGAAGTGTTTTCACCACGAATCATCATATGACGATTGTCAAGTTGAACATCAGGATGAGCATCTTCGTTAAGAACATTGTCAGCACCACCAGCAGGTGCCAAGCCAACAAGTTCCCAAAAGTCGACTTCAAGCTCATGTCCACCAGGAGCTGTTTTACCTTCAGGAACTTCTTTCAGAACACCGTATAGGGAAACAGATGATTCCGTTGAAAGTACTAATGCCTCGTACGTTTGACATAGTAAATTGGTAAGCACACATTGAAGGAAACCGTAGCCATCACGTAGAGTGATGAACATAAGTCCTTTTCCTTGTTGTCTCAATCGATGAACCCAGCCATTGATCTTTACACGAACACCACGGTTTTGTTCGCCTTGATCGATTCGAATATGTTTGGCCACTGGCCATGATGGATCTTGAGAAATTTTTATTTTACGAGCTTCTTCAAGATTTTGTTCACGTTTGAGTGCATCTTCCATTTCCTTCTTAGATTTTTCAGCAGATTTGTGAGTTTCACGTACCCATAGTTTTTGAATCTTTTTAAGTTGAGATTTGGCTGCTGGTTCAAACAAGTTTGCAGATTTTTCGTCCTTTGAATCAACATAAATTGTTGGAAAAGGTTCTTTTCCGGCATGTCTCATAGCCTGCATAATCGTTTTGAATGGATTCTTCTCAGAACCATCACCACTTTCATCATTTCCACGTTTCTCTGAAGTATAAAGTTCGCCTGGAATTAAAATTCATTTGGAGTGTTGCAACATTTTATTAAGAATTCGTCATCATTTCATCATCCAGAGTTGGCCACATTTACAATAAAAATTTTGTTTTTCTTGACTTTGAATATGAAAGCGAAAAGGAAATATAACAACAACATTACCTAGTTTAAGGTTTTCCATTGCTTGTTCCGTCATATTTCACAAAGTTACTTGTTTCTTAACTTTTTTTAATGTTTTGATCAAAATTAAGTTTTATTTCACTCAAGTTTAAGTTTATACAGTGAAAGTTCAATGAAATTTTTAGTTTATATCCACAAGTTGATTTGTGGTGAGTTTATTTAAAATCTTTTTGAAACGTTCGTTAATTTATTTTCAAAAAGAGGAAACATATGTTTCTATAATTAACTTCAAGTAGCACAAATTGGAGCAAGAAAAATAAATTTCGCTGCATAAATATTCAGTGAAGTTTTTATTTCTGGGAAAACATTCTCAATTTGCCAAAAATTATCAAAGGACTTAAATTTATTGTTTTGGCGCCAAATTTTCTTGTCATTTCTTTCAATCAACTCCTTCGCAAAGTTGCGTTTTTAAAAAATAATAAAAAGAAAAGTACCTAAATATCTAGAATAAATTCTATTCGAGTATCATTCAAGACACCAACATGTTCGTAGTAAAACGAAGTAAGTAATAAAATTTAGTGAATTTAGTAAAATATTTCATCATTTTATAACTATTCAGATGGAACAAAGGAAAAGATTAACTGCGATAAAGTCACTTCAAGAATCAATCATCTTTGTTTTGGACTGGATTCAAAATTTGTTGAAGCTGTAAGTAAATTCGGCTGTTTTAAAAATTTGTTTATAAAACTTTATTTTTTCTACTAAAGAAACGGATAACAAGCAAGATCTTAAATGGACTTTATGATGGAGTAACAAGTGTGGAACTTGATAATTTACTAGCTGAAACAGCTGCAACATTAACAACTGTCCATTCTGACTTCTCCATACTTGCTGCTCGAATTTCTGTAACAAATTTGTATAAAGTAACAAAGAGCACTTTCAGTGATGTCATCGATGATCTCTACAATATGGAAAATGAATATTTAAAAGTGAAATCACCAATGATCAGTGATTTTCATCATGAAATCATCATGAAGAATGCAAACCAAATCAACAGCGCAATCGTCCATGATCATGATTTTGCTTACAATTATTTCGGATTCAAAACATTGGAACGAAGTTATTTGTTGAAAATTAAAGGGAAAATTGTCGAGAGACCTCAACACATGTTGATGCGAGTAGCTATCGGAATTCATGGTGCAGACATTAATGCAGCAATTGAAACTTACAATTTATTATCACAACGATACTTCACTCATGCATCGCCAACACTTTTTGCTGCTGCAACAAGAAGACCTCAATTATCGTCTTGTTTTCTACTCTCAATGTCGGAGGATTCTATCGAAGGTGTTTTCCACACACTCACCCAATGTGCTCTCATCAGCAAATCTGCTGGTGGAATTGGATTGAACGTTCATTGCATTCGAGCTAGGGGAAGTTACATTGCAGGCACAAATGGCATTGCTAATGGTCTTGTCCCTATGTTGCGAGTATTCAACAACACCGCTTGTTATGTTGACCAGAGTGGTAATAAACGTCCTGGAGCTTTCGCCATTTATCTTGAACCATGGCATGGCGACATCTTCGAGTTTCTGAATCTTAAGAAAAATACGGGAGAGGAAAAAGTAAGAGCCAGGGATATGTTTTATGGTCTTTGGATTCCAGATTTGTTTATGCGTCGTGTTGAGAGTAATGGAATGTGGTCTTTGATGTGTCCCTACAACAGTCCAGGATTGTTTGAAGTTTGGGGAGAAGAATTTGATAAACTTTACGAGAAATATGAAAGTGAAGGCCGATATATTCGTCAAATTAAAGCACAAGATCTTTGGTTTGCCATTATTGAGTCTCAAGTGGAAACGGGAACGCCTTACATGCTTTACAAAGATGCATGCAATCGAAAATCAAACCAACAGAATCTTGGAACGATTCATTGTTCAAATCTTTGCACAGAGATTCTTGAATATTCCAATAAAAATGAAGTAGCTGTTTGTAATTTGGCTTCGATAGCTCTAAACATGTTTGTTGTGACGAAAAATGAAGGAGAAATTTCGTATGATTTTGAAAAGTTGAAGGAAGTTGCCAAGATTGTAGCAAGAAATCTGAATAAAATCATCGATGTGAACTTTTATCCAATACCAGAAGCTAAAAAATCCAACATGCGTCATCGACCAATTGGAATTGGAGTTCAAGGTTTAGCCGATGCATTTATCATGATGAGAATGCCTTTTGAATCAGCCGAAGCAAGTAAACTTAATAAACAGATTTTCGAGACAATTTATTTCGGCGCATTAGAAGCAAGTTGTGAACTTTCTGAAGAACTTGGAACTTATGAGACTTACCAAGGTTCTCCAGTGTCGAAAGGAATTCTGCAATTCGACATGTGGAATGAAACGCCAACCGATCTTTGGGATTGGTCAACTTTAAAGAGTAAAATCGCAAAACATGGCGTGAGAAATTCTTTGTTAATCGCACCAATGCCAACTGCTTCAACAGCCCAAATTTTAGGTAACAATGAAAGCTTCGAACCATACACAAGTAACGTCTACAATCGTCGAGTTTTAAGTGGAGAATTTCAAGTTGTCAACCATCATCTTATTAAAGATTTAACCAAACTTAACTTGTGGAATGATAACATGAAGAATAAAATTATTGCACACAACGGATCAGTTCAACAAATCGAAGAAATTCCCGAAAAAGTTCGTGAGATTTATAAGACTGTTTGGGAAATATCAATCAAGAAGCAAATTCAAATGGCAGCTGATCGTGGCGCATTTATTGATCAGTCGCAGTCGTTTAATATTCACGTGGCTGAGCCTAATTATGGCAAACTCACGTCTATTCATTTCTATGCTTGGAATAAAGGACTTAAGACTGGAATGTATTACCTTCGAACAAAACCAGCAGCAAATGCAATTCAATTTACTGTTGACAAGCAAAAATTAACTCAATCAGTGAATGGTGATAATTCTTCTGATAAACCAACTGAAAATTCACAAAAAGCAAATGACATTGATGGATTAGACAAGAAGTTAGATAAAATGGTTTGTTCGTTGGAAAATAAAGACGAATGCTTAATGTGTGGCTCTTAAATTTAATCCCTTTGAAATAATTCATTTTATGCTAAACTTAAAATTAATAAATAAGAAAATTTTCATATTCAATAATTAAAATTTAAAATTTATTCAAAAAATATTTCAGCTATCGAGAGACTCCTTTAAGATTTAAATTTCAGATTTTTGTGCTGCGATGGTTCTTCTTCTAGCTACGATAAAAGTCTAAATCCAACTTTTTTACTGAATGAAAGAATTTATTTGATCTACTTTGGATGTTTTACATCAATTTTTATGAAATTGTCACGAGCAAATTATCCGTTTGCTTTGTAAAGTGTTAGATATTCAAAAATAATGAAGAAATGAGAAAAATACACCTGTGAATGATTTTCAATTTTTTCTGAATTACAAATTTGTTCAACTTGCTCTAAATAAACAAAAGAAAAGACAAAAAAAATTATTTTTATTAATTTATATTAAATTTTATTTTGCATAGAAATTTTTAGCTTTCAAGAGACTCTTCTAAGTTCATGAAAATTTGTAAGATTTGAATTTCAGCTTTTTGTGCTGCGATGACGTTTCTGTTGGCTAGAGATTGAAGTTTAAGTCCAACTTTTCTGCCGAATAGAAGAAATTCATTTTCAGGATTAGAAATAGTCGAAGGAATTTCTTTCTGTGACGAAGACGTGTCAAGTTTCTCATTAAAATCGGTAAGGTGTGAAAAAGAATTTTGTTCTTTAGACTCTGTCACTACAATAGTTTTGAAGTCACAATCAGAAGTTGAAGTTTTTATTCTTTTAGGTTTGGGTGCAGCTTCTTCTTCAAATTCTTCTGTTTCCTCTATAACATCAACAACTTCTGAAATTGTTGTAAAATATTCTGTGTCGTTTTCGTCATCTGATCCTTTAAAAGAGTTCATTTCATTATTTTCTATTTCCTCACACAAAAATTCTTCATCAAGTTCTTCAAAATATGATTTACTGTTGTGCGTCTCCAGTCTCGAATCGTCATTTGAATGAAAAATGAATTCACTCGAAACTGAAGATTGTTTATTCTTTGTGTCAGCTCCTGTTTTGACAAACGACATTTTCTCAAAGATGTCTTCATTTTCGATATTCTCATAAGCTCCCTCCAAGTAAAGTTTATATTTCCTCACTAATGTTATCCAATAATTTCGAAGTTTTCCAACACTGAACTTTCCAAAATGATCAGTAAGTGTTTTCCAAACTTCTTTTGAGCGATATTTTCTCATTTCAGCGTTTTCGTCATATAGAATTGGGTATTTCCTCACGTTTTCTAGAAATTGATCAGTGTAATCCATTTGCATGGTTCTTTCGTTGACAACTTTCTCGTAAATCAACCGATCTGGAGAAATGTTCAATATCATTTCATAAGAATCATTGCTCACTTGTATCTCTTTTTTGATTGAGAACTCTGTCATAAATGCTAATTTGTCAAAGTAAATGTAATGAGGTGCATCTAATTCACTTCCACCTAAAGCAAAATGACGATTACGTTGATGCATAATCTTCACGAAACGGTCTCGAACATTCTTCCAGTGTTTCTTACATTTCTCACTATCAACTGCATAATAAAAACAATATCAGCAAAGCTTTACTTTTCAAGCTTAGAATTAATCTCACCTTTCAGCTTCTCAGCTATTCCCCTCCAAGCTTCTTCCTTTTCTGGCTTCGGTCTCTTGTCATACTTAGTGTTATAAAGTATTTCCCGTTTTTTAACTTCTTCAATAAGCGTGAGTGTAAACTGAGAGAAATACATAGTTTAATATTTCAAAAGTTTTAATTAAATTAGGTAGTTGAAAGTAAATTAAAAGTTATAATTTTTGATTAAAAATAATTTTTTGTAAACAAAAAATTTCGTAGTTGTATATCCTGTAAATCTACCAAATGTCATAGTTTCATACAGGGTTTAAGTTTTTTCATGTAAAGTTGTTTTTGTTTACATTCTCCTCAAGAAATTTAAAAACATTTAGAGTTACAATAAGATACCATTTAATAACTTCAAGTCAATAAATATGACGAACAACCATTGATTGACAATATAATTAAAATTGAAATCAAAATCAATTCTCATCAGTTCACAATTTTGTGAAATAATTTTTTTGAAGAATAATCAACTTAAAGAACAAAATGCTTTTACCGGTAGTAATTAATATTATCATTTCAATCGGTGCCTATCTACTGGCTATAAATCTAATTCCAAATCTTAAAAATATGTTCTTGAAAGCTAAAATTTGTGGTATTGACATGAACAAATCGGAAAAGATCCAAATGTGAGTGCAGTGAAATTATCTAAATGTTTTTCACTTTTAAATTATTCTTTTCAAAATTGTAGCCCCGAAGCTTTTGGAGTTGTGACCGGATGTGTATTTCTGATTGCCATGTTTCTGTTCATTCCAATACCTTTTGGAAGCTACTTACTTGACAACAAGCCAGATGAGAATTTTCCACATAATGAAGTAAATTTATTTGATGACATGGACATTATTTGTAAACTGATAATGAATTTACTTTGTAGTTCGTAGAATTGATATCAGCACTTCTATCAATATGTTGTATGATTCTTCTGGGATTTGCTGATGATGTTTTAGACCTGAGATGGAGACACAAACTTTTGCTACCAACAATTGCATCGTTGCCTCTTTTGATGGTTTATTATGTAAACTTTAATTCAACAACTGTGGTCCTTCCAAGCATCGTTCACTCTATCTTAGGAAAATTTATTAACATTGGATTCTTCTACTACGTTTATATGGGAATGCTTGCAGTTTTCTGCACGAATGCGATAAACATTCTTGCTGGCATCAACGGGCTTGAAGTCGGACAATCTCTAGTAATTGCCGCATCTATCATTTTGTTCAATCTCATTCAAATAATGAACGATTCTGTTGCTGAAAAACATCATTTCTCCCTTTATTTTATGATCCCGTACGCCTCAACAACTTTGGCACTTTGGAAATTTAACAAGTGAGCATTTTTTAAATTAATTTTTATTTTATTTTGTTCCTTTTCTTTCATTCTATTTCATTGCGAAAATCTTAACTTAATTACCACTTCAGTACTTGCTCTCATTAAAATTTCACAATAGCATATCTACCTTTCATAATAATAATATAACTCGAAAGAAAGACTGGAAGATATTAGAATTTAGTTTCTTCTCAGTTATATTTTAAGATATTTCTAAAACGCCATTTAAGTATTCAATAGAAAACAATGATTTTTTAATTCATACTTAGAAAGCTTTAATATTTAGATATTTATAAAAAAAGTAGCAAAAAATATTCGCGCATAAAAAATCATAGGAAAAAATAATCACAGTTATCACAGCTTAACATAATTAATATAAGAAGGATTTTCCTGCTTCATTTTGTGGACAGTTTGTTTACTTATCATAAATCCTTCAATGATATTGACTAATCAAGACTAGTTTTTTGTTTGGTGTATATGATGATGGAATATTTAAGATGCAAATTTTGATTTAATATTTTCAAAAGTTTTTGTTAATATTTTTAAAAAGACATGTCAATAATCATCATCATTTTCAAGTCCGTCATCCCATTTTGAAAAGAAATTCGACACAATGTTATCAAATTTCCAACGATCCTTTGTAACTGATTCTGGACTGAAATATTTTACGTCGTTATAATGTTGAAGTTTCTTTAGTTGAAGTTTTCCATCGATATAAAGTCCATGTTGAATAAGATTTTGAACGAATTCTATATTAATGATAGGCTTCCGATGATAAGTTTCTTTGAGTGGATCATTCGATTTATTTGTTATTATTTTACTATCTAAGTGAAGTTTTCTAATAATATCAATAGGTTGGTGACAGAACTCACAAAACCATCCACCAATATGATTAAGATCACCAACGGTTATAATTGTTGGACTGTTTTGATTAGATTGAATTTTATTGGCATCAGATCCGTAGATTTGTTCGAAAACATTAATTTGGCATGCGATAGAGCTGATAACGGTTTTATCAGGATGTTGAAAAAAGAATCCATAGACATTCCATTTAAGACGAAAACGAAGAGGTTGAGGCCAATTACTATGCCATTTCAAGTACTTAACAGCTTTTCGATTGAGAATCTCATCTCTGTGTCCATAAATCAATACATCAAGGGGGTGAATTTGTGATCCTAAAATTTTCTTCATTTGTCGATACACGTTGCCACTTGAACATGTTTCATCCTTGACTAAAAGTATTTGATCTTTAAACGACTGCAAAAAACCTTTGTTCATCTGATGTTTCATAAGAATTGATGAATCTTCAACCTTTATCAAGTCACAAATTACAAAAAGATTGACAATGTTTATAAGTTCCAACATTTGAATTTCTAAAGTTTCCATGTTAATGCTTGTGACACCTTCGATAATGTAGAAAACATTATGAGGATGTTTTATGATTTTTGGTGGATTGCTCATTGGTTGACGTGATGCAATAAAGGCTCTCCAAATTATTTCTGGCTCGCTACATGCATGTCCATGCCATTCCGGTTGACAAATGCATGCGCTCAAATCGCTGTAATATTCAGTCTTATTGTTTACATCATGAGAAGCTCGAGTTAATTCAATTGGGGCTTGAACTCCCTCCTTAAAACAAATCTTTTGAAGATGAAGCTTTTCGGTAATGTCAGAGCTGATTGTGACTTCCTTCTGAATTCTGAGAAAATGATTGCTAAATTGATCATTATTAACTAGTTTCATAAATGTAGGAGTTGAATATTGATGATGTATTTTATTTGACTTTGATGAGTCTACTGAATCTTTATTGATAAATTTGATGTTTCCATTCGAAAATGGCTCGCTAACGTCCACATTACTGTTTACAAATGCTCCAAAGTAGACAAATCCAAGAATTAAGATCAACTGGATAAAAAATAAACTTGTCAGACTTGTAAAAATCCTCCGATTTTTAAAAAAATGCATCAGAATTCTTTTGAGATTTATTTTTTGTTAAAGACGATTTGTGAAAATGAAGAAAAAATTAAAATTTTCTGTAAACACAATCGAAATTCTTTATCTCTGTTTTGCATTAGTTATTTGTGGACATATAACACACACTTTTATATAAATTTGACACTCTAAAGAAAGCACAATTGTTTATTTTTCTTTCCTAAACTTTCTTAGATTTAATATTAAAAAATGAGTGATTTTTAAAGCGTCGCTTCATTTTTTTCTTCCTTAATATTTAAATATTTTTGTAACGTTTTTTTCTTCTCTTTTCAGATTCCCATCACAAGTGTTCGTTGGCGATACATTTAATTACTTATCTGGAATGACGTTCGCAGTTGTTGGAATTTTAGGACATTTTAGTAAAACCATATTGCTCTTCTTCATCCCACAAGTCATAAATTTCTTGTATTCAGTGCCACAATTATTTCATTTTATTCCATGTCCTCGTCATAGACTGCCAAAATATAATCCCGAAAATGGTCTTTTGGATTACAGCAGAACAAGCTTTAGAGAAGAAGAATTAAATATCATAGGGAAATTATTATTTCTCATATTTAAGACACTTAGAGTGATCAAATGGGAGAAAAGTAAGGATGGTGTTATAACAGCGAATAACTTTACTCTTATCAATTTTTTTATTCTTTTCACTGGTCCTATTCATGAGCAGAAGTTGAACAATTTATTATTAATCTTTCAAATTTTTTGCTCAATGATTGCTTTCATGATTCGATATCCATTAGCACATTACTTTTATGGGTAATTTCAATTTATTTAAAGTTGCAGTGTTACCATGCGCATCAATTAACTTTTACATCATTATTGGTTGAATAAATTAAACAATCTTTTCACATAATATGAAGTCTTTCATTTTTTATTTACTATTCCTAATCAATTTTCTATTTACTAACATGTGGTTTAGCAAATGCAGGTAATTGAAAACTCGCACCCTCCTTTGATTCAAAAAATGTATAGGAAAGTGTAATTTCATCGACTAGTTCCATTTTGGGATCATTAACAAAGTCTGGATCGATGTAGAAAAATACCGGCATATCCACCTGTTAATAAATGACAAAGTGATTTAAAAATTGATTCATTTCATTTTAAAAATTCAACAAACCTCTTCATGTGGATTCAATTGTTGTTCTTCAAAACAAAAACATTGAATTTTGTTAAAATATGCTCCAGCCTCAAAAGGAATAACATTGTAGGTACTGATACCGATAACTGGTCTGTCTGTAGGATTTTTAGCTTTATAAAAGGCTAAAGCGGTTTCACCAGGAGCCACTTTTATTTCATATTGTTGAGGCTTGAAATTCCACCTCATTGAAGCACTAATATCAGCATTAAATTTAATTTTTATAACTCTGTCTGCTATTCGTTTCATACTTTCCACTTTTTCTCCATCGTGACCTACTCCAGTGGTGCCACCATAACTATAAGCTGAACAGAACATTCGATATAATGGAACAGCTGCATAACTTAATCCTACTGTAAGAACTCCTAAACCAGCAGCATAATAAAGTGTTGATCGAAGTTTAACGTTTTGTGATCCTTTTGGAGCTTCATTTCCAATATTTCTCAACTGTGATAGAATCAAAAATGGCTTGTTAGAGTCAAAAAGGCTCTTAAGAAATTTAGGTTTCACTCGTAAAAGTAAATTCCACATGATTTTATGTTTAAAATGTTAATGTTTTTCTAAATTCTTCGAGTTTAACATCAAAACTTTTCATTACAATTGCATAATGATGCAAAAAAATGTAAACAAGATGCAAAGAGTTTTGCATCATCACATATTTTTTTTATTTAATATAAAATTATTTTTTTCAAGAAAGTTCTTCGAAAGACATTGAAAATGCCTTCTGACATTCCAACAAAAGTAGAAATTGCCATGAAAATTGATGGCTCACAGCAGCTTGAAGCAATCAAAAGTCGTTTGAATGAAATAGGAATTAAAAATGAGAAGATTCAAATTGTAACTGAGAAGAACAACAAAGAGTGCCGGGTTGTTGTTGAAACAAATTCAAAGCCTTGGATAGAAATTCAAGAGACATTGCAGACATTTGGTGAGAAACGAGTAGCACTTGTTGGTTTTAGTGATCAGTCAGCTGTTGCAATCCTGGATAAAGGCGATGATTTGAATATTAAAGGAGTAATTCGCTTTTGCTCGATTAGTGCTAATAAACCTGGAATTGTCATAGATGGTGTTGTTGATGGAATTGAATCACCAGATGATCATTTCCTAAGTATCTATGAATATGGAGATTTCTCTGATGGATGTCATGGTTTGGGAAATATATATAAAGACGCCAATTACAAACTAACATCAAATGATTCTGGAAGTTCGACAATTAGATCAGTCGATCATAATTTGAACATTCACGAACTAATTGGACGTTCTGTTGCAATATCAAAAGCAAATGAAAATATAAAATTTAAAGGAGGAATCATTTCACGAGCAGCTGGAATTTTTCAAAACTGGAAAAAGTTTTGTGCTTGTGACGGAACTACACTTTGGGATGAACGAGATCGACAAACGGCAATTTCTGGGAGAAATGCATGAAGGGATAATTTTTATTTACATGGTAATTTGTGGTGCAATTAAAGTGGGAAAATTTGATGTTAAAATTAGGTGAAAATATTTAATGATTTCTCTTTTAAAAAATACGCGAATAAAATATTTTCATAATTTACATCTAACCGGTATTAAATTTTTTTTTAATTTTTTATTGGCTTAACTCTCCTCAGTGCTTCATCATAACTTGGTGGCGAATCTTCTGGTGGAATTTGAGCTTTTCTTGCTGGATTTACTGATGAGCTCTGAGCATAAATAACATCATATGCCATGGGCATTGAATTAAAGCTCACAGTTCTTGAAGTTTCATAGTGAGAGTGAGATGAAACATTTCGATTTTCTAATTCCATCGATGATGAATTTTCTGAAGCTGTTAAAATTATTTATAATAAAGGGTTTTGATATTATTTAGAAACTTTAACTTACATTGATCATATTTTTTAGATTCTTTGATGAAATAGATCATTATTAAAATAATAACTGTTGATATAATGGCAAGGGTTATTAATGCATCTATCAGTCTTTCGTCCATTTAAAAAATATTGAAAGAAATATTCTTCAGTTTTATAAGTGGCAACGATAACTTTAAACAACCGAATACAAATGGAATAAAAAAAAGCTTTCATATTTTTTCTACTTGACTTTTATACATATATTTATATTTTTATCACTTGTGTCTATTGATAATGATTAAAATTTTTTTTTCAGGCGAGCTTATCTAAAAGTTTCAGTCTTCGAATTTGCTTATTGCTGGTTTAAAGGTACATATTAGATAAATACCTATTATAATTGATTTTCATAAACCTATCTACCTATATAGAGTAATTTTACTTAAAAACTACTGATAGTTATACAATAGTTCAAGGGTTTTTGGAATCAAATTTTGACGATTTTTTCTGGTCATATAAAATCTTATCACAAACTTAGTGGTGCACCACCACGATGGTGGGCAGTTATCTCATTTTTCATGATATTTTAAAACTTCTGCACTGCTTCATTATAACTTGGTGGTAATTCTTCTGTAGTGGTGCTATTAGGGTCTCTTGCTGATGCAATTGGTATGCTATGAATATGAATATCATCATATGCCATTGGAACTGAAACCACACGATCTAACGTTGGTGCTGATATCGTTTGAATTTGTCCACCACTTGTTCCCATTTCAGGATCTATTGAGCAGTTAATTGATTGAATTATGTTTAAAATTATGTTTTTGTTATTTTGATTTTATACCTTCATTCAAACTTTGCCGGCCATGGTCTGCACACCAACCAAGTTTTTTCATAATAAACAATAAAATGAGTGCAGAGAGAACGAAACCTACAAAAATTATATATGAATAATCTGCCATTATAATTATGTTAGAAGATGTCAACGACTTCTGCTGCAGCCAACAACGTGCTAAAGAATGAAAATACTTTTAAATTTATAGATACTTAAATATTATCATTCCAGACAAAACGTAATCTTTATTTATTGTTTGTATTGTGCATCGAAAGGTGTGTGACAACAAATGAGAGCTTAAACGTCATTTATGTCTAATCGTACAAACACAATTACCAGAAACGTGACGATAAATATCAAAATAGAAGCAAAGTGTTTTATTTTTGAAATAAACCACTTAAAATAGGAGTGACTCATTTTGTTGGTTTAAAAATAGATTTGAAAAAAGTACTTAAAATATTAAAGTTTTCAAGTTATACATTCATCATTGACGTCAAAGCTCAGTTACTTGCTTTCAAGAACCAAAGCTTATCTTTGCTTGATTTATTGTTCTACAAACAGATTGACATTTTCCATGCTTCCATTAGTACCTCAAATTTTTGCCTGCCTGAAGATAAAATTTTAAACAAATTCATTAAAATAATTTATTAATTTTTATTTCTTAAATTTCAAGCCATAAAGTTCTTTGAAATATTTCATTAAAATTTATTTATCTATATTTTGTGTTTCTTTAACATTGATATCTATTTCTTCGTATCTTGGCGGCATTTCTTCTGTAGTGGCGCTTCTCAGTTCTCCTATGGTAGTAACTGATGAACTGTGAGTGTAAATGTCATCGTAAGCCATTGGAATTGATATCGTACGTTCTAATTGTGGTGTCGACACTGTTGGAACTTGTGATCGATTTATGATTTCTTGACCTCTTCGATCAGCCAAATTAACATCAATATTTTCTTAAATTTAATAAAATTTCAAAAACTTTTATAATCGATTAATATAAAAAATATCTACCTTGAATTTCTCTTTGAATATGCTTGTCCCTACGCATATATCCAATGACAATAAACATTAACAGTAAAAAAAAGATAAGAAATGACACTACAGTGGCACTTATTGCTATTAATCCAAAATTAGCCATATTTAATCATCTTCGACTCCCGACAGTCTTTCACATTTGCTTACTGAATTCTAGTTTGAAAAATCATTTTTTAAAGCTTTGTTAGTTAAAGAGATATCAATATCGATAAAAATATTTATCTATATTATCTTTAAAAAAATTTTGTGTTGTGTATTCTAACAAGAGAAGTATTGGGTTGGTTGAGTTGCTTATCATTAAAATTAAACGACAACTTTGCCAAAATCTTTGTTATTAATATAAAAACAGCAACACATTCATACAAAAATTGATTGTGATAAGGCAACTGCATTTATCAATCTACCACTACTAGCTCTGTTTTTGTTATTTTGAAAAGTAGTGGGTTGGTAAGTATCATATGTGACTATAATTACATAACCCCATCATCATCAGATCAAGGACAGGCACCTATAGGCCAATCCTGGCCTTATAGGAACCACCATCAAATGCCGAAGGCATTTGAGGGCAATGGTCATAAGTGGTACGTGAAAATGACAACATTACTCAATTTCATTGAAATTATTTTGTGCTGACTATTCACTACCGACCGTTTTGCATCCACCCAAGGTCTTTTCTAGAAAGTAGCCTTGGGCTGTTTTTACCATCATTTGACGATAGAGTGTTTCATCTTCAACTTCGTTCCGCTAGAGATTCTAAGCCTGAATATAATCTTCATTGTTCGAATTGAATAACAATTCGAGACAAAGAGATATTTCAGCACTATTTTTTCATCCCAGCGAAAACTTAGTTAAAGACAAAACTGTTTAAGGGGCGAAGTATCTAAACTTCTGAAAACCTCAGATCTACATGACCACCACCAGTCTCGAACCGGCCGCGCCGTTGGCAACGCGTTCGATACAAAACCGTGGTTTAGTCACTTAGACCAATGAAGCAAATTGCATAACAATTTTAAAGAAAACTCTAAAAAATAAAAAACAGAAACATCGTCAGCCCAAGTTGGACATTGTTCATTGACGTAAACGCCTCGTCACCTGCTAATCAGTCAAAACATTTAAACTTATCTATTAATACGGGCTTGTTCCATATCTTATAAGTATCTTCAATAAAAATTATATTTCAACGACAAATTTGTCTTTTTTATGTTATATGTACATAGATTCTTCTTCTATTTCACACATTTTTTCTATCGACCCAGAGCTTCATTATAACTTGGCGGTAATTCTTCAGAAGAGTTTGTTTGACGAGTTGAATTGTATGGCGTGCTATGGATATCAATTTCATCATATGCTATGGGAACTGAAAGAACACGCTCAAATGACGGTGCTGATGGTGATGGTTGGGTTTGATGTTCATTTGTGTTCATTCCTAATTCATGATTTGTTTCGTTTTGATTTTCTGTAAAACATAAATTTATTGGCAATAAAATGAAGTAATTAATATTTCAATGTTATCTGATTACTAACATTTAAAACTATTTTTAAATATTTCTTGAAAATTATCTATAATTAAAGTAATGTGAGCTTCATACTAAGACTAAATGCGAATCTAAAAATGTTTTTATCAGTTTCAATTCATTTAGCTATTTTTATCACGTGACATAATTCCATTGATAGATTTTTCTGGATGTAATGAATTTGTTAAGTGAACTGGAGTGAATAAATTCTTTCATCTCTTTAACTTATAAGAAAGAAATTATTTTATTTTACCTGAATGGAGATCTTCATTTTCATCTAAAGGACAAACTTTAAATATACAAGTGATACAACAAACAAAGACGACAAAAAATGTCAACATTCCTATAAGCAAACTTATAAATACTTCCATTTCTCTAATGTCTCAACTCAACGTTGTCAAGATTTCTACTATTGTACAAGAAAGATAAGTTGAAGTTTTTATATAAAATGAAAATTATCATGAGGTGTTAAAGATCCACTTTTTTTATCGATAGATAAAAGTTATTTTTCAAAATTTGAAGCTTAAATTCTTTTTTTCTATTTCTTATAAGTAGATAATTTCAGGAACGTGATTCATCAGAAAAAAGTTTCTTTTACTTGTGAATACGCGATTGCATTCAAATATATTTGAAGTCATCACTTAGCCCTGATGTCAGCTGTTTTATAAAAAAAAAATAAGATAAAACTAAGGAGAGTTGAAATTACACTCTCAGCAGAAATTACAACTTTGTTTGAATCACTTTTCTAAGAAAAACCTTCACAATGAGATAAGTGATGAATGAAAACTCTTCCTTACAAGTTCATACGGTAACGAGAAAGTAAAGAATTCTTACAAATCACAGTACTTGCACGAAGAAATTACTTTGAAATGCAAGACCGGATCTCTCTTGTTTTGGTAATTTTCACTCTCTCAAAGTTCATCTCAAATGAGAAAATTATTGATTTTCTTCAGAAAATTTTCATCTTAACGTAACATGGCGTAGAACAGCTTCCAAAAGCTTTTAAATATATTTGTTTTGAAAACAACGCAAATTTTGAGTTGAATTTATCAAAATGTGGACTTTTAAGTGGATTTTGATGTTTTTGCTGTTTCCAAACTACGAATGTTGTAAGTTTAAGAGTTTAAAAAATTAAAAAAGTAAACTTTTTATAAAATAAAAATAATTTCCAGTTGTACAGCATTTTGAAGCTAATCCAGAAGCAAAGCGACTTTACGATGATTTATTGAGCAACTACAATCGTTTGATTAGACCAGTGCAAAATAATACGGAAACACTGACAGTTTGGTTGGGTCTGAAAATTACACGAATCATTGAAGTTTCTCTAAGAAATCAAGTAATTTGTGAATATATTTTCTTTCACTTAAAATTGTTAATCTAAATTTATATGCATAGGTCATGACAACGAACTTATGGGTAATGCAGAAGTGGTACGATTATAAGCTCAAATGGGATCCAGAAGAATATGGAGGTGTTGAAATGCTTTATGTTCCATCTGAACAACTGTGGCTACCTGATATTGTTTTGTTCAATAATTGGGATGGAAATTATGAAGTTACGGCAATGACCAAAGCCACGTTGAAATATACTGGCGAAGTGTTTTGGGAGCCACCAGCTATTTATAAAAGTTCTTGTGAAATGAATGTCGAATATTTTCCGTACGACGAACAAAGTTGCTTCATGAAATTTGGAAGTTGGACTTACAATGGCGCTCAAGTTGATTTAAAACATTTGGATCAAGTAAGTTTCAGTGATGTTGCAATGATCACTAAGTAATTATTTTAAATAATTATCCATCAAAGGTTCCTGGATCAAATCTTGTTATGATTGGCATCGATTTATCCGAATTCTACTTATCCGTTGAATGGGATGTTCTGGAAGTTCCTGCAAGTCGAAATGAAGAATATTATCCGTGTTGTCCTGAACCTTTTTCTGACATCACCTTCAAGTTAACAATGAGACGAAAGACGCTTTTGTATTATATTTGTGCTTTTCTTAATGAATCGTTTCTAATTTCTTGCCATTTAATTGCAGTTACACTGTAAATCTTATAATACCTTGTGTGGGTATTACGTTCTTAACAGTTCTTGTGTTTTATTTACCATCTGACTCCGGTGAAAAGGTAATTAGATTTTAATCATCCCATCTACTCCCACTTAATCGTGTCATTAAATATCGCTGCATCACTATCTATCACAAAACACAAATCATGTCAAATTAATGAATCATTAATCTTGATTGCAACTTTCAACTATCTTAGGTTACGCTTTGCATCTCTATTCTTGTATCGTTGACGGTGTTCTTCCTTCTTCTCGCCGAAATTATTCCACCTACGTCACTCGCTGTTCCATTGCTTGGAAAATATTTGCTCTTCACGATGATACTTGTGTCACTCTCTGTGTGGACGACAGTTTGTGTATTGAATGTCCACTTCAGGTGAGAAGAACATTAATCAATCTCGATAATTTATTCAACCAATTTCACATCCTATAGATCATCATCGACTCATGTTATGTCACCGTTGGTCAAGAAAATTTTTCTTCAATTTATGCCACGAGTGTTGATGATGCGTCGCACCAAATACACGCTTCCAGATTATGACGATGTCATTCATTCAAATGAAATTGATATGAGGTGGGAGTAGAAAATATTTTAGACAATCCATTGCCAATGTATTTAATATTTCAAACATTCAGAGATCATTACAGAGATAGT